GAGTGAAAGACACAGAGAGAGATGTAGCCAAGAAGCAACACTCCTCCATAGTTTGTGCTTAAGTTCCTGAATGAGCCAGCTCCTGCCCTGGTTTCCCTCAGTGACAGACTGTAACCAAAGAGGAATGAAGTGTGTTACCCCTCAGGCACCCAGAGGAAGCACACAGAATGCATGTTGTGGCATGCCTTCCTGAAGGTGGCACCTGAAGAGTTCTGCCTCCTGGGTTCTGGGGTTCGGCAGAGATAATGGAATGCTGCTCTTACATTAGCACACAAAACACTGTGGCTTCTGCCTTGGACTTTCTCCTCTCAATTGGAGCAGGGTGCAATGTCATGAACAGTTTTATGGGGAGATTTGTGATGCAAGAAACCAGCATCTTCAGCTGTTGCAGGTTTAACTGTGTTTCCCAGCCCCAAAGGCACAGTCTTGTGACCTTACTTGGAAACTGTTTTGTTTTGCTGACACAATAAAGTTAGGTATGGTTGTACTGGAAATGTTAATCAGCTTTTGGTGACTGTAACAAACCCTTGGGATATTTCACTTACAGGGAGAAAAGCGGTACTTGCATTTGCAGTTTTGGAGGCTTTTGTCCTGTGACAAGTTCACAAAAAGCATGCAGCAAAGCCACCGCCACTCACCGTACAGCCAGGAAGTGAAAGGGAAAAGAAATAAAGTCCACTATCCACTTGAAAAGCACACCTCTAATGCCTGGAAGGCTTCCCACCGAGCCTCACTTCCTCCAAGTGGTGCTAAGTTTTAGACTAAGCTTCTAACTTTGGAAGACATCCTAAACACTCTAAAGCACCATGAGTCCTAACCCTGTGACTGTTATATTTTTGAGAAACTTAGGAGTAGAGACACAAATGCAGAATACCATCCAAATGCCCCCCAAAAAGATCAAAATGCAGAAGCTGCCTAAGAAAGGCCTCATGGCATCTGGCTGTGCCCTAGAGCCTACACAGAGATTATAAATCTATTGCTATCTTGTTTTTGAACCAGGAGAAAATCAATCCTCTTTGTTGTACTTTGTTAGGAAGCCCCAGGAAATGACTCCATCAGTCAATGGCCATCCTGGACCTGAAGCCTGCCCCAGGCAAGAGTGTGCTTAAAGGAGGATTTTCTAGGGTCTCAGCAGCCAGGCTATGTGAACTTCAAGTATTCTACCTTCACCTTGGGGACAAGCCTTGAGATGATCCTATCTCCAAGTGACCCCTAACTGTAGACTTGTGTGTGATCCATCTGGAGCTGAGATACCAATCTATGTGATCCTGTATCTCCTCCTCCCCAGCATCAGGAAGGTAAGTAGAAGTTAATGATGTGTCTGACTCTAGTGCTTTCTGATAGGAACAAGGGAACTGAGTCCAGAGAATAAGAATGGGAGTGATACATTAGGTCTAAAATGGTTGCAAATATGTATGTATACATACACACACACACACACACACACACACACACACACATCAAATGTAACAGTATAAAACTGATTCAATAGGGGCTGGAGAGATGGCTCACTAGTTAAGAGCACTAGCTGTGCTTCCAGAGGACCTGAGTTTGATTCCCAACACCCATATGGCAGCTCACAACCGTTTGTAACTCCAATTCCAGGGGATCTGATGCCCCTTTCTTGTTTCCTTGGATACTGCATAAATGTTAATACACATAAATAGTTAAACAAACAAATAAACGGATGCCATAACCACACTGAAAAGCACATTAGGGCCAGGTGGTGGTGGCATATGCCTTTAATCCCAGCACTCAGGAGGCAGAGGCAGAGGCAGGTAGATCTCTGTGAGTTCGAGGCCAGCCTGGTCTACAAGAGCTAGTTCCAGGACAGCCTCCAAAGCTTCAGAGAAACCCTATCTCAAAAAACAAAACAAACAAACAAACAAAAAGAAATGAAAAGAAAAGCCATTAGGGCCTGCAATATGGTTCAGTAGGTAAAGGCACTTGCCACCAAACCTGACGACCTAAGTTGAAACCCTAGGACCCTTGATGGAAGGGGAGAATTGACTCGTCAAGCTTTACTGTCACACACACACACACACACACACACACACCATAAATTAATGTAAAGTTTTAGGAAGAAAAGTGTATTCAATTAAGAACTTCAGAGCACTGTACATTAATTGCACCATATTTAAAAAGATTATAAAGACTAAAATAAGAAGTCTCAGTTCTATCGACTGTGTTGCATGCAGTGCTACCGTGTGTCTCAGCTGTGTTCATCCTGAGGTAGATGGGGCTATTATAACCTCAGAATGAGGTTGTTTTGCCACAGAGCCAGCTGAGCTCGGGACAAGGTCACTGCTGCCTCCAGGACTGTTATCCTGGCAGAAGGAGTTAATCGTAACAAGCCTCAGTTGCAAACCATGGATGCCAGTTAGGACTTGCGATTGTGGCTGGCTGATTCAGGCAAGACCAAGGCTGCTTCAAGGTCAGGTTGTTGCAAGCCATGATAAGCCTCAATGGCTACTGGCTTTGACACTGAATCACTGCCTGACAGCTGCGTACAACTCCCCATCTCTAGGATCAGCTGCTTGGAAAGCCTCTGTGTAGATAGTTCTCCTCACTGTCTCATTTCTGAAGTATGTTTTAATAGACTCTTTTTCTGCCTTCATTCATAACCACCGTATCACCAGCCGTTTAGATACTGTTCCTGGCACAGAATCAACTATTTTGTGTAGATTTGAGGATATAACAAATAGATAAATGTATTAATGCTAGTAGAATGAGAGAATTCACTGTGGTTAGAGAGAGGAAAGCCACAGAGAAAGGCGAGGCCAGGATGAAGCCCATGGTACAGGAATCTAAATTAGAGGTGTTTATCACTAATGATTTAAAGATATCCCGGTGGCCAGAGAGATGGTTCAGTGGTTAAGAACACTTGTTGCTCTTCTAGAGGACCTGGGTTCAGTTCCCAGCATTCACATAGCATCTCACAACCATCTGTACTCCAGTTCTAGAGGCTCTGATGTCCTCTTCTGACCCCCAAGGACACCAGGCATCCATGTGGGGCACAGAACTGAAATCTAAAAACAATTAAAAAGTATCTGTGGTTAGAAGGTGTATCTTTTGTGAGGCTAGTGCTGATTGTCAACTTGACAGATCTGGAATCAAGCCCCCTGGGACACCCATGAGGCATTCTCTAGATTAGTGTAATCTCTAGGCATGCCTGTGAGGGATGTTTCTGGGTAGGGAAACTGAAGTGGGAAGAATTACCCTGACTGTGGGAAACTTCATTCAGCAGCAGCCCCAATTCAAGGAGCCCAAAGGGAAAAGCTTGCCTTAGCCTCTTGCTGTCCAGTGCTTAAGCCGGTGCTTCTAATTTTCGTTGCTGGTACTAGAACCTGGCTTCGTTGGCTTTCCAATATAGACCAGTGGCTCTCTAGTAATATTCCAGGCCTTTGGTGATAGATTGGGACTGTGGAGGCATTCAGGGGTGGACTTTCCATAGACAACCACCTTTGGACTGCCCAGACCATATCACATAAGACAGTTGAGTAGAGCCCTTTTTAATATATATTCTTTATGTTGGTTCTGTTCCTAAAGAGATTCCAACTATACACTGTGTTGTTACATGAGACAGTATAAAAGGGAAAGATGCAATGTAAAAGGACATATATATATATATATATATATATATATATATATATATATATATCATTACACTCTCTGAGTGCAACAGGAAGGAAGATGTTATGAGAGAGGCATTGTACTGGAGAGCGGGAAGTGCTGAGAGATAAAACATCCCCAGGACACAGTAGTAATGTGAGGGTCTCCCAATGCCTGAGATGGGCAATCCGAGTACCAGAATTGGACCGGTTTCTGGTTTCAGCAGTTGAATTAAAAACACACCCAGTCCACAGTCCTCAAAACAGAGAAGGATGATTGGGAAAGGAAGGATTTGAGAAGGCAGAGGCAGACATTGGCTTTCTACATGCAGATATCATCCAGAAAATGCAGAAAAAGATGATAGAATTGCAGACATTATAATTATTACTATTGTAATAAATGTTCATCAAGGTGTGCTGTATCCATTGGATAAGGGTATTGTTGTGGACAAAATATTCACCAGGTTCCAGCTTATCCTGGGAGATAAGCATCTCCACTGACTTTGATGAGGAGAGAGGAGCCTTGAGCAAGTGATAGATAGCTCTTTGAGTCTTGGTTTGGTGGATAATGTCAAGCTGGCAGTGTACATGTTGGGACGTGAAGAAATTGAAGTGAATACCCGCCATTGTTCTGAATGTTTGACTCTAATCGTGAGAAAACAATCCCGTGAATCTGGAACATGACAAGACGGCAAAATATGACAAAGTTAAGAAGTATTTAGAAAAGAGAGTACAGCTCTAAGAGTACGAGAGGTGAATTCAAATGCATCGGGCTAATTTCCAGTAGCTCCTGAATTTAATGTGTGCACGTGTCTACGACCTTTGAGACAGCAAAGGAAATATATATACGACAGTATATGGTATATGACGGAAAATGTGTTCAGTTTCTTGTACGTGGTAAGTAGCAATTTTTCAAGAGTTTGATGTGGGAGGAATATCCAGCCAGAATGAACGCAAGCGTTGCGAAATGCTAGCGTTTGGTGACTGTGGGTAAAGGGTTCACAGTTCTGAGTTCACATCTCAAATCAAAAGCTCTAGGGTAGAAATACTAAGTGCAAGATGATTTCTTTGCGACGGCGGAGGCTCCGGGAGACACAGAGAACCCTTCTGGAGAAGAATCCTTTGGCTCTTTGGCTTCCCGAAGGCAGTGAAGTAGCAGCGAGCGGTCCTCACAAGTGAGAGCCTGCGATCCCTGGCTCTTCCTGGGCTCAGTCGGCTGTGAGCGGGGGCGTGGCCTGGAGCGGTGTCAGCAGTGACCAATGAGAAGGTGGTATGGGCGTGTCTTGAGATGTGGGCGGGGCCGCACCGGGCTCGGGCCGCGCCCGCTGCTCGGCGGCCTTTTCTTCCGCTCCCGCCCTGCGCTGCTGCCAGGCGGCTGCACCAGCTCGGAGGGGTAGGAGGTGGAGCTCCGCCGCTGGGTAAGTTCCCTGCCGGGCTCTGCCTGGAGGACCCGGCCAGAGAACCACTGCGGCGGGTTTGCTCCGGGCTGAAGTAAGTTGACGTCCGCGGGCACGAGGCTCCCGGGCCCGGGCTCGCCCCGGGGTTCGCGTGGTTCTGCCGGAGCCGCATGGGATGGCCGAGGCGGGCGTCCGGGAGGCTCAGCGGTTGCACCCTTTGCTGTGGCACTTCTTCCCACCGGTGTGCAGCCCTCTCATTCATGAGACGGTGCAGCCTTAGCACTCATGAGTTCAGTACCGGGAAAGGGCTCACTACCCACTGAATTGCTGCTGGAGGGTTGGGGATGTAACCCAGTGGTTGAGCTCTTTAGCATATATGGGGTCCCGGGTTTAATCTTCAGCGTTGCTAGATAGACGGATAATAAAAATACCATCTCCTTACACACACACACACACACACACACACACACACACACACACACAACACACTCACACACACACTCACACACTCACACGAGTTCCTCGCGTTCGAAGAACCTGTCAAATGAATTGCTTAAGAAGTTAAGGTGTAGTTTCAGTCAAAACGCTCGCGATAATCAGGATTGTTCTTGTCTAAGAATAGCAAAACAATGCTGGAATGTCCTTGCAGATTCTACATTCGGAGATGCGTAGTGTAAAGTTGAAAGCCACGAGTTTTGATCTTGGCGTTGGCGCTGCCAACTTTTGTAACATGGACTCAGTTAACTCAAGTGAAATGGTACCAACTTCTAAAATGTTCTTAAAACTCCATATTTGATAAATCTGTGCTGAATTTGTTTTTCTCTGTGCACTTTTTTTTGTTAAAAAGATTTATTCATTTTTAGTTGTGTCTGGGCATGAGTTTATGTCCACCACATGTGTGTGTCACATGTGTATAGGAAACCAGAGGGTATCAGATTCCCTGGAACTGGAGTTATAAGCAGGTGTGAGCCGCTTGATCCCGGTCCTTTGGAAGAGCAGCTCTTAACTGCTGAACCATCTCTCTCAGCCCCTCACTATGTGCTTTTAAAAAAGAATAGGGGATAGGAAGGTTTGTGAAAAGACAGTGTAACAGGAGAGATTGATGAGAACAGGGAAGGGTAGCGTATGTGGTTACACTTTAAGACTATAGATGGAAAGAACACACTAAAATGAAAAGGATTCATTATATAAGAGAAACTTGGCAAGCTCCCTTTCTTTCCCAGCTAGAGTCCTTTTGTTTTATTTCCCATACTCCACCACTGTTTCCTGTCTTCCTTAAGGTCTCTTTCCCCTCTCTCAGTACTCTTCCTAGTATCACGATCTGTATACACACACAGATGCACATACAATTATTATACATGCAATATTTGTCTTTCCGAGTCCAGCTTTTTTTATTTAATATAGTGATTTCTGTTTGTATACATTCTCTACAACTGCCGTGATTTCATTTTTTTTCTAATGGCCACATGAAATTCCATCATATATGTGGACTCTCTTTTCTTCTTTATTTATTTTTGGTATTTTTGAGACAGGGTCTCACTATGTACCTTTGGCAGGCTTAGAACTTGATATAGTCCAGGCAGGCCTTGAATTCACAGAGATCCACCTGCCTCTGCCTCCTAAAGGCTGGGACTAAAGGTGTGCACCACCATGTCAGGCATGGACCACATTTGCTATATCCTATCACCTAATGGACTTCTAGGTTGGTTCTATTTCCTGGTTATTGTGAATGAATAGAGTAGCAATGACCATTAACATATCTCTGTATTATGTTTATTTGGAGTTATCTGGGTATGTACCTATGCTGGATCAAATGGTAGTTCTATTTTTTTAAAAAGATTTATTTATTTATTATGTATAATGTTCTGCCTGTATGTATGCCTGCAGGCCAGAAGAGGGCACCAGATCTCCATGTGGTTGCTGGGAATTGAACTCAGGACCTATGGAAGAGCAGCCAGTGCTCTTAACAGCTGGACCATCTCTCCAGCCTATTATTATTATTATTATTATTATTATTATTATTATTATTTTAAAGACCTCCTTCCATACTGGGTTCCATAGTGACTTCCCAGATTTACATCTCTACCAGGACTGAGATTTGCCCTTTAGTCACATTCTCACCACCATTTGTTGTCTTTTTAAAATTAATTTATGTATGTATGCGTGTATGTGTGTGTGTATGTATGTATGTATGTATATGTGTGTATGCATGAGAGAATCTACATTGCAGGTACTTTCAGAATTCATGTCTTCTGTGGGTCTCCAGGATCAAACACACGTTTGTCAGGCAGGCTTGGTGACAAGTGCTTTTACCTACTGAGCCATCGTGCCACCCTTTTTTTGTTCTCTTAATGGCAGCCTTTCTGTATGAGCTGGAACCTCTGAAAAAGGCTTGTAGATGAATGAAAAGACTCAACTGTAATGCCATATTGAAAAATAGCTATTAGTAGAAATGTAACTTGCAGGGTCCCCTGAGGCCCTATTTTCTTTAGTTTACTGATTTATAGGAAAGACACAGATGCTTGGTCTGCACCCAAGGCTGAACTTCTAAGGAAGCCCATGTTCCCACACAGGTGCTTAGTGCATGTGTAGCATCCCATCCCTGAAACCAGTCGTATAGAAGCTGGGCAGTGGTGGGAGTAGCCTCTTGGGATAATGAGAGTTTTGGAGGACTAGATAGAGTGGTGAATAAGTAAGTCTTCAGTTTATTTCAAAGATACTTGTTTTATAGTGGGGAAGGGCTGGGGAGACAGCTTAGTTGGCAAATGCTTGCCAAGGTTTGATTCCCAGACCCATGTAAAAAGGCAGGTGTAGTGATGCATGCATGTAGTCCCAGTGTGGGGAAGTGAGGACAGGTGGGTCCCTGGCCAGCCCTTGATGGCCAGCCACCCTGGCTGAATCAGGAAGTCCCAGATCTGTGAGAGGGTGGGGAAGAATGTCATGTAACACTGCCATCCAACTAGGTCATTGCTGTTGCAACCATGAAAGTCTGGCCTTTATGGATACCTGCATTAGACTGGGTTTCCAACTTCTCATCATGTATTGAGGAGGAAATATTGAACCCTCCATCCTTTCCCGAGGAACTAGTGACTGCTCATGTTCTTGGAGGAGGGGTGTCATTTTCTCTTAATGGTGTAGCCACTGGGCAACTAGGTGGGAAGAATGGGTTCAGAGGGAAAGGGGAGATAGGATAATGGGGGTGAATATAATCGCAATACAGTACTTGTGTATGTATGTATGAAATGGTCCAAAAGGAATGTAATAAGTCTGTGTGTGCTCTGCTATTTGTTGGGCAGGCTTTTCTGATGATGGTGGTGTTGGTGCAGAAAATACTTAGCATAGGAAGTCAAGAGGAACCAAGTGTGTATTTCTGACTGACAGCTGCCTCTCCCTTCCTCATGCCGAGCTTCCTCTAAACTTGTAACACGGTCTGGAGGGAGTGAGTGGGCATTTCCCGAGGACACACTCAGAGTGGGTTATGTTCATGTTAAGGAACTTTCACCTGATCTAGGTTTACAGCAGTTCCCAGTTTTAGTATTCCTGAGGGATACATGATGCTTCCCCTTGGGGACTCGTTAAGACAGTGACAAATGAATAGCAAATCTTTATTGCACGAGGAACTAGAAAATTCAGATAAAATAAGACCATTTGGAAAGCAGCCTCTTGTGCACAGTGCTGAAAAGGCACGTGAGTATCAGGTGTCAGCCTGGCAGAGTGGAGACCAAGGCCCCCCGAAGAAGAAAGAGTAGAGATTGCTCATTTGGGGCCTGTGCTAGTTAGGTTTTACTGTTGTGATGAGACACCGTGACTGCAGCCAGCCTTATAAAGGGAAACATTTCACTGGGGCTGCCTTACCTTTCAGAGGTTTAGTTCATTATCATGGTGGCACACATAGTCTATTATCAGCATGGTGGCACGCAGGCAGACAGTGTGGAAGAAGGAGCCTAGAGTTCTGGATCTGGATCAGCAGGCAGCAGGAAGAGAGAGAGCCTGCTTGAGCATTTGAAACCTAGTGTCCACACCAAGTGACACACCTCCTCCGACAAGGCCACACCTCCCAACTGTGCCATTCCCTATTAGCCTATGGGAGCCATTTTCATGTAAGCCACCACAGGGCTTAGGACATGGGCTCTGCTTTAATAAGGCAAGGTTTGCCTCAGTTGTTTTATTTATTTATTGTTTTTTGAGACAGGGTTTCTCTGTGGCTTTGGAAGATGTCCTAGAACTAGCTCTCGTATCCAGGCTGATCTAGAACTCACAGAGATCCTCCTGCCTCTGCCTCCCGAGTGCTGGGATTAAAGGCATGCGCCACCACCGTGTGGCTGCCGCAGTTGTTGATAGGGTTGTTTGGGGCATTCTCTGAATTAAACTCATGGATGGAGTTTGAATCAGAAGCTGCCTGTGTGGGAATTTATATGTGGTAGTGTGAATAAGAATGGCTCTCATAGGCTCCTATATTTGCGTGCCTAGTCACCAGGGAGGGGAACTCCCTGATAGGATTAGAAGGATTAGGAGGTGTGGTCTTGTTGGAGGAAGTGTGTCACTGGGGGTGGGCTTTGAGGTTTCAGTCTGCCTATCCTGTAGATCAGGATATAGCTCTCAGCTACTTCTCCATCGACATGCATGCAACCATGCTCTTCACCGTGATGATAATGGCCTAAACCCCGTTTTCCTTTATGAGAGCTGCTGTGGTCATAGTGTCCCTTTACAGCAACATAACAGCGACTAAGATGTTTTGGTTTTTAATCTTTTTCCCTTTTATATTCAGGACAAACTGAAGGCAAACCTGTGGGAGGCAATGTTTGAGTAACTCAAGGACACTAGATAGTGAGGATGTCGGCCCTCAACTGGAAACCCTTTGTGTATGGAGGGCTGGCCTCTATCACAGCTGAATGCGGTAAGAAGCCCTGGGCGCTGAAGCCTTTCCTGATGGGTCAAGTGTTCTGTTTGCTGTGCATGGCGTCCAAGTGCAGAATGCAAGCATGTAAAATAATAACCTCAGTCTTCAGGCTTGTATTCTTGGGCCGTGTTTTCAGGCAGACTGGTCATTTGGCTACTTATTAGCAATCTGGGGTTTAAAGTACAGGAGGGAGAAAGTTGACCAGTTTCAAGACTCTCATTTGGGGCGATTGACTCTGTTGCCTTGACCTTTTCTCCACGTTGCCACTATTAACCCATTTGGCTGCAAAGAAAGAGGTTTGACAAGCTCCAAGGAGTTCTCTGAACCAGAGCAGATTGACTATACTCCATCACTCTCTAACTTTGTGCATGGCCTGCATTCCGTTCTGATGTCATTGGTTGGGTTCTCATTGGTTGGGTTGCGTTGTTCCTATGTTTGTGTGCTGTTTATCAAGCATTCGTTGACTGCTTGGCTTCTGAGTGTCTTGTGCTGGCTTGGACACTCCCTGGCTCAGTTGACTTTGAAGGATTGCCCACTTTGTCTCTGAATGAATGGAGGCATTTGGAAGACTGATTCCTCTCTCTGAATGAAAAAACTTTTCTGAGCCAAAGTTTCTCTGTGAGAATGGATTGTATGTATGTGGGTAAATTATCAGGTCCAGTGTTAAACAACCTGACTCATTGGATTTCATTTTAGACTGTGGGACACTTCTTGCTAAGTGAAAATTCCTTCAACTTTTAAAAACCTTTGTTCAATCACTGAGCCCAGTCTTAGCCATTTCTTACATAAGGAATATAGGTGTTTGGGGTTTTAAGTGGGTTTCTTCTTTGTGTAAATGATTCTGTTTTCCGAGCTCTAGAGTGATGCAGCTTCATATAAGAGATGGGGCATAAATAAAACGTTTTACCTAGTATGGTAGCTCACACCTGTAACCCCAGTGTTTTGAGAGGTGGGACGGGCAGATAGGGATTAAGAACTTCAGCTACATAACAGGTTGGAGGCCCGGGTCCCACAGAAGGAAAACAACAAATGATGTTTATTCGTTTTCTGGGTTTGTTAATTTCTTGGTCTCCCCCCCCCTTTTTTTTTTAAATATAAAAGACTACGTAATTTGTCTTTTCATTTGTTTGTTTGAGACAAGATGCTGCTGTGTGTCCTCAAACGAATCTCTTTGCTTCCTGAGTTCTAGCTGTCGATATTGTGTGTTCAAGGGCGCGCGCGCACGTGTGTGTGTGTGTGTGTGTGTGTGTGTGTGTGTGTGTGTGTGTGTGTGCGCGCGCAACCTTGGGAGTCATCCCTTGGGTCCACTTTCTTTCTGTTTTGAGTCAGGTCTCTTACTGCCCTGGCCAGCAAGAAGCCCCTGTCTTCAGTTCCCCAGTGTGTTCACCATGCTCTTTTTTATGTGGAGTCTGGAAATCAAATTCAGGTCTTTATGCTTACAAGGCTGACACTTTACCTAGTGATTTGTTTCCCCAGACCTGTCATTTCTTTTTTTTTTTTGTTTTTGTGTTTTGCTCTTTTGAGACAAAGTTTTTCTGTGGTTTTAGAGCCTGTCCTGGAACTAGCTCTGTAGACTAGGCTGGTCTCGAACTCACAGAGATTTGCCTGCCTCTGCCTCCGGAATGCTGGGATTAAAGGTGTGCACCCTGAGTACCCAGCTGATATTTCTTATTTAATTTTAATTTATGTGCATTGGTGTGAGTTCCCCTGGAACTGGAGTTACAGACAGTTGTTAGCTGCCATGTGATGCTGGGAGTTGAACCTGGGTCCTCTGGAAGGGCAGCCAGTGCTCTTAACCACTGAGCCATCTCTCCAGCTCTAGCCCCACCCTGTCATTTTTTTTTTTTAAATTTTGTTTTTTGAGACAGGGTTTTTCTGTGATTTTGGAAGCTGTCCTAGAACTAGCTCTTGTAGACCAGGCTGGCCTGGAACTCGACAGAGATCCACCTGCTTCTGTCTCCTAAGTGCTGGGACTAAAGGCGTGGGCCACTAACACCTGACTCACCCTGACATTTCTTAGTGTTTGTTTTTTCTTTTTATTGAACAATGTTTTCCCCCAGGGCCTTGAGCTTGCTAAACCCCCAACCTCTTTTCTTTAACATTTTAAGGTACTTTTCCAATTGATTTAACAAAAACAAGGCTCCAGATTCAAGGCCAGACAAATGATGCCAACTTCCGAGAAATCAGGTACCGCGGGATGTTGCACGCACTGATGAGGATAGGTCGAGAAGAAGGGCTGAGGGCGCTGTATTCAGGGTGAGTCTTCTTTTGTGTTTTTGTGTTAAACTATGCCCTTTGAAGTGAATACTTAAAACAGCACCTTCATAGGGCAAAAAGGTGAATGTTAGAGTGTATTTGGAAAGAGACGTTAGCAAGGTAAAAAATTTTCCCTTTTAAACTTAACTCTTATCTAAATATATGTGTTATGTAGCAGAGGTTTTGGTAAAACTTTTTATTCAAAAACAGACAACAATATGAAGTATATATGTTTAAAATGTTTCACTTTACACTTTTTCATCCTTTGAAAGAATAGCCTTAGTTATTCTGAAGTAACAAGGTTTTCACCATAAAAATATTATTGTGTAAAAATAAAGAACAAGCCAGATGTTGGTGGCACACACCTTTAATCCCAGTGTTTGGGAGGCAGAGGCAGAGGCAGAGGCAGAGGCAGAGGCAGAAGCAGTCGGATCTCTGTGAGTTTGAGGCCAGCCTGGTCTGCAGAGTGAGTTCCAGGACAGGCTCTAAAGCCAAAGAGAAACCCTGTCTCAAAAAACAAAAAACAACAACAACAACAACAACAAAAAAGCTCCTTGGGAATAATGACCTCCTGGGAGTGTGGGAGGGGCGGACCGGAGGACCTCCCAGACAGTCTGTGTGGGATGCTGTGGGTTAGAGAACAGTAGTGAAGGAGTGATAGTAATGCCAGCCTGGGAGGAGACAGGAGCTGTGGAAACTGCCATGTAACCTGTCTGGCCGGTCACCTTAGAGAGGGAGAATCTCAGGTTGTAGTTACAGGAGGAGAGAGCACATGCAGGAGGAGCTGGAGGATGGAGTTCTGGGTGTGAACACAACACAGCCGGTTGCCCAGGGAGAGGATAGGAGGTGGTTTCTAGGATGGGATCATTTGGCTTGTGTTTGCAGAATCTGGCTTGAACTTGGTATTGTATTGGAAAAACTTAAAGAGGTGAAATAGCCTGACCGTGTTCCCCAGGAGTTAGGTACCTGCCTTCCTGGGTTCTTTACTCAGAAGCAAATGCCTGTGCTTTTAATTAAGTCCATATTTGCATTTATGTATGGGGTCTCAAGCTTCCATTCAGGAACCTAAAATTACCTCTGGTTTCAAGACCCACTTGTGTTTTTGTTATGTTTTCAGTGTTAAATCTATTTTAAGCTGGGTATGATGCCTTTAAGCCCAACACTAGGGAGGTAGAGGCAGGTGAGTTTGAGGCCGTCTACCTATTGAGCTCCAGACACCTTGTCGCAAAAATAAAACAAAAAACAAACAAAAACACCAGGTGGTGGAGGTGCCTGCCGTTGGTCCCAGCACTCAGGAGGCAAAGGCAGGTAGATCTCTGTGAGTTTGAATCCATCCTGGTCTACAGAGCTAGTTACAGGACAGGCTCCAAAACAATACAGAGAAACCCTGTCTCGAAAAGCCAACAACAACAATAACAACAACAAAAAAGAAGAAATCCATTTTAGCTGGATGCCTTTGCACTTGGGACTTTCTGACGTGTAGGTTGTCTTTGTCTGCCTGTGTGCCCATGTGACAGGATTGCACCTGCAATGCTTCGACAGGCTTCCTATGGAACCATCAAGATTGGCACTTACCAGAGCTTGAAGCGATTAGCTGTGGAACGCCCAGAAGGTGAGTGGCAACCTGTTTTCCTGGGGACAGAAAGTGGGCTAGTAGTGCTTTATTCCAGGCATTTTGGAATGGGTTTTTAATTATTTGGTTAATTTTCAGCTGTTAAGGACATGACTGGGTACAAAGAGTAAACAAATCATGCTCACACTGAGCTTCGAGAAAGAGCTTTCTTGTATTTTTAACTATACGCCTCCCAGACCACGCCCACCTCCTCACCCTCTCCCAACATCAGGGTCTAGTTTGTGCTGCCATGTCCTCTTGGGTGTGAGGCCATCTGGTGGAGTGTGGTTGGCCTACCAAAGGCCATATGTTTGTTCTCGTAAAGGAAAACAGCTCTCCCTAGCCCAGAAGCCGTCAGTTGTCAGCAGCTCCTTAGCCAGGAGTGGGAGCAGTCATTTGTCTTTATGTTCAAAATGCTTAGTTACTTGCTGTCAACTACTTGTCAACTGAAAACTTTCTAAAATTGAATGAATTATCACCCATTTTCAGGAACGAACTGAATGAGTTCGTGTCTGATAGCAGCATCGAGTCTATGGGATAAACATGAATATTTACATGTTCATTTGGAAAAACAAGGATGAGTAGTAGATAATTACTTTAAAATTAATTGCTTGATTCACAGAGCATACATTTATCTTCAGAAGAACAGGTAGAGTGTAACGGATTACATTATTTATATTGGAGTCATTTACAGGAAAAACTCTTTGTTTACAGATGAAACCCTGCTAATCAATGTTGTGTGTGGGATTCTGTCTGGAGTCATATCCTCAGCTATTGCTAATCCAACCGATGTTTTGAAAGTAAGTGCTGGCTGTATCACAGGCACGTTCCACATGGGGAGAACATTCAGATAATGAGACTCTGCAAATGTAGCAAGCTGTGTATCTTAGTCAGGGTTTTATTGCTGTGAACAGACACTATGATCATGGCAGTTCTTATAAAGGAAAACATTTAACAGGGGCTGGCTTATAGTTTCAGAGGTTTAGTCCATTGTCTTCATGGCAGGGAGCATGGTGCCATGATGGAGCAGTATCTGAGATTTCTGCATATTGATGGCAGGCAGCAGGAAGAGCCTGAGACACACTAGGCCTGCCTTGAGCTTCTGAGACCTCAAAGACCATGCCTTGTGACACAGTGTGCACGACAAAGCCACACCCACTCCAATATAGCCTCAACTACTCTAGCAAAGCCACACCTCCTAATAGTGCCACTCCCTATGAGCTTATAGGGGCCATTTTCTTTCTTCAAACCAACACACTATGCATGCTGAGTTTCAAACTTTTAAATAGCCATTAAGTGGATTTCTCACAGGTGCAGATGAAGTTAATATTGCATAGAGTTCATTTTGAAGATAAAGATTTTAGTGATTGATTTTGTTTTCCCATAGAAAATACTTTGTTGGGCCAGGCATTGGTAGTGCATGCCTTTAATCCCAGCACTAGGGAGGCAGAGGCAGGTGGAATCTCTGTGAGTTTGAGGCCAGCTTGGTCTACAGAGCTAATTCCAGGACAGGTTCCAAAACAATACAGAGAAACCCTGTCTCAAAAAAACAAAACAAAACAAAACAAAAAAAGAAAACATTTTGTTGGTTCATTAAAAACCAGGAGCTACACATAATTACATAAATCTAGGCTTTTTTTAAAGATATTTTTAAAACAATAATTATTTATATGGGTGTTTTGCCTGTATGTATGTCTGCACCATGTGTGTTCTGTGCCTACAGAGGCCAGCAAAGGGCATCAGATCCTCTAGAACTGGAGTTGCAGACATTAGCCATTATGTAGGTCTTGGAAACTGAACCAAGGTCCCAGCTCAAGTGCTCTTAACCATTGATCTGTCTCTCTAGCCCCCTCATTAGTATTTCTGAACATGTTTTCTTTCCTACTACCTTTTTGTCTGGAAATACAAATAAAAATATGTCCTGGGTGGTGGTGGCACACACCTTTAACCCCTGCACTTGCCAGCCTGGTCTACAGAGCTAGTTCCAGACAACTAGGGCTGGTACACAGAGAAATCTTGTCTCAAAAAAGAAAAAAAGAAAGGAAGAAAGAAAAGAAATATATCTCCTATAACATTAGAAGCAACACATTGCTGAACTGTTGAGGACACAATGGATAGACACTAATGCATTTTGGATTAAGGCAAAAGAATGATAATTAAAAAAATTCCATATGAATGCCATCCAAAACTCCCCTTTCCATTCGCATTGTTTAACTAGACTATTCCTTGGACTGTATCCTAGCACACTGAATGAAAATGGGAGGACCCCACCCTCTGCTCCATCATTCTAATAGATTCTGACAAACATCAAAGCTGTAACATGTTGGAAGTATGTTGGGTGCACAATAGTTAATACGTGCTCTAAAGACAAGGTGTAGCACATATATCCATACTCCTTTCTTCCTTCCTTCCTTCCTCCCTTCCTTCCTTCCTTCCTTCCTTCCTTCCTTCCTTCCTTCCTCCCTTCCTTCCTTCCTTCCTTCCTTCCTTCCTTTCCTTTCCTTTCCTTTTCCTTTTGGTTTTTCAAGACAGGATTTTTCTGTAGACTTGGTTGTTTGGAAATTCATTCTGTAGACTAGGCTGACCTTGAACTCACAGGAGATCCGCCTGCCTCTGCCTCTGAAGTGCTGCGATTAAAGCTTTGTACCACCAATGCTCAGTTTACCTCTTTGCTCTTAAGACAAAGGGTTCCATTGAACACTCCACATAACTGTGGTGTCTCAGTCATGTGGCTTTCTTGAGCTGGGTCAACTGTGGAAGTTCAAGTGTAAGAAAGTGTAACAGCATCCTGTTGGAAAGCTTATTTGCAGATCTTTGACAAGTTGGAAATAATTGTGGCTTGGAGCAATTTACGACCTAAGCTTGCTGTAATTTACTGTAGCTGAGTGCACTGGGTAACTCTCACTGGTTTCGGAGCCAGCTTGGTCTACAGAGCGAGCTCCAGGACAGCCAGGACTACACAGAAGAAACCCTATCTGGGAGGGTGGGGGGGGGAGTCCTCCCATTTTCTTTCTTATTAACTCATAGAGAGAAAGATGGCCCCAAAAGGTTTAAAAAAAAAAAAAAAAAGAAAGAAAGAAAGAAAAGAGAAAACCCAAGACTTACACAATGCCAGAGAAGCCTCTGATGCTGTTGGTCCTTTTAAACTCTGGAGTTGCTAAGGGCCGACCTGTGCCTTTGGTCTACTGCGGGTATTTAAAGGGTGCATCACAGTCGGGTTTGTGCTGGCTTTCCTTCCCAAGCACCACTAAGCCCTTGATGGGTGGTTTTGTTAAGTCCTTGGTGGTGAGGAGGTGGAGGATGGACCAGTTTCCTTCACCTTGTTCTTTCCCGTGACCTGTAGATCCGAATGCAAGCACAGAACAGCGCTGTTCAAGGAGGAATGATTGGCAACTTCATCAACATCTACCAGCAGGAAGGGACTAGAGGACTGTGGAAGGTGAGCCTGCAGAGCTGAGTCCGCACGCTGGCTTCCCCTCCCCTCCCCCTCACTGTGTTTGAATATGTATCATCATGGAATAGGGAGAATGCCATGTTCTGCCTTCCTTCTTAATTTATCTTTAAAATGAGGACGTGAAGGATATTTTGTGGTTTTCTTTTTTTTTTTTTTTTTTATTATTTATTTTTATGAGCATTGATTGGTGTTTTGCCTGCATGTGTGCCTGTGTGAGGGTGTTGGATTTCCTGGGACTGGAGTTCCAGACAGTTGTGAGCTGCCATGTGGATGCTGGGAATTGAACCTGGGTCCTCTGGAAGAGCAGCCAATGTTCTTAACTCCAACCCCTGTTGTGGTTTTCAGATAAGGAACATAAAGGGATTTTGCGGAAGCTGAGCACTTTTTTGTTTATTTTGCATGCTTTTTTGTTGTTTCCGTTCTTAGGGTGTCCCTGGGTCCCCATCCCACTGGGTGATTGACCTATACAGTTTCATGCTTAGGTGAAGTCTGTGGTCAGGCAAGTGCCAGTGTACAGTGCTATTTCCTGGGAGCCCCATGATGTCACCTCATGCGACCCTCAGTGTGACAGGAACTGGAGGAGTTGAGGATGGCGTGGGTCAGAACTGTTGAGTTTTTACTCTATCACTCCACACTTCTACCCAGTGGCAAACTTGGAATGGGTGGGGTAGAGCCCCGTACCCTGGCTTTCTCTGTGGACGTGAAATTCATTTTCCTACTCTGGTTTTTATCCAGGGCGTATCCCTCACAGCTCAGAGGGCTGCCATAGTTGTCGGTGTGGAGCTTCCAGTCTATGACATCACCAAGAAGCACCTGATACTCTCAGGCCTGATGGGAGACACCGTCTCTACGCATTTTCTGTATGTTTATGGATGTTAAAGTTTAATATTTTATCTGGACAGTGGTGGCATACATGCCCTTAATTTCAGCACTAGGGAGGCAGAAGCAGGTGGATCTCTGGGAGTTCAAGGCCCAGCCTAGTCTACAGATTGAGTTCTGGGACAGCCAGGGCTCGAAAAACAGACAAAAGTCACTATTGTAGGTATGCATTAGCTTAGGATGAAATTTTTGTGTAAACTTATGCAAGTTTTAGAGAAAGTATTATAATGGCATTATATTTTCTTATTTGAAAAATTATAATACAGAAGTCAAGCAAGAGGAGATAAAAGTCTTTATGCCTTTACATAGCAGTGTTGTTAACACATGTGTATGCAAACAGTATGTTTACAAATGGACATCACATGTAGCTTATAAACGAGTAAGGTCATGTTTGTATTATATGTTTCTAAAGAGGTGATAACATAGCCAGGCTGGTTTTCCATAGCGTGGTGGTGGTGCATGCCTTTAATCCTGGGACCCGGGAGGCAGAGGCAGGTCTCACACACAAAGAAAAAGAAAGTGACAACTATCCCAAATATATTCCTATGTCTGTTCTTACAGCTTAGTTGTTTCTGATTGCTTGTTATGTGTTTGTTGTATATGCACATGGTTCAAATGCAGAGGTCAGATGGAGGTCAGAGCCCTGGAGTTACAGGCAGATGTGAGTGCTGGGGTTCTAACTTGGATTCTATAAGAACAGTATTCTGTCTCTCTGCCCTTCAGTTGCTTTTAATAACTACAAGTTACCACATTATGAGCACATGGTAGATAATCTAATCCATTGGTAGGCTGAGTGCGGGTCTGGACAAGGACATTTAGGCAGGTGTGATGAATGTGCTGACTTTCACTACTAGGGGGAACAATAGTTACAACTAGTGGGCGGAGCTTGAATGCTGCAAATATGAATAAACCTTATCGAGATCAAGACAACCTCCACAACAAAGAATGATTAATTCTTTGAGGAACACTGAGGTGGGGAAACCTGCCAGATGGCTGATTCTGATAAAATAAAAGCTGCAGTTAAGTTAAAGTCAGTGGAGTTTAGTTTGAACAGAAGTGTTTAGGAGCTGAGCGTAGTGGTGCACACCTTTAATCGCAGTACTAGGGAGGCGGAGGCAGGCAGATCTCTGTGAGTTCAATGGCAGCCTGGTCTACCGAGCGAGAGTTCCAGGACGGCCAGAGAAACCCTGTTTCAAAAAGCCAAAACAGAGTGGCACTCTTGATGGAAAGTGGTTCAGAGTTAATCTACAGTGTGTGCAGCAGCGTTTGCGGCCCAAGAAACAGAAATGGTGTAGAGATGATTTCCTCAGCAAGGAGGTGAACGTCTAACCATCGCACCTTATGCTTTATGTGACTCAGCAAGTTAAGTAAATTAGGTTACAGTTACTTACGTACACAGTCAGCTTTTAGCAATGATGCTCAGTGTAGTTGAGGACAGTCTAGTGAAACTGACAGTCTACTGGAACCCGAGACCTGGGGACACTCAGTGAGGCGATCTTGTGCTTCATTTATTTTTAGACTTAGTTTTTTTTTTTTTTTTTACATGTGTGAGTGTTTTACCTGTGTGTGTGTGTGTGTGTGTGTGTGTGTTCACTGTGTATATGCCTGGTGCCTGCAGAGATCAGGGCATCAGATCCCCTGGAATTGGAGTTATGGGTGGCTGTGTGCTACCAGGTGGGTGCTGGGATCAGAACCTGGGTCCTTTAAGAGCAAGTGTCTTAACTGATGAGCCATTTCCAGCCCTAAGGACCTCATTCTCGGTGCAGCTTAGGTAGCTCTATCTTTACTTTAAGGTGAGTTTGGGAGGAAGCTGTCTCGTCTCATCTTTTGTAGCTGTAGCTGAGTGGGAGTTCTTGTCTTTTCCAATACCATTTTCCCTACAGCTCCAGCTTCGCCTGTGGTCTGGTGGGGGCTTTGGCCTCAAACCCTGTCGATGTTGTGAGAACTCGTATGATGAATCAGAGAGTCCTTCGAGATGGCGGGTGCTCTGGCTACAAAGGTACCTTGGATTGTCTACTGCAGGTGAGAATAAGTGTCTGTGTAGGATTGTGAGTTACACACACACACACACACACACACACACACACACACACATTGAAGTAACTATACTATGACAAGTATTAAAACTAAGATGGTTGAGGCCTTGGAGGCCTTGAGGATACATATGACATATACTTTTTTTTTTTAATTTTTTAAGACAGGGTCTTAGTTATGTAACCCTGGATGGCATGGAATTCGCTGTGTAGACTGAGATCCACCTGCCTCTGCTGAGATAAAAGGCATGGGCCACCGTGCCTGAATGGCATACCATATAACATTTTTGGTTATCATGGTGTGGTTTCAACCACACTGGGTTTGAAAGTCCAAGATCTAGATGAAATTGTATAAATTAATGTTCATTTTCCACATACTTTTCTTTCCCCTGCTAGGAAGGATGCTAAAACAGTAATATTTTCTGTGGTCACAAAACTGTCCCTTTCCAAAGCAGACCTTTACCCTCTTGAGTCAAATTGGATGTCCAGATGTGTCTCATAGGAGTGCATCAATGTGACCACAGCTTAGAGAACTGGTTTTAGCAGAGGAAAGTGTTTGGCTTTCCCAGGGGTCACCAGCAGCCAAAGCTTAGGGACACTTGCTTTAGGTCTTAGCATGGTATTAATGCTTCTTAGTTTTAGGATTGCTTTATGTTTTTTAAAATAGTTTTGTTTTTTTTTTTTAACATTTGCTTATTTTATATATGAGATGCTCTATCTGCATGTACACGTGCAGGCCAGAAGGGGGCACCAGATTCCATTACAGATGACTGTGAGCTGCTATGTGAGTGCTGGGAATTGAACTCAGGATCTTGGTAAGAACAGCCAGTGCTCTGAGCTATCTCTCCAGCCCCCTGCTTTACGTTTTTAAAATTACATTTACTTTGTGTTGACAGAGGTCTGGGTGGTGATGGCGCTGGCTATGCATACATACTGTACCAGTGCATGAGTATAGAGGTTAGAGGCCAGAGGACGCCTGGGACGAATCGGTTTTCTCCTTCCATCCTATGGACTCTGATGATCAAATTCAGGTTGCCACGTTTGGCAGCAGGTGGCTTTACCTGCTGAGCCATGCCACCACCTTCTTAGATAATCTAACCGGCCCCAGACTTGGTAGGTAGCTGGGTGTGACCATGAACTTCCGATCCTCCTGCCTCTACCTCCCAAGGGCTGGGATTACAGGCATGTGCCACCCTTTGGGATTTATGTGGTGGGATTTATGTGGGCAAGGGGTCCAGGCAAGGGCCTGAGCTCCGTCCCTGCTCTGGTGCTGCTTCAGTGAAGCAGAGGTAGGAAACTTGGGAAGACAAGCGAAGTGCTCTGAAAGGAAAGCTATCCTTGTCAGAGTTGCTCATTTATTCCTGGCTTGGTTAGGAGCCCAGATGGCATGGAAGCAAATGGCCCCTACTTAGAATTAAGTCTGTTTTCTTACTCAGTGAATTCTTGTTTGCTTGCCTTGTGTGGGGTTCATCCTCCCTGCCTGCCAGTTCGTCCGTCATACAGAAGCCTTTAAGGGACAAAGAGGCAGAACAAAGTCCCTAATCAGTCCCTTCAAATCGACATTTATTTATTTATTTTGAGTAAGCATATAAAATGAAAAATTTTTTCTATTCTTTGAGGAATGAAATGAAAAATTTTTTCTATTCTTTGAGGAATGCTTGGTGCAGACTGTGGAGACCAGCTCCCAGAGCTGCTTCAGGGTAATAGAGAGAAGACTTCAGAGTCGTGGGGGCTTAGGGACAATTCCTGTCTGAGGGTTGCTGGACTTTTCTGAGTGGTAAATGTGAAAACAGGCACTTTCTGCTGCTAACCCAAGGAAAAAGGAACAAGCACACACTTTCCTGATGGTGACCTTCTCTTTCCTTGAACTTAGTCTTTCTTTCTTGACAATCCCTTTACATACATATATCCCTCTCCTGCTCAGTGGCGTATTTCTATATTCAGTTACATCTCTTTTCACGTGACTACACGTCTGTTTCATTTCTTTTACTTTTCTCTTCATCCCCTTTCTATACAGCTTCATCGTCCTAACCTCCACAGAGTTAGAGATCTCCACACAGACACAGCTCAGCTCTCTCACTGCAGCCTTTTACACAGTTCCTAGGTGCAGCTCCTCCCTCCCTAGCTTCCTCCCTCTCTCCTTCCCTCCCTCCCTGCCTCCCTCTCTCCCTCCCTCCCTCCCTCCCTCCTTCCCTCTCTCTCTCTCTCTCACACACACACACACTCTGTAGTATTCACACACTCTTCACTCACTCTCATTCACTCTCTCACACTTCTCTCTCTCTCTCCACAGCTGTATTCTCTCTCTCTCCACAGCTGTATTCTGTCTCTCTCCACAGCTGTATTCTCTCCACATCGGCACTCCTGCTCTCACAGCCAAACTCTGGACAATTATAAGTTATATTTTCAGGGCCTGACCCGTTCTCATAACACAAGATAAGTCACAGAGTTTCTCTTTGGCTAGGAATGTCACATTGACCGATGCACATAGCTCCCAGACAGTGAACAGTTGGCTGAACCTGGAGGTTAGGGAGTCCGTGCAGAAAGGCCCATTGCTGCAAGTAGTTACGTTTACTAAAGTTGCTTCTATTTTGACTTCGAATCAGCAAAACAACACCTGGGAAGGTGACAACATGTATTTGTCTCTAGGGATAACCAGATATTGTCTCCAGGGGCAACCGGCCTGCTTTGAATTTGTTCTGGAGTCTGAAGTTAGCTGTCTGTATAAAAGGCTGTCTTTGTGACTGAGAATCCTATGTCAGTCTGGGTGATGTAAATATCCTAGTATTATTTGTACTCATCAGAATTATACAGTTAGGCTAAAATCATCTTCCTGACCATCCACAGCTATACGTGTGCCCAACAAGTATTAAAATACACTACCAAAGGGCCGTGGAAGAACCCCACAACTGTTCTTATAAGGGAGGCATAGCAGTGGTACCTGAGAAAATTGGGGACAGAAAATAACGAGTAATTTACACAATAACTGTACAGCTTTGCCAGGTAGGCTCCCCAACTGGGTGGACCTCAAACACTAGTTGTCACTGCTGTACATCCCCACGCCCCCTGCAAAAGCTGAAAACATTCAGCAGTTCTTTGTAATATTATGCATTTGTGTAGAATTAATGACCAAGAAGAACTCAGCCTTGTGCATAGCCCCTGATGGTTTTCATTGGAAGAATATTGTAGCTGGTGGTGGTGCACACCTTTAGTCCCAGCACTCGGGAGGCAGAGGCAGGAGGATCTCTGTGAGATCTATGGCAGCCTGGTCTACAGAGTGAGTTCCAGGACAGCCAGGGCTACACAGAGAAACTCTTATCTCGAAAAACAAACTAACAACTAAAATTGTAGTTTGTAAATGGCATCACCCACAGCCTGTCGAGGCCATTCATGCATTTGGTTTCGCTGTTCTTTGCATCTAGATTGGAGTAGGTCTCAGAAATTTCAAAGACCAGTGGTTGTGTTTCCCCGTCTTCTGAATTCCCTGCCTCCAGCAGCCAATAGGTAGTTCCATTAGGAACTGCAGCTTCTGTGTGTTGCATATTACTTCTACAGGCACAACATACTGCCTGGCTAGAATGGTACTATCAACCTTAGGCACAGTGGGCTGTGGTGGGCAGGGTAGGTTGGTGGCTTGAGCAGCAAGGTGGGACATTCCATACCACAACTGAGGGCAATTGGAAAGCCCACTTTGGCAAGCTTAAGTTTCCCCAGGCTCATTCAGAGACAACTGTGGGATTCAGTTCTCTTCTACCATTTAAGTTGGGGGTTGGGGCATCCTCCACCTTGGGATTTAATTTTGACTAAAAAGTGTATCAATTTGACACATTATTAATGCATTTGACATAATTGGAAAATGGGAAGTTAATCCTTTTTTTTTTTTTTTTAAATAGACATGGAAGAATGAAGGGTTTTTTGCTCTATATAAGGGTTTTTGGCCAAATTGGTTGCGCCTTGGTCCTTGGAATATCATTGTATCCTTTTTTGCTGTGGTTGATTTAAAAAAGGCTGTTACTAAAGAATACAGTTTGTTTTTGTTTATAAATTAAAATATAGAGTGAGTTCTTTTCCTTTTGAGTTCTTCTGATTTTAAGAAATAGCCGCTTCATTTCTACCTTAGGAAATGTAAGGTCTCTTCATTCGACATGAGGCTCTTAGTTCAGTGGTGTTGCTGGTGGAAGGTGTTGATTTTCATTAGAATCTTCCCTAGGAGTTCAGGGCATTTGTGGTTCCAGAGTGATCCGATTGATGTATCTCCTGCTCTCCTGAGGAAGGATGTGGGTGCCATCAGTTTGTAAGCATGCTTAATGTAGGTTGTTTACCGAACATGGGCAGGACTTAGCTCTGGAGGTGTTTGACATCCAGGGGGCATGTAAGGAGGGGCAGGTCAGCAGACACAGAAGGAAGTAAGTTAGAGGTTGCGCGCTGCTGGGGTGGGCATCCCCTTTCTTTGTTGATGGGGAAGTGCTGGGGAGGAGCTCCCTGGGGCTCAGTTGTACTCAGCCCAGTGAGGTCTTTGCTAATGGGAATGTGTGCCATTGCTGAAGAGCCTGAGGCTGAGGAGTTGGTGGATCTCAGCTCTGCTCTCCCTATTCTGAGCTGACCTTGGGCATCTGGGGAGATAGCCTGAGACCCGTGTGGAACTCAAGTGGAATGGTGTCCTTGGCAAGCTGCCTGCAGGCCCTGGCTAGTAGAGAAACTGAGTTATGTGTCTGCTCTATGTGTTGGGCTTGGAAACATGACATTTTCTTGGCAACCTTAACCCATAACCACAGTTCTTTTTGACATATGAGCAGCTGAAGAAACTGGACTTGTGACCAGTCCGCGCTACACGAGATAGTCTTCTGAAAAGCCAACCTCCGCGATGGTAGACCCTCCTGTGCTTCTGGCTGCTTCTCTCACTGCACAGCTAGGATGGGAGCGATGGGTGAAGACTGAGTCCCAGTTCTTCAGATTGTCATTCGCAGGCACTGGGCGCTTTTCACCCAAGTTCATAGATTAAATCATAACATGTACTCACTAACGTTACCATGGACGTGCCCTTTGACACCCAAGATGATGTACACAATACATGTTTCTTGCTGTAGAAAACTTGCAGGGAAATCAGAACCGTGTGCAGTTTCCTTCATAGCTTTGCTGCCTCTGGGCTTCCAGCTGTGAACAGCAGCTCTGAGAAGGCTCTGGAGCCGGCCCCCACCCCAGACTGTGTGGCAGTGCAGGAAGTAGATTTTTAGAGCATTGCACTGCTTTGTAGTTCCTGTTTGGGCAGAATCTTTCACTTCGAAGACTTGACCTTCGGGAGGGACCATTAGCCATTTGCCGTATGGGTTTTAGTTGAAGTTTATTATTTCCATTTGATCAAATGGGGATAGTCATGCTGAGTGATGAAGGCTGCTGAGGCTGCTGGGGCTGCTGGGTAAAAGGTGAGTGTGTTTACACTCACAGTAAACAGCTGGGTACCACAGGTGTTCCTGAGGGGAGGCTGTTGTTCAATAACACCGCAGGTGAAGTTTGTCGTCGGTTGCAGATGAACTGAAGAGGGATGTCTTCAGACTTCTAGCCTTCACTTTAGCTTAAAGTGGTTTCTCTAAAAACCCTTTGTCTGAGATTTCCTAGCTAATTTCCTTGAAATTTAAAAAAAAATTATTTCTTCCTATTTCTTTTTTGTGATATTGGGGATCAAACCCTTGTGCACTCTGGGTATCTGACCACAATGAGCCCCACTTCAAAGTGACGGCTTGGTCGCTGATTTATCTCCTTTCTGAAGAGAGGTGTTTAACACCCTCTACCTATTTGTGTTAGAATCCTCTGAGACTGATTGATTAATCCTCTTATACTCTTCAGAGAAAAAGATGTCTCTAAGAGCGAAGAGCTTTCTATTTCTAGAAGGGAGCCCAATCCCTTCAGGTGTACCCTGTGAAAGTCTAAGGGCTAACCGGGACTCTTAAGTAGCCACAATACCAGCTGCATTCCGTATCGGTCCCATAGGGCTATTTCCTTCTTGAGGCAGAAGCGTGCAGGTTTTCCTTTCCTTGAAGGTGTTGAGTGTTTTGTTGTTACATTTTCTTTTCTTTTTTAATTTAATTTTTATTATTTTTATATTTTTTCTTATTTTACATATGGATCCCAGTTCCCCCTCCCTCCCTCTCTCTCCCTCTCTCCCTCCTTCACATTACCCCCCTTGGCTTCTTTATTAATGTTTTCTCTGAAAAACAGTCTGAGAAGCAGGGTTTGATTTCTAAAAGTAAAAGAAAAGCTAAGAAAATCATCACAGAGAACAGAAGTCTTAAAGATGAAGAAAATCTGCAACTCCCTGGAAAGCCACTAGATGGCAGTAGAAGACTGCAGCTTCTATGTGTTAAAGATAACTTTTCTTCTGACCTGAACATTCCGTTAAGTGATAGACTCCACAGAGGCTTTCTCTTGAGTTGAAAGGATTGCATTTTTTTAAACCACTTTTTTGTTTGTTTGTTTTTGTTTTGTTTTTTTAAGACAGGGTTTCTCTGTGTAACAGTCCTAGCTGTCCTGAACACCCCCCTTTAAAAAAAAAAAAAAAAAGACCGGACTGGCCTCAGACTCACAGAGATCCTCCTGCATCCGCTTCCAGAGTGCTGGGATTAAAGGCATGTGCCACCACTGACTGGCCAAAAACAAAAACAAACAAACAAAAAAACCAAAAACCAAACCAAATAAACAAAAACCCCACCACTTTATTTTTTAAAGTATGAAGGTAATTTCATTTTGAAGATCATGTAAAGAGTAGATATCAGACAGTATTATTAGTTTATTCAGATTATGTATGTGTCTGTTCCTGGATGAAAAGAAACTTGAATTTTACTGTAAAACTTAAGCATGTTTTAAGGCAAAGTTGCAGTATTTTGAGACAAGGGTGTCAACTTCCTGAGTGCCTTATAGGGCAGGGTCTAACCTGCCTTTCTTTCCCCGGAGTTAATACAGTCGTTGATGTTCCTAACCCAGAGACAACTTAAAGCTCTTCTACTGGCATTTTGATTAAGTATGGTGTAAACTATTTAGAGTTTTTGTAACTAAGTTGAAGGAAATTGTGTTTGTGTTGTTTGTTGCTGATGCTCTGTGTTGCTGATCTGTGACCTAAAAAGTGGCTCCTGTTCTCTGTATTTATTCATGTGCTATAAACAGTATGTGTTATGTAAAGAGTATACATTTTTCACAAGCTTTTCTATTTCAAGCTCTTTTACATGGTTGGATTGTGTGGCATAAACCTTGTTCCATTATTTAATAAACTGAAGTAATATTTAATGGCATGATGGCTCATGGTTATTTCAGGTACATAGACACAGTCAGAAAGAGGCAAACTCCAGGGGGTCCAGAAGGCTGGGGGAGGGGCAGTGTTCATGAAAGTGGCCTTGAGTACCTCTCTCTGCATGTAGACATTATTGGGTCAGCTTACTCTTGGCCTTGTACCTTGGAGATGCCCCCCCCCCATTATTTTGTGAAGTATTCCACAGGTTAGTAGAAATGAGTGAACTTAATTCCAAGGCTGGCTTGGCAAGGCAGGCTCAACATTCACAGGCCAGTCTCAATCCCTGGGTCCTTCATCCAGTGCTATGTGCTGCTAGAAGCCTGAGCTGGCATCCTTGGTTAGCTGGACCAGACAGGGACGCTTGTTTCACAGAGAACAACAAAACTTTTTGGTTAATTAAAAGGACTTGGCAGATGTTCATTTTCTGAACATTTGAGTTACATATTATGGTTTGTTAAGAACTGGGTAAAAGAGGGGAGCTTTGCTGATTAATTGATGCATTTCTTAGAGCACTTGGTTTCATGGGAAAAGTCAGTGATGGTACACACGTTCCCGGGCTTTCCTTCTCTCTCGCTTCATCTGCATTCTGGACCAGAGAGGTGTCCCTATTACAACTGATGAACCCACATCGATACACCATGTTACTGTGCCCACAGCTCATCAGCTTAGCGTTCACTGTTGGTGTAGTACAGTGCCCATCTCATATGTAATGATTTATATCTATCCTTGTCACATGACACAGACTAGCGGCAATATAGAAAGATGAATAAAAAAAAAAAAAAAACTGAACATGGGGAGGAAAAGAACCCTTCGTCTTCAGATCTGGTTAGTGTTTCCTGCCATCTGAGAGTCAGGAGACGCTCAGATAAAATCAAGCTTAGCTGCAGAGTGTCAAGACGTTAAACAATGAACCATCCTCACTTAGGGCCAGAATGGTTGAGGTCTTGAGTTTAATTAAATTAGTACTGCACTCATCCCTAAACCTAAAGTGTTCCAGAAAGCCACTTTATAATTTCATTCACAGTTTTTTATTCATTAATTTTGTGCATGTGTGTTTGTGTGGGAGAGGTGCTGGTGTGCCACATTATACATGGGGAGAGGATAACTTGTGAAGGTCACTTCTCTGTGGGAACTCATCATCAGGCTTGGGGGCAGTTTTAGTCACTCTGTTTTGTCCTGAAATTCTTTTCAGTGCATAGTCAAGGACCTGGCTTTCCCGAGCGGAGGTCATTAGGGGCCACCCTCCAGCTACCAAGTGGCAGTGCTTAGCTGTGTTCCCTCAACATTTCTGACAGCATCACTGCTCTATAAAAAGGGGTGGGGCAAGGACCTTCTCTCACTTAAGAGGGGATGGCATGCCCTTACACAGTTGATTTCTTGTAAAGGTTAGGGAGACCGGCTGTCTGCTTGTGGCTCTCAAATGCTCCCAACAGTGGACTTCTCGCTTGGATGGTGGCACCTGTTACAAACATTTGGCCTCATTAGACTGTCAACAGGGGAAATGAGACATTAGCCAAGGACTTAGATCCTCTGGCACATGGCAGGATGCATTCTTTCAATGACTTTACATATCTGCTCTCTCCTTTGCAGCCTGTGACAATAGAGAAAGCAAGAATATCGCCTTTGTCTTAGGCCCTTGAGAACCCACCCTACCCCTCCATGGCTGAAACAGCCGTGGCCAACCAATGCTTTGGAGTGTTTTCTTTGGTCAACCGGATCATGTGGTTTCATTTTTAAAACTATACTACAATCATTTTATTCAAGTAAAACCACACTTTATTCTATAATTTAACCACAATTATCCCTTTTCTGTTCCAGGAATCAGTCTAAGATTCCACATTGCAATGACATGCAATGACAGCCAATGACTTGGCTGGTTAGTCTCCTATATGTAACAGCTCCTCAGCCATTCCTTGCTTTTGTTTTGTTTTTTGTTTCCCAATTACTTTGAAACTCTTTTTTACTTCAAAGTTTTATTTGTGTGTTTGTGTGTGTCATGTGTATGTGGGTACCTAGAGAGGTTAGGAGAGGCGATTGGATCCCCTGGAACTGGATTTACAGGTGGTTGTGAGCTGTATGATGGGGTGGGGAGGGCTGAGGACTAAACTGGGAATCTTCTTTTTTATAAAACTGGAGTCTTCTAAAAGAGCCGCAAGCTCTCTCAGCCTTTGAGCCATCTCTCCAGCCCTGATCTTGACACTTTTGAAGAACAGTGTTCAGTGTTTTGTACGTCTGTCCATTTGTGATATGTTGTTGGTTGTCTTCAATGTCTAGAATTTGTAGTAGGCTTTTTTTTGGGGGGGCATCAACCAGCTCCCAAATCATGACATGGAGACTTATTATCAGTCATGATGCTCAGCCCACCAGCTCTTATAATTTAACCTGTTTATCTTTATCTACATTTTGCCTCAAGGCTTTTTACCTTTCATTCTGTATGTCCTACTCCATGTCTGTCTGTCTGGCAGCTGCCTGACTGGCTTGCCCTGGGTGTCTCCCTCATTCCCTCTCCTCTTTTTCTTCTTTTCTCCAGACTAGATTCTTCAGTCTACTTATACTACCTAGCTATTGGCCATTCAGCTTCTAATTAGAATCAGGTGCCTTAGGCAGGCAAAACAGCACATCTTTACATAGTTAAACACATGAAACATAAACAAAACTAACACATCTACATAAAGTAATACTCCACAAGAATTAGGTTTGTGTTTTTGGTAAGAATGCCACAGAAGGAGTATCACACTCTGAACTCATGCAGCCAGGAATTTCATGGCAATGATGGTGCGTTAGATCACATGATTAAGATGGTATCTGCTGCTGTAAGTCATTATTTTCTCAACCTCCTCCTGTTTTGGATACCAGGTTTTGCTATTAGTCCAGGATGGCCTCGAACATGTTGGAATCCTTCTTCGTCAGTCTTCTTAGTACTGGGCTTTCAGGTGTGTATCACCATGCTTAGTTCTTCCTTTTTATTGGTAAATATCTTGGAGAGATTATCTGGAACTCTGCAAATTGCCATTATTTTCTGGAACCTTTGCCAGCTCCTACCAGCATCCACCCTTTTATCTTGCCCAAATTTGTTTATATTGGAATACATTCAGTTTATATACTGACCAAGCATATTTGTTCAACTATATAGGTTTCATCCAATAATACTGTTTAGCTGTCCAAATGTGTATCGTGATTTAAACGGCGGAGTAATTTTCCCAGTTTCATCTTTGGATCCTCAATTACTGATACAGTTCCTCAATGTTGGCCGTTTAGGTTTTTTTTTTTTCCCTTCCAGTTTGATACCATTATATTAACGAAGCCTGATACATATGTCTTTGAATTTGTGTCTCTACCAATTAGTTTCCTAAAAGGGAAGTTGCATATTCGAGAAATTTGTGCTCTTGGTTGCTATGTCAACAGGGAAAATCACCCACTACCTATCTGACAGCAGAGAAGCGGTAGATCTCCGGAGTTCTTCAATCCTCCCATCGGTCGGGTGGTGACTTCCCACACTTGGCCAAAACCTCAACAACTCATTACAATAAAGTTATCGATGCCCAGGAAGAGACTTCCGGTAGGGGCAAACCCATTTCCGCCCACGCCGGTCTCGGCCCACCCCCCCAGCTTCAGGTACATTTCAACCGGAAATGTTTACCCACGGTCGAAAGCCACGTCTGTTCTGGCCTCGGTCCCGCCCCCACGCCGGGAAGCGTTTCCGGGGTCAGGGCGCTCGGGCCCGCCCCGCCGCGGCTGCGGCGCTGGAAGCCTCGGTCCTCCCGGAAGTTCCCGGCTCTGCCTGTCGCGGCCCGGTTCTGTGCCACGGAGGGGCCCAGGGCGGCGGGGATGGCGGAGGCGGCGCTGCTGCTGCTGCCGGAGGCGGCGGCCGAGCGGGACGCCCGCGAGAAGCTGTCTCTCTGGGATCGGAGACCCGACGCGATGGCGCCGCTGACAGACAGGCAGACGGACTCGGTGCTGGAGCTGAAGGCGGCGGTGGAGAACCTGCCGGTGCCCGCCGAGGTGAGGCGAGGGCGTGGGCAGCGCCCGGCCGCCCTGTGCGGGGATCTGGCCTGTCGTCCCGAGCCACCGTGGCGGGCCCGGCGGGAGGGGCCTGCGTGTGCCCCGATGTCAGCCTCACGCTGCCGGCCACCGCGGCCGTGGCCCCGCCGGGGTTGCGTGCGGGTCCACGCGAGGGCACCGCCTTCCCCCCAGCGGCGTGGGACGGTTGGCCTGAGCCTTGCCCGAGCGTCTTGCTCCAGATGTTCCAGTGTCAGGGTAACCCCGCTTCCCATGGGCCCGAGGTGCCGTCCTCTGGAGTCGGCTACTCTGTTTTCCTGCGTCCCCGAGTCATCTGGTTTGCTTGCTCCCAGGGGCGAAGGAGCACTTGGGATCAGACTCGGTCCCGAGTGACAGTTTCATTCATCACACAGCAAAGCTGTGAACTCTTGGTGTGGGTTGTGGCAGATGAGGTCTATTTAACCTATGGCGAAGCAATACAAAAAAGAATCTCTTTTGCGAGTTGACTCAGTTATTAAGTAGTGCTCTTTGGGTTTTCGTGTCAACATTTTAATCCACTTGCCACTGGGGCAGTATGCAGGTACCGTTTGTGTGATTCAGTGTGGTTATAATGGTAGAGAACTTTTTACGAATTGTGCAGATGCTTGACAGGCTCTTCTGATTTCGAGGCCCAGACTTTGGGTTATTTTATTAGCAGTGGTGATTAGTTTTGATGCTGGAGGCATCATTAATCTCTATTCAGTTTGGAATTGTATCCGAATGCAGACTGAATTTGGCATTCTCACCTTACTTTATGGAGGTGTGATTAGAAACGTTCTCTGCACCTTTGTGTGCTGTGCTGGACAAATAGGTGTTCATAGGTGCGCTTTCCTGCCCACCTCCAGGATGTCTTACAGGAAGTAGATTTGAGTAAACGAGGGAGCAGGTGGAAAGTTCTTTGACCTGGCTATGCTTTATGCCCTGGGTTATAGGTAGGTGTGGTGTGGTGTGGTGTGGTGTGTGTGTGTGTGTGTGTGTGTGTGTGTGTGTGTGTGTGTGTTGCAGGGGATTAAACCGAGGGCCTGTGTGTTGCAGGGGATTAAACCGAGGGCCTTGCCATTGCTGGCTAAGCACTATACCACAGACTTACATTCTCAGCCCAGAAACTGGTTTATGTGTTTCCTTCCCAGTCTGTTTATGATTTGTGTGCCCTATTATTGAAGCTGTGTGTCTAGACTTCACAGAGTCAGGAGTGAACCGAACACTATAAGAAACTTCATTGTTTTTTGCCATGGGTTAGGAACTAAGCTTTCTTCCTATTTAATATGGAGAGGGTTGGAAGGAAATGGCAGTGTTATCATTTTACACCATTCTTCCTTATTTATGCAGCAATACTTATTATCTCATGTCACTTATTTTGCCACATACCTCCACTGTGGTAGGGATTGTAGATGGAAACAAATAGGAAAGATGAAATTTCCAGCTTTAGGACAATGACATAATCATAGAGATCTTGAGCCTGTAATGAGACAAAAACAAAACAAAACAAAACAAAAAACTAACAAACCAAGAAGGTCCAGATGGTGATCCATTCGTTACATCAGAAAAATAAAAGAGGATGGTGGGACCAGAGTGGATGAGGTGTGCCTTTTCATGGGAGGCCTGAAATAAGGGTAATGTAAAGGGGGAGGTGGCTTTTAAAGGAAATGACAACCTAGGGTGTGAACTGACGTGGAAGACATAAAGCCAGCCTGGGATAGGCTAAGTCAATAACATTCTAGCTGGAAGAAAAAGCAGTGTAAGGTCCTGGCTAGAGGATGTACTTAACAAGTCCAAGTATTCTGGGGTGGTCTCAGTATTAGAGCTTGTTTACACTGCCTTCGGGATCTTGGAGGGGCATGTCCTCATGGCTATTTCTTCCCTGTACTAAAGTGTTCTATGTCTGATAACTTCACTGTTGAAAAAAGAATGCATTGGTTTTAGCTTGTCAAACCAGCATATTTTCATAGACTTCTCTGTAGTATTTCAATAAATTATTTCCTGATTTATTAGACAGGGCTGATTTAGTGGTCTATTTGGTGTCAGCTAATGGTCACTAAACATGATACAGATGTTAATGTCTTTAGAAAGCAGCTTTCCCACTTATAAAAAAGCATACTTAGGGCTGGAGAGATGGCCCAGCAGTTAAAAGCTCTTGATGGTCTTATAGAGGATCCAGGTTCAATTCCTAGCACTTAGATGGTGATTCACCACACTCCTGTAACTGCAGCATGTGCAAATACATATATATGCAGGTAAAACACACATATAAAATGAGAAAAAGTAATAAAAATTCCTTACCTTGGAAAGTTGCACCTGCTTTTCTTTTAAAAGTGTTGTAAATATATTTGTATATATATATTGCATTAGATAAAAGAATTTGCAGTAGTGTGGCTCCTTGTATTCTAGGCAAATTTTCTTATAGCAGCGAGGATAAGTAGTTCTTGTAGTGCTAAAATAATTTACATTGAAACCTATCTGTAATTTACTCCCATAGCTGCTATTTTCTTGTAGGTGTGTGACCTTGGAGTGACAATTAACTTCTGCATGCTTCTGTTTATAAAATAGAAGCTTGTCTCCTGGGGACTTGTGAAAAGTAAAGGCAGCCATGTGCATAAATGGTGCATAGAAGCTTGTCTCCTGGGGACTTGTGAAAAGTAAAGGCAGCCATGTGCATAAATGGTGCACGGCAGGCTTCTTGCTAATGTTACATTATTCATGTCATCTCTTTCAAGCAATGAATGTTTTAAAAGAGTAGATTAGAATCTTGAGCTAGTTTAGGTGTCACGGAGACTGAAGATAAGAAAGGAACTGTTTTGGCCCTTGGAAGGTTTTGAGACTCCAACTTCAATGCTATGCTCTAAACAGAGAAAGTGTTGTCAGTTCAGTTGGGGAATGGATTGATCCCATTGATTCTAAGAGTCCTTTTCTCCACTCCAGGATTTTCCAAGAAACAAAGCTTATGAGAGGAAGGGACATTTGTCTTCTCCTGGATTGGCCTAGCTGGTGAGGTAGTGCTGTGTGATTTATTGTAATTATTATCTAGTATGCTCATGCCCATTTGTATAGGCTGTATAGTAGCTTTCCAATACGGCCAGCAATATCTGAGTTCATGTGTGTCTGGTGGTGTGTCTGCTCTGTCCTGCCGCCTTGGCAGTGCACTGAGGGAGACCCTGATCGAGTCAGCTTTTCTCTGAGAAGTCAGAAGCATGCCGGTGACACTACCACACTGCCTTTTGACTTGCCACTCTACTTCTGCTAAATTGTGAGAAGAACTTAGTGGGACATAAGTACCCAAAGGGTTAATTTTTTCTTATGCTGTTAAAAGCAAGTTGTTAACATTATTATTTAAATTTTAAAAACGTTTTTCTTAAGTGTTTCATAAAGTATTTCTTTTTGAAATTATTATTTCTTTAAAATGATTGTATTGTGGTTTCTTTCCTACTAGTTTGAGAGAAAATTGTTAGTAAGAATAAGGGAGCAGGGCCCTCCTGATTCTTGTATTTAAAGATTTTAATTTTTGAAGATATTATTATTATTATTGTTATTGTTATTGTTGTTATTATTATTTTGCTTTTCAAGACAGGTTTCTCTGTTCCAGCCTTGTCCTGGAACTCACTCTGTAGGCCAGGTTGGCACTGAACCCGAGATCCCCCCCTCCCCACCAGTGGCCTAAGGTGTTTGTTCACTGAGGAGAAAGGGCTAGGCAGGCTTTGTGCCCTGCTTTCCACATGGTAGCAACCACTGCTCTGTTGGTACCACCTTGTTCATGAACTTTGTCACAGATCTCTAGTGGAGTTTGTGAGTAGGTGTGGATTCTTCCTAAGGCAGTGGCTTCCAAATGCTTCCACTTACCTTCTAGTCCTAGTGGTTGGTGACAAATTAATTTGAGAATTCTTTTTTAGCCACTTGCATGGTGCTTGTCATTCTCTTTCCCGTGGTCTCCCACAAGAGGGTCAGTATTTGACTGTCACTGGAAATGGCCATCTTTCTCCAGTTTGATTTATTTTATGTGTACGAGTGCTGTGTCTGCATGTATGTATTGCATGCATGTGTACCATGTTTGTGCTTAGTGCCTACAGGTCAGAAGAGGGTATCAGGTCCCCTGGAACTGGAGTTATGGATGGTTGTGAGTCACCTTGTGGGTACTGGGAATTGAACCCAGGTCTTCTGCAAGAGCAACAAGTGCTTGTGACCCCTGAGCCATCTCTTCATGCTTTCCCCAGGATTTGATTTGCATGGTTATCCTGCAGCCTGGGCTATGATGTATATAAGAGTACATGACTTAACACTGCCTGGCAAGATGGCTTCGTGAGAAAGGTCTTTGTGGTCAAGCTGATTGAACCTGAGTTCAATCTCTGGACCCACATGGTGGAAGGAGAGTACTGACTGCCACAAAAGGTCACATGCAAATGCTAAATGATTAAAAGAGAATATTTATACTTTTGTAAAGTATTTGTTTTTTGCATGTTTGTGTGTAAGCAGCATGCATTTCAGTCTCTTCTTGAAGCCTGATGTTAAGTGGGATGCTTGTCAAATCCAAACTGGAGGCTTTACTTTTTCCCTTTACATCTTATTTACCTTCTGCTACTTATATTTCTGTTTCCCCTTTACATCTTACCTACTTTAACTGTGATCTCTTGTTACAGAACTAACTTTTACTACTAATACAATATTGCAAAGACAGCTTAGTTAACTATTCTGTTCTCAAGAAGCAATGTAGATTCAGATCAGTAAATTTATTCTGTTGCTGCTCCTAAGTAGAAGTAATAAAGAACTATGATTTTATTAATAGGAATAATAAAATATACTTCTAATGTCAGTAATTCAATTTTATTGAGCATTTACTATGTGGCAGGTCTTATGTTAAGTGTTGTGTACATACAGCATTGTCTTGTTGTTTGTGTGTGTGTTTGTCTGTGTGGGCTCCTTGTTGGTTAATTGGGGTGCTTCTATAGTGTGGGTGTAGATGCTGTTTATCTCAGTTACAGTTCTGTCTTTAGAACCCTTAATGGCAACACACAGTTGCTGGTTATACTCTAGACTCAAGATAGATTTCACTGAGTTTGAGAACCTAATTCTTGCTGGGCCACAGTACTTTTATACCAGGGTCTATGCTATTTCAGCAAGAGTTTATATGTGTTGTGATGTCCCGAGAAGGCATTTGCATTTGGCTAGGACCCTCCTGGCTCTTGAATCCAACTCATTTGTGTATAAGGACCTTCCTGATCATGTTTGCTATTGTTGGCTGTTGTTTGCTCACGCTTGAAGAAGCCAATGCTCTCCTTTGCTCCTTACAGTAGTCTTTATGGCTACAGGATCTGTAGTCTTGATATGCCTACAGGATCTGTAGTCTTGGTATGGCTACAGGATCTGCAGTCTTGATATGGCTACAGGATCTGCAGTCTTGATATGGCTATAGGATCTGTTGTCTTGGTATGGCTACAGGATCTATAGTCTTGGTATGGCTACAGGATCTGTAGTCTTGGTATGGCTACAGGATCTGTATGTGATAAGAGGAGAAATTGAGGAATAGAGTCATGAATTTCCCCAATGCCATCTAGCTTGTACATAAGCAAGAGGTTTTCAACCAGGCTTCACTTTAGTGTGTTTACCATGTAAGTATAGCCCTGTGTGAATACAGATGTAACCTCCCCATATTCAAGACTCTTGTTTCTAGATTAGTAGTGGGATATTTGTGCATCTAGCTAATTTGAGCTGTAAAGAAAAAGATGGAATGTCTGCATTTAGAAAGAAAGCCATTTGCTAAGGCCTTGAGTCATCTCTTCTGTTGGAAGACTTTAAATGCCATGAGCTGAGGGCTGAAAAGTAGAACTGAACCTCATAGCAGGCCCTGATGCTTTCCCTGTCACCCACTTAGGTGTAAAAACAGCTGCCTGGTCTGTGACTTCATATAAATTAATACCAGAGCTAAAGTATCCTTAGTGGGGAGTGGTACAGGGAGGCCTTGTCTCTAGGCTCTTCTGGAACCATAAAAACTGAGATCCTTCCTAGTCTCTTCTGTCATTGACTCTCACAGTATGTCAGTGTAGGTGGGGTACCATGGATGGATGTGGTAGGAGGAAGCAGTTTGTTAGTTAATGATTGTGATTTGTTAGTTCTGTTGGTTGTTCAGGCCTTTGTGTTAGATCCTGCAGAGAACACACTTCCCTTTCTCTAATGGTAGTTTACATGAGTTCAAGTGGTTCTACATAGACTCCTCCCACTGTTACAAAGCTGACTCAGCAATCAGACCTTACTACCGAGTGACACTGGTGTCCTATTTACAACATCTTGAGAGTGACATCTATCCCAAAGAGGGCTAGTGGAAATTGTTAGTATTGTGTGACATTTCCTGATCTAACAAGACAGAAACAATTGAGTTGATTTAAGGAAATTTTCGAGCTAAATGTCTTGTGGCTTTCTTTTTCAAGCTCCCAATTGAAGATGTCTGCAGCTTAGCATCCCAGTCACTGCCCATTGAGCTGACTGCTGTTGTGCCTGAATCTACAGAAGACATCCTCTTGAAGGGCTTCACTTCCTTAGGAATGGAAGAGGAAAGAATTGAGACTGCACAGCAGGTAAATGGTACCATCTTTCCTTGGGACATTGGATCATTTTAGATGTCGCAGTAAAACAGTAAAAATGCTTGCCACAGTGCAAACATTGGCATTCCAGAGTTCTAGGACAGTTGAAAGCAGTTTTTGGTCACCTATCTCCTTGGTGACCAAACTTTCAAATAAATCTATGAGTCTCTGAGGGCCATTCTTACTCAGACCACCACATTGCCTAATTATATTGGCAGTATAGATAAAAATATGATAAGGTAATAGGATAACATAATGGGGCTGGAGAGATGGCTTGTGGTTAAAAAACACTGGCTGCTCTTCCTAGCATCCACACACCCACATTGGTTTGCTAAGAGCTGCTTTTTTTTTTTTTTTTTGGTTTGTTTGTTTGTTTGCTTGGTCTTTGAGACAGGGTTTCTCTGAATAGCCCTTGCTGTCCTAGAACTCACTATGTAGATGAGGCTGGCCTCGAACACACAGAGATCTGCCTGCCTCTGCCTCCTGAGTGCTAGGATTAAAGGTGTGTGCCACCACCCCCTGGCTTCTCACATTTTAGCTTCAGATCCAGAAGCCCTCTTTTGACATCTGCTGGCACTAGGCATACACATGGTACATAGAAGTACACACGGGCAAAACAGTCAAACAGATAAAATATTTTTTAAAAAGATAAGAATAGATTTTTACAAAATATGTACATCTAGATACATAATCACACACCCTTCTCTACTTGTTGCTTGGTAATTCTCTTTTAAAATCCTAAATGTTTTCTTTAGATGAAAGTTTATAATTATTTTATAGTAATGTAGCCTGTAATTTAGTACTTCCTTACTGCTAATTATAAACCTAAATGTGTAGCAGTTTCTGTAGATGCTTCCTTGTTTATTATGTTAAGAGAGTTTGAGCTCTTTATGCCTACACCACCCTGAACATACTGATCCCATCTGGTCTTGGGAGCTGTGCATGGTTAGGCCCGGTTAGTGCTTGAAGAGGAGAGTTAGAGCTGGCTGAGACAGGAGGATCACTAGTTTGCGGCCAGCCTGGATTCATAGCAAGTTCAGGGGTATCCTGGGTACATAGTACATAGGTTCTGTGTCTAAGACTAAAACAAAGACAAAAATGAGTTAAATGAAACGTGAAACAGATGTGCCGAACTGTATGCATTAGAGTCAAAAGAGGCAGCGGAGAAAGCAAAGGAGAGCTCTTGCTGTAGTTGGGCTGACCTGTGAGTTCTCCTGTTGTACACTTAGGTGGACTTTACGTCTACTCACTCTTGTAGAGTTAGGCTGACCCACAGCTGCCATCTGCTCCTGCTGTAGTTAGACTCACCCACATCTGCCTCCACATCTGCTCCTGCTGTCAGCTAGCTTCGTTACTTACCATCATTGTGACTTTCAGTAAATTACTTTTTGGGTCTTTAGTTTCTGAGTCTGGATATATAGCAAGTTCAAGGGCATTCTGGACTACATAGTAAATAGGCTGTGTGTCTAAGACAAAAACAAACAAACACACAAAAAAAAGACTTAAAGCTTAGGCATTTCCAAATGAAACAATTATAATCGATAGAGTAACCTCTGAGTGATTATTACTTAAGTGGCTGTGGGGATCCGGCAGGCAGGAGAGGAACCAGTCTAGTAGGGCCCAGCGAGACAGAAAAAAACATCCAGCTACACTTACCTGTTTTTTGTTTGTTTCTCTTCTCTGTTTCCCCCTCTCCTCCTATCCCTTCCCCAGTGTATTACTATGTAGCCCAGGCTGGCCTTGAACTTGTGATTCTCTTGCTTCTGCTTTCCAAATGCTGGTATTGCAGGCATGTATAACCATGCCAGATTTTATCCATTTTTAAATAATGGGAGGTTTATATAACATTGATGTAGGGGCATATACAACCTCAAGTCCATATTTTCTTTCACTTTTCATTTTTATCTTATGTGAGTGGATATTTTGCCTGCATGTATGTCTGTGTACCACTTATGTGCCTGGTGCCCTCAGAAGCCAGAGGAAGGCATTGGATCTCCTGGAACTAGAGTTATAGACAGTTATGAACCATCTTGTGGTTGCTGGGAATTGAATCAGGTCCCCTGGAAGAGCAGCCAGTGCTCTTAACTACTGAGCCATCCTGCAGCCTCTTCAAAGTCCATATTCTTAATTCACTATGTGATTTTCAAGTTTATATTCTCACCATTCTTATTAGGTAACATTAATATTAATTACCCAAAGCCCTATGGTAACTCTTCAAATTTGGCAAACTAAGAGCCAGATATTAGTTTCTTAAGAAGAAATAATTTATTTTTTATATGGGTCTTTAGTACTGCTCCTTACTGGACTCTGGTCTGGAAATGACCAATGCTTTTCATGTCCATTGCTTTTCCTGGCATGTAGATGTTTTGTATGTGTGTATATGTGTGTGTGTCATATATATTATATATCATGAATGCTATATATATATATATATAAAATATGTCATGTATGTTACATACATGTAACATATAAAGTTCAAAGCTAATTATTGGTGGCTAAGCCCTAGAAATAAGATTTAGTTAGATAATGTCTGCCTTTTAACTTTTCTTTTATCTGTTTTAGTTGATTGACATAATAACATTCTTTATTTTTCAGTTTTTCTCATGGTTTGCAAAGCTGCAGACTCAGATGGATCAGGAGGAAGGAACTAAATATAGGTATGTGTGGGTCCTTTATTTGTTGGATATGCTGATTTTTATATCATAGTCATCTCAAGTTACCAAGAAAACTTAGCAGTCAGATTTTCCTTAATACTAGTCAGGGCAAGGATTGGAGTTCTAAGTCATTTTAGAAAAAGAATTACAGAAAGGACTTGGATCAAGAAGTTGTGTGGGGATTTTGTGAGGTGTTTCTGTCTCAGAAACATTCATGGAAGCCTTGGGGATAGCCATCTGGATTGAGTATGCTAGCATATTTGATAGGGGAAGAAGCCATATATATGGTCTTCTCCAAGTTCAGACTATGGGTTCTGCATTGATGCTCAGTAACATTTATTTACAGCCATTATTATTTTTTGTTTTTTGTATTTGCTTTTTTTTTGAGACAGGGTCTCACTACATAATCCCTGACTGTTCTATAATTTACTGTGTAGACCAAGCTGGCTTCAAACTCACAAGTGGTGGGATTGAAGGTGGGCATCACTATGCCTGGCATAGTCACGGTCATTATTGCTAGGCATTGTGCTACGGATGTATAATCCTACTTTATCAATAGCAGGTCTTCAAGGAAATGTCATCATTCCTGTTTTACAAATGGCCAGCTTGAGGTTTGGACACATTAACTAACTACCAGTGTCATTTGGACTTAAGTAGAGCTGCAGTTTGGACCAGTGTCTTCTAGTCTCAAACCCAAAATTCTTTTCACATCACATGGCCTTTGGAGGTGGCAGTTATTGGGAGGAGTAACCTTATGGTGGTCCCCATCTTTGAAGGTTGACACCTGTGATTTATTGACTTACAAGCAGGAAACCAGGTCATGGCTCTATGCCTAATTCCTTTTATTGCTTGTGGTGTCAGTGACTCATCTTCCTAAGCATTGAGGTCATTTACGGGCTAGCTTGTCCTATAAATCTGAGTGTTACATATTTTGGAAGAATAGGTCAGATTTTCCACTTGAAATTAAATGTTTTTGGAAAGGATAAGACCGTATTGTTTATTGACTCTGCTTACTGGGGGAAAATATTATTGCCAATCCCCTCTTGGTTCTGTTTTCTAGACAGATGAGGGATTACTTGTCTGGGTTTCAGGAACAGTGCGATGCTATTCTGAGTGATGTGAACAGTGCTCTTCAGCATCTGGAGTCTCTGCAGAAGCAGTATCTTTTTGTGTCCAATAAGACAGGAACTCTTCATGAAGCCTGTGAACAGCTCCTACAAGAACAGGTAATTGGGAATGAGGGGCGAGAGAGACAGTCAGTGATTAATTTTAAACAGATGAATGCTATTTAATTTTAATTTCCTTGATTTCTCTGAGTTGATGCTGAAGGTTGCTCTGGTTTAGACTGTGCTAAACAGGCGGATTGCTGGAAAGGGAGCAGAGCCAAAGGCAGACCTCCTTGTTTTGATCTGCTAGGTGCAGCTGCAGAGTACTGATTGCTTTGCTCTGTTCACCATTACTGACATTGTCACATAAGCAGAGTGCATTAATGGGTGGTTTTTTTTTTTGTTTGTTTGTTGGTTTCGAGACAGGGTTTCTCTGTGTAGCGCTTGCTGTTATGGAACTCACTGTGTAGAGCAGGCTGGCCTCAAAGGGTTTTTGTTTTTAATCAACTGCCTGAGGAGGTTAGTTGCAGATAGAGCATTGAAGTTACTCTGTTTCAGAGTTTTCTCTGTATTTTTGTGTTTCTAAAAGGCAGGCACTTAGTTTTATAGAAGATCATATAATACCAATTATTGTCTCCTTTTGTTCATGGGTACAGAAATACTTGAGCATCATTCTGAAGTCTTATACCTGATTTAAACTTGAATGTCAAATATAACTCTATCCAAAGTACTTTTGACATTAGGGTACCGATTGGTGTATTTGTATACTAATTGGCTTTTCTCTCTAACACGTGAGTCGGAACTTGCTGACCTTGCTGAGCACATCCAACAGAAGCTGTCCTATTTTAATGAATTGGAGACAATTAACACAGTAAGTGTGTTGTACTTTTCTGTAAAGTTAGTGATATTTCTTATTTCCCTTTTGTGGTAATCTCCAAGAATATAAAATGATGTGCCAGGTGGTGGTGGTGGCACAAGCCTTTAATTCCAGCACTTGGGAGGCAGAGGCAGCTTGTGAGTCCAAGGCTAGCTTGGTCTACAAAGTTACACAGAGAAGTCCTGTCTCAAAAATCAAAAACAAAAACAAAACAAAAAAAGGGTATAAAATGACACTTGAACTAAATAGTTGCTAATGGGGCTTCTGATTTAAGCAAGATACCATTACCAGTTCAGAACTTTCCCCATGTGACTTAAGTACAATTTCTTCAATTGTGTTATTGTTACTCTTTGTTGATTACTTGTTGTAGAATCTTCCCTATAAACTGTGAAAATCAGGATCATAAATCATCAGTTTTAAATATTGTGTTGCATTTCTATAATACTGTCCATGCATTTCTGTTTGTTTGTTTGTTTTTTTTTTCGAGACAGGGTTTCTCTGTATTGCTTTGGAGCTTGTCCTGGAATTAGCTCTGTAGACCAGGCTGGCCTCGAACTCACAGAGATCTTCCTGCCTCTGTGTCCTGAGTGCTGGGATTAAAGGTGTGCGCCACCAATGCCTGGCTCCGTCCATGCATTTTTAAGCCACTTGTATCTCACAAAGGTTATAGAACCTTTTGTTTTGTTTGTACTAAACATGCACAGCCTGTTCTCCTTGTCATTGTTCCCTGAATAGTATAGCATAATAGCTGTCTTTGTAGCATTTACATTACATTAGTCTCATAAGTAACTTGATGATGATGTAAAGTATAAGCATATAGTCCTCATAAAGCAGATAACAAGGGCTTCTGGGTAAACTCTGTTTCTATGTTTCTGACTTATAAGTTAATCATAGTTATTTATAAATCATGCTATTAAATTATTAAAATAATTGTAATTGTTATATCGTAACGTTAAAGACATAAAAGTAAAGCTGGCATCCATTTAGACATGGGATGCTGTGAGAATTGGTTCATTGGCAAACCACATCTGTATCAAGACAGAATAAGTGACTAGTAATAGTTGGCTTTTCTTTCCTGTGTCAAAAATTGAACCCAGGGCCCCATGAGCATGCTCAATAAATATTGTGACTGCTAGTTAATCCTTCAGCCATTAGAACATGGCCAGTGTCCAAACGTAGACAGATTATATGTGTGAAGTGGTAGAAAGTGTATTAATTGAGTTTAATTGTTGCACAGCTGCATCGTCAAAACACTTTGGGGTTCTTTTCTGCCTTTTTATTTGCTAGGTTGATGCTTATTAGGTTGTTAAACATGAACACAGTTGAGGATATTTTAGTGATTGTTAAAGATTGTGTCATTAACCTAAAATTACACTGTTATATTTAAAAAGAAACATTAATTCTAGTTAATAATTTTCAATGTTTACTTTTTTGTTGTTTCTTTTTCTTCTATTCAAAGAAATTGAATTCTCCCACGTTGTCTGTGAATAGTGAAGGATTTATCCCTATGCTGGCCAAGTTAGATGATTGTATAACATACATTTCATCTCATGTAAGTCATATTTTTGTATTTTAAAAAAATTAACATTTCTACTATATCATTTATACAATTTTTTTTTTTCCACTGAAAAAATATAGTCAGGTATCTCTACATGGCTTTCTTAGGTGGATTCAACCACTTGTATCTCACAAAGGTTATAGAACCTTTGTTTTGTTTGTACTAAACATGCACAGCCTGTTTTTGTCATTGTTCCCTGAATGGTATAGCATAATAGCTGTCTTTGTAGCATTTACATTACATTAGTCTCATAAGTAACTTGTGATGATGTAAAGTATAAGGGAAGATACACATTTGGTGTATCCTTTGTGGTCTAGAACTAGTGCTGTATTAATTCTAAGGGATGACTCAGATCTGTAACATGCTGAAGAAAAACTATTGCTTTTTTTGGTTGTTGTTCTTATTGGTGTACAAAGTACTTCCGACTTCTGAATGTTTCCTGGAGTGGAAATGGCCCTCTGATTCAGCTTTATCCTACCTAAACAGATGTGACATTTAAGGTGTTCATTGATGGATGTGCGAGATACTCTTTGGAAATCTAGTTACTAGGATGGGAGGTGCAGGGGAACCCAGAAGGATGAGTCCTTTCATTTTAGCCATTTCCTGATCTCCCAATGATACATTGCTGTTCTTACTTTCGCTAGCTCCATTCTGTTCGTTGTAGGGTCTTAACACCAGCCTCAGGGTTAGTAGGGCTCTGACATTGATTTTGTTTGCAGCTGCAAATGCTGACTGAACCTGCTTTGTGTCAGGCACAGAGGACTGGCAGTGACCAAGTCCTTCAAGGGTCTTCATCACAGAGCTAATGATCTACAGAGCTTTGCATAGAGGACACCTTGGTTCTCATTAAAAGTTTGCTTATCGTTAATATTTATTTCTTTTGCAAATTTCTTTGTTTTACAGCCTAATTTTAAAGATTATCCTGTATACTTACTGAAGTTTAAACAATGTCTTTCTAAAGCTTTGCACCTCATGAAGACATATACTGTGAACACACTGCAGACTCTCACAAATCAGTTACTCAAAAGGGTGAGTTAACGGATCCTAATGACTGCTTGATTTTGATTTATTTGCCTTCCACAACCTTTGTCTGAATTAATACTATAGAATTAAATGTTTACTCTTATTAAATAAGAATATATGCTGCAGTTTTTGTAATAGAAATATGACTATCCCATATAGCTCAGCTAGTAGAACCCATGCCTAATTTTATAAAGTCCTTTTTCAACCCTTAGCTCTAGGGGAAATTCTTAAAAAGAAGAAATTCTTTCTAATTATCTACTGTTTAGACTTAATTTTACTATTTTTGATTTATTTCCTGTCAGTATTTTTATGAAAATGCTAAAAAGAATGTTTTAGGTAGCAAGTAGCTTATATCTCATTTTGCATTTTATCAAATAGTACTGGGTTCTGTTCATACTTCTTGGACTTTTATGTATGTATGTATGTATGTATGTATGTGTCATGCAAATACAGTCACCACTCAGAATTCATGGCTTTGTCCATGAATAACTAGTATAGTGCTTTAGTTGCACCCAAGACCTCTATCACTGAGTTACATATTCAGCACACAGGGTTTTGAGACAAGGTATCACTATGTTGCTCAGCCTGGTCTAGAACTTGTGGTCCTCTTGCTTCTTGGATGCTGGGATTACAGGGTACCACCATACTCTGTAGCATGCATATTTCTATTGAGTGTGTCCTAATGTTTAGTATTGTATTAGAAACAGTATGGTGGAAAAAAGGAGCTTATGAGGTCCTTGCTGTCATAGTGGATGTATTTAAGAATAATAACTAGTAAAAATGGTGAAAAAATACTTAAAAATTAGTAGGTAATGCATACTTGACTAGGTTAGAAAATAAGAGTAGAACTGTCTAGGATGGTCACTAAACATATTTTTTCCCAAGAAAAAAACCACAAAGTCTACATTTTATTTTTAAGCTCACTTTTCAGTTGGACATACCTATGACCTATGATGTTTGGGAGTGGAGGCAGGAGGATAAGTAATTCAGGGTCACTCTGGGATACACAGTGAGTTCAAGATAGTTTGTATAACTCAGTGAGAGAGACCTGTCTCAAAGTTAAGTAAAGCCAAACCAAACAAACTAAAGATAGTCTGGGGATGTTGCTCCGAGGTAGAGCAGTGCCTAGAATGTGCCAGGCCTTAGATTCAGTCTCTACTAAGGTAGAAGAAAGGATTAATGAAAATTTAAAAATTTGCTTCCTCAAGGTTGTACTCTGAAGGCCAGAGATGTTAAAAATTTGGTCAGTGTCTCACTGTATAAGTAACAGTTTAAGTCTGAATTACTGCCAGCATTCAAGTAATACAGGCTAAATTTTAATTATTAAGGTGAGAGATGATAGCTTCATTAATTCTCAGCTTATAACAATATTGACATATAGCCTCTCATTGATATTTTCTTTTCTAAGCTTTTGGTTGGAATGGAGGCCAAGCTTTAGATGTATGAAGTGCTCAGTGTTCTCTGTTTTGAGTAATTTCATGTTTGCTAATATCTTTCTTCCCTACCCCCATGTTTCTTCAGGACCCCTCATCAGTACCTAATGCAGACAATGCCTTCACACTATTTTATGTGAAATTTCGAGCTGCTGCCCCTAAAGTCAGAGTAAGTCTACTGATGTATACTGAATATTGGTGTGAAAAATTTTAGCCAGCCTTTCGGGAGGCTTGGTATGTGCCTTATTTCTATGAAGCGTGTCATATTTAATGGAATAGTCGTGTATTTATCCTGATTAAATTAGAAGTGGGGAGGAATGGTCAGAAACCATTATTTGTGTTTGTTATACAAGCTGAGATAGTTAACAGGAGCTTATACACGTATGTTCTTTTTGTTGCTAGAAGAAATATTACACTTTTGTTGACAGGATTTCATGTTCTTCCTTGAAAGTCAGCCAGTTAAAGGAGAATAAGTTTGTTTTCAGATGGAAGACACTTGTACAGAAGACTGAGGGAAAGGATGATGAGGTTTGGATTTTCCAGTTGGTTCTACTGTGTATTGAATATTTGATTCAGAAAGAAATGGTGTGAATAAGAGGACTTGACTTAGTGCAGTGGGTTACTGTCGAATGAGTGCCTGTGATTTGGGGCTTTGCCACATTTTTTAAATAACCAATTAATGTATGCGATGGGGTTGCATTTATTTTACTGATAGAAAGCATCAACTATTTAGCTAGCAATAATCTTAGTGGAAATATGGGGTTGAATAAAATGACAAAAGTACAGAGAACTCACCCAAGATTGAAAACTGCCGTGGTCCTGGTTGGGGAGAGTTAAAGTTTTGAAATGTCAGTTCTTGTCATTCTAATTTTTTGGTTAGAGTGTACTGGTAGCTAAAGCTAGAAAAAGATTTCTTTAGATCAGCAAGACAAAACAAAATTTTGGAAAATGTAGTGTTTTGATTTAAGAATTTACAGCTCACTGACAGGGAAAATTTTTAGAACTTAGAACATTTCAAATAAGAGGGAAGAACTAGAGTTTTTTTTTTTTTTACGTAGTATTTGGAAAATTTTCTAAGTAATTGAGTAAAACTCTTTTTATTTTATAACATCAGAATGTATTCTAAGTGATTTAGTAAGTATTAAATTAAGTAGATTCCCCCAAAGTACAACTAAGAATTATTTGGGGGAGAAATGACCAAGTTAAAAGATTAAGGGTATAAAAATGTAAAAGTTTGATTTTTAAGGAAAAATGAAGGTAGAAGCTGGAATGTTAAAACAGATGAGTATTTATTATAAAATGATCAGATAGCTCACAAAGTTAAGAATTTTTGTCACGGAAATTTCAAATTAATGTATAATAGTGTTTTTGAGGATTCAGTGAGGGTAATACTGCTGATGGGGTGTAAATGGATTTTTTTCCCAAAAACATTTTAGAAGAATAGATCAAAGACATATAAAGTATATCTCTTTTGAGTCAGTGAGTTGGAGTAATCACAGAGGGGCACTTACAAAGGAGTTACTGGGTGGGGTAGGGTGGAGAGCCTGCTCAGTGGTTAAGGGCACTGACTGCTGTTCAGAGCGTCCAGGTTCAATTCCCAGCTTCTTTTGTGGTGGTGAGCCAAAAGTTTGTAACTCCAGTCCTGGGGGATGCGATGCTCTCTTCTGGCCTCTTCAGGCACATTGTGTACAGACACACACAGACATACACACAGGGAAAACACCCATACACGTAAAAATAAGTAAAATCTTTGGAAAAAAAGTAGAAAGGTAGTTACTTATACTAGTTTGCTTTATGGAACCTCAGAGAAGTGAACTTTCCTGCCGGGGCTCTAAATAGCAGAACAGCTGTTTGCCTCTGGACTATGAACTGGTGGCTGCGATTCTTTGGAAACAAATGCTGAACAAAAGAGTTGATTTTGAGTGCATCTACCCACAGGATAATATGCAGCCATTTCATATGATGTTACATTCATTTTTAAAACTTTTGATGCTGCTGCTGCTGCCATGTATGTAATACATGTTGGTTTCTAACTCACCATTGAGCCCAGGCTGGCATGGAACCTCCCAATGCTTCACCTGCCCAAGTACTGGGATTATAGCATACCCAGCTTTATGGAATGTTTTAAATGCTGTTTGCAATAATTTATTGAGTGTTTACTAGGTACTAGGTGGTACATAAGGCTTTCTGTGTATTTTCGTCTATTACTGAAAAGTTTAGTGGTAGAAAATATTTCTGAAATGTTTTTAAAAATAGATTATAGAGCTGAATGAATAGTACAATTCCAACTTTGATTAAAAAGAAACTATGGGGACCGGAGAGAGTTCATTGGTTAAAAACACTGGCTGCTCTTCCAGAGGACCCAGGTTTATTTCCACCACCCTCATGGCGGCTCATAATTGTCTGGAATACCAGTCTCAGGGGATCCAGTGCCCTCTTCTGACCTCCATGGGCACTAGGCACTCATGAGCACAGACATGCATGTAGGGAAAGCACTCATAGCTATAAGGAAAATCAAAAAAAAAAAAACAAAAAAAAAAAAAAAAAAAAAAAAACAAAACAAAACAAAACAAAAAACAAAAATACCCCCCAAAAAACCAAAAAAACAGGAAGGAACAAAAGCTAATTGGGTACAAAAAACTGAAAAATACATACTGTGATTATTGCCTATATGTCATTTTTGTGATTTTTTTTTTTTTAAACCTTTTCACATTGTTTCTTTTTGCCTTTGGGTCTTTTTGAGACAAGGTTTCTCTGTGTAACAGGCCTGGCTATCCTGGAACTCACTATGTAGACCAGACTGGCCTTGAACTCACAGAGATCTGCTTGCTCAGCTTCTGAGTGCTGGGACCAGGCGTGTGCTACCACTGCCTGGTTCACATTGTTTCTTAAATGAGGGACACCAGTATAACCAGTAAGTAATGGAAAGCACAATTAAGACAGGTGGACATATGTGTCTTTCTTTATTCACAGGCTCTAATTGAACAAATAGAACAACGATCTGAAAAGATACCCGAGTGAGTACTGAGTATCACTTGCTTTTTGCCATGCCTTCCCATGTGGTTATGCCCTTGGTGGCTTTGAGCAGCCTCCTTTGTCCTCAGTCTGTTTAGAGAGCAGAGTCTGGGCTTGACTCAGCAAGTTTGTCATGGTGGCAGTGCGTGCGTTTGTTTCCCTCTTCCTTAGTTAGGTAGACTTGAGGTCTCTTAGAAGAGAACCCTTCCTTAAAAGACCAGGTTTTTGTATCACTTCATTATGGTTTTTATTCTATGTCTGTATTCCTGAGTGTTAATGTGGGCAAATGAGAGGCCACCACTATATCTTGAGATGCCTGGCAACCTGTTCTGGAACGTAAGGTCAGATTTAATTTGTGTATTTGGAAAAAAAAAAAAAAATGTATACTTCAGTCTTACTATTTTTTTTCTAGTTAAAAAAATATTGTATATTCACTGTCTATAGTGATGGGCTGGCTCTTGAAGAGGCTTTATTTATTTATTTATTTGTTTGTTTATCTATTTATTTGAGGCAGGGTTTCTCTGTGTTTCTCAGGTTGTCCTGAAACTTGCTCTGTAGATCAGGCTGGCCTTGAACTCACAGAGATCCACCTGCCTCTGCCTCCTCTGTGCTGGGATTAAAGACATTTTAATTCAAGCATCTCATGTACTTTGACCTTATTTGTTCCCCATACTTTCCCCCTTTCTCTATTCCTTAGTAGTCCCCTCCTTCTCTCAGCTAGCCCCCCTCTGCTTCCGTGTCGTGTGTATGTGTGTGTGCCTGTGTGTGTGCGCGTGTGTGCGCGCTCGCACGCATGTGTGTACATCTAGCCTGTACACAGGAAGAATCGTACAGTATTTCTTGTCTTTTTTTACTTGCCTTCCCTTAGATACCAGCACCTGCTCAATGATATCCACCAGTGTTACCTTGATCAGCGGGAGCTCCTTCTAGGCCCCAGTATTGCCTGTACTGTCACGGAGCTAACCAGCCAAAATAATAGAGACCATTGTGCCTTGGTAAGCGCCTGCTGGTGGGCAAATCCTCCCTGCTCTTTGCTGTTTGAGGTTTGCTTGCTTCACTCCTTCTTGACAGCATTCTTCCAGTTTGGCCATGCTTCTGATACTTTCTGAGCAGTTGCCTCTAACCTTATGTTTGTAGCACATAGTTTGGGGAGCAGAATAAGTCAGACCTGGCTCGATCAGTTGATAGCATTCTGATCCCAAAACAATGTTTTCTAGTTATGATAGTGGACATTAGTTCTGTTCAGCTTTGTAAAATAGCCTCATGTTATTTTTTTCTTAAAATATGAAGATTTGCAAGTATGTATTCTTCTTGAATGATGAAGTTTTAGAGATAGAGGATTTATGTTGAAAATGTAATTTTAGGTGTTTTTTTTGATTTGTGTAAGATAGAGTCTCATTCTGCAACCTAGGTTGGCCTTGACATTTACTTATCCTCAGTCTTCTGAATGCTGGGATTACATGTTTGTGCCACCATGCCTCAGCATAGTGTTTGATGCAGAAATGGCCTTTGTTTGGTGTGGTTTTAATTCATACTTTAGAAAAACACATAAAAGTTATTTTAAAAAGTACTACCTTTTAGTTAGAAAATAATGTTATCAAAATCTTAAAAAATAAAACAGTAAGAAATTAAAAATTGGGTCCTATTTTGCAGCAATCCATTGGAAACTAGCCAGTTCCCGTTTTCTAGAAAGTTGCTTATATGTATATGTGCATAATCTCTTTGTAGGCAAAGTATAAGCTTTACTTCGTAAGCGCCAGAATGTGCGTCTTTGTAGGTGGAATGTGTTTGTTTATTGCAGGTTCGCAGTGGCTGTGCCTTTATGGTCCATGTATGCCAAGATGAGCACCAACTTTACAATGAATTTTTCACAAAGCCAACGTCAAAATTAGAGTAAGTGATTCATAGAATCTAGCTCTTGTGGATAAGATTTAATTTGCTATCGACAATAATGGGCTAGTATATTGTAGAAACATCTTACAGTTAACTGCAGTGTTTGAACTTTCTGTGTATGGAAACAGAATATTGTTGATTGTGATTATTTTGTCTGTAGTGGAAAGGTAAGCATGCTTTTATATTTTGTAGTAAAATTTTGGAGACATTATGGGATGATAACAAGAAGTCTATGAGAAACCAAGTCCTGGGACTTGGATCCCTTTATCTACCTCAAGTATAATAAATAGTTCCTTCTAGTTTAGAAATTCTGTACATCTAACATGAACAGTATTTAAAAATGTAGATGTCACTTGATAATCTTTGTTTTTTTCAAAGTGACTTTCAGGTTCACTGTTAGTCACTTGATTCCCTCATGTTGGCTATTTTTGACTCATAAAGATCCTGAGATTGTGACTGAGGAAGAGAAAAATGGATTTCCTGATTTTGGTTGGGGTGGTACTGTATATAAAAGAGTGGTTTGAAAAACATATACACCAAACCTTTTCTTTTCAAATGTTTAAAATTTCTCAAAAATACTTGATGTGGGCGCTGAAGTACTTGAGTGTTTTTTTTTTTTTTTTTTAAACTTTTTTTCCCCATTGTTTTGTTTTGAGACAGGGTGTCTCCATGTAGCCTTTCCTGGCTGTCCTGGGACTCACTATATAGACCAGGCTGGCCTTGAACTCAGAGATCTGCCAGATTCTGCCTCTCAAGTGCAGGGGTTAAAGGTGTTCGGCACCATGCTCAGCTAGTTTTTTTTTTTTTTTTTTTTTTTTTTAAGTTTGAACATGTGTTTAGTGGTGGTATCACTGATCTGCAGTGAATATAAAAGGTAATATCATTTACTGAAATAATCTATTTTTTGAAAGAATAGAAAATTATTGTTAAAATAAAAGTTATAATCAGTTGACCTGTGGTTGGGGATATGTAATTTGAATTAACTGTTACAGATTAAGTACCTCTTCTGAGCTTTTAAAGCAAAAGCAGTTTACAGACTCATTCTCCTCCCCCTGTAATGTGCCCAGTTACCATTTTCCAGTAGCTATTTATTCTTTTTACCGGCCAGAAGAAATACACGGAACTTTTTAACACATTGGAAAAATCCTGAAAATTTTACTGTTAACAACTGTATTTTGTTCTTTTAGTGAGCTTTTGGAGAAATTGTGCGTGTCGTTGTACGATGTGTTCCGGCCATTGATCATCCATGTCATTCACCTAGAGACTTTATCAGAGCTTTGTGGCATTCTTAAAAACGAAGTGCTTGAAGACCATGTACAGAACAATGGTAATTATGCAGAAGCGTCTGTGGCTCAGGGGATGTGAGAAGAAAAAAGAACTTTTCATAAATATGTCATGTTTTTTAAGTTTTAAAACTTTAAGTAGAAGGTTAATGATGAGGAGGTTGGGTTGATACCTTACTCCTTTTTAAATCAAGGAGTGTCTTCACCTAGATCTATTTAATGCTGGAAATTACACAGATAAGAAATATCTGGTGAGGTCAGTAGTGAAATAGTCACTTTTCACTTGGGCGTTTGGAGTTCAGAGAAAACTGAGCTTTGCCCTGTGTTAGAGACCTAGCACGCTGGAGCCAACTCGCATCATGCTTTTGATGAAAAACCAGGGATTATGTAGCATTCTCAGGTGGCAATGATCTGTCCTCTTCAAACTGCAGTGAAGAGCGGATTTCTCTCAGTAGCACTTAGCCATCTGACCAGTTACCCTCTGTTTGGTTAGACTGCAGTAGAGAACACGCTTTTGATAACCTTTAAGAAGTCCTTTTGTCGTCCCTTTGCTGGTGGGACTTACTGCTGCTGTTGCTTCCATCTGTAGGTGCCACGTTGTGCTTCCAATTTATTCTTTGTGTATTTAGTCCTTTCTGTGGTGTAATGTCTCACACCTCCATGCTTGGGAATTTAGGTTGATTTTTAAAGTGCCGTGAATGTTTTCCATTACTGTGCAGTATCTCTAGTCCCTTGGAAAGATAGTACTAATTCATGTTTTTACTGCATAAACTCATCTTTCTCTTTTTTCTTTGTAAAAATGTTAACACATCAGTTTATTTGTTAAATGGGCTTGACAAACCAGTTAGTAAGCTGCCTTGGCCATCTTTTAGGATTGGTCTGAATTAACTTAGTATAGTGCACCTAGATTCATTACGATTGTTAGTAATAGAAATAAAATTTCAGAGTCCAGGGAAGAAGGTGGAATGGCCATTTTATTTCTCCATTTTCAACCTGTGGAAATTGAAAGCTGTCAACATTTTCTGAGATCACTGAGTCATACTGGCATAGAGTCCACCTACACAGTGGTTCATTCAGTGTGAACCATTCTCTGCTTAGTTAAAAGAACCACTGTCTTAACCCTGAAGGAGTTGATGACGGCTTTTTCTTTTTTAAAGCTGAACAACTGGGGGCATTTGCAGCTGGAGTAAAGCAGATGTTGGAAGATGTACAAGAGAGGCTTGTATACCGGACCCATATCTACATTCAGACGGACATTACAGGCTACAAACCAGCACCAGGAGACTTGGCATACCCTGATAAGCTAGTCATGATGGAGGTGCGGCCTCTTTACCTGTCCTTCATCTTCTCCCTGCTCCCACATGTTTTGTTAAGATAGAATATTACTCTTTAAACTATCAGTAAAAATATAAAATCAAAATGTACTTGCCATAAAAGTCATAGGAGATGAAACTGAAGGATTGAACACAAAGAAATTGTTAATTTGTACTTATGTTTGGTAAGTATACTATATAGCTTTCTCCCCTCTGCCAGGGTGTGAGCATCCTTAAATTTTAAATTGAGTTAGTGCTGTCTACCTTTTCTCATTTTTCTTTGTGGTTGGCATTTAAGAGGGTTGATGGCATAGCAGCCACCACAGTTAAAGACAGTGGCATGGCCCTACTCCTAAAATGGTTGTACTCCTAAAATTATATTGTCCCAACTTTGGATTTATGTCTTGAGGGTTCCAGTTGTCACCCTGACTCTTCTGACTGTTCTTGTACCTACATTTCTGTGACCTTTGGGTAGAGTTCAAAGACTGCCTAGAATATTGGTGCTGTAGCAGGGTTCTGAGAATCTAGAGCTTTTTAGGTGAAAACTTACAATTAAAGCCAGAGTGTGGATAATTACACAATGAAGTCTCCATGAGGCCTGCTCAGTGTCTTGTTCACCTTCCCCTTGCTCCCCTTGTTCCCATCAGTTGTTTTAGGGTGAGTTTCTTTCAGGCATTACTTCAGTCTGTAAGTATTTCAGTAGGTAACTCTGAAAGGTGAGGGCAGTTTCGTTTTTAACACAGTCATGGTAGAATTTCTCACCTAAACACAATAGAGTTTTTAGAATTCTGGATCCAGACAGCCAGTGTTTCAGAGTCAGCAGTGGTTAATGCTTTTGTCACATTATCTTATACTTTTGTCAGTGTGTTTTGTTGCTTAATCATTTGAAAGTAGTTTGAGCGGGGCATTGGTGGCATATGCCTTTAATCCCAGCACTTGGGGAGGCAGAGACAGGCGGATCTCTGAGTTCTAGGCCAACCTGGACTGCAAATATAGTTCTCGGACAGGCTTCAAAGCTACACAGGACACCCTGTCTCGAACCCACCCCCCAAAACAAAACAAAACAAAAAAGCAAAAAACAAAAAACAAAAAAAAACCCCACCACCAACAAAAAAAGACGTTTGAATACTTAAAGTTAATTTTTTTTTCCATTTATGTGTATATATTTGTGTCTTCAGAGGCGTAGAAGAGGGCGTAGGATCCCGCTGGAGCTGGAGTAACAGGTGGTTGTGAGTCACTTGATGTGGGAGCTGGGAACCAAGTGAGGGCCCCTGGAAGAGAAGCATGTGTCTTAGCTTCTGAGTCATAGCTCCAGCCCAAGTTAAGGACTCTGGATACTTGACTCCTGAGCACATTAGTTTTTAATGAATAAAAACTTGGACACACAAAATAATAAATAAAACCCTAAAAATGAAGTTAAGGCTCCTCCTCTGGCTTTGTGTTGTTTTTTATTTCTGTAACTGACTGGAAGAGACCAGGATTTGTCTCATTGATTCTGGTTTTTTGTTTTGTTTTGTTTTGGTGAGAATACTGAGGAGCTGATATGTACTTCTTCATTATACCTGAGGGATAATGTGAGGTGTTAACATTAAGGGTAACTTTAAGGATTGAGCTGATTATGAAGGTGTATTTCCTCTTTGATTTTTTTTTTTTTCCTTCCCTAAGGTAGGGTTTCTCTGTGGCCTTGGCAGTCCTAGAACTCTCTGTAGACCAGGCTGGCCTCGAACTCATAGCGATCCCCCTGCCTCTGCCTTCTGAGTGCTGGGATTAAAGGCACGTGCCACCACCACTCGGCATATTTCCTCTTTGTAATGAGTGGGTCCCTTTGGATGATACTTGAATGTTATAGGTCTTCCCAGAACATCTGTTCAGTGTTCAGCTGGTCTAGATCACAAGGCATTAAGATGAACTACACTTGAATGTTCTTTCCTGTTTCTCCATGTAGCAAATCGCTCAGAGTTTAAAGGATGAGCAGAAGAAGCTACCCTCAGAAGCTTCCTTTTCAGATGTCCGGTTAGAAGAAGGAGAGTCTGGCAGTTTAAGAAAATCTGGTATGTTACAATGGCTTAACTTCTGGCATTTATTCATTCAGTTAGTTAAACTGGCATAAAAAAATAGCTTGTGTTTTTGTGCTTTCTAGGGGCAGAGTGATAGATCCCAAATGTAATTCAGTAGAGTGAAGTGTTAGTGTGATATACTGGCCGCTCCTAGACCATGAAGAGCTTTGGGACACAGAAGTTGGGGAGGGCATATGCTGAATGCAGGAGGTGGGATCGGTGTGAGGTGTGGTGTTTGGGAACTGGAGTGTGTTTTTATAGTGTGTGAGTCAGGTAAAGTCAGGTGGTGCCATCCCTGGACAGGTAGTCCTGAGTTGTGTAAGAGAGCAGGCTGAGGAAACCATGGTGACCAAGCCAGTAAACAGCATCCCCTCATGGCCTCTGCTTCAGTTCCTGCCTCTAGGTTTCTACCTTGAACTCTTGCCTCAGTTTCCTTTAGTGATGAACTGTGACACAAGTTACAAGAACAGATAAGCCCTTTGCTCCCCTAAATTGGTTTTGGTCAGTGTATATCATAGCAACAGAGAAACCACTGGAAAGGGAAGGGATCTAGAGCTGTGCCCTCTAGTGTTCAGCCACCCGCCACTGAGCATGTGGAATGTTTCCACACGTGACAAGTGCATACAGTGTGCCATAAGACATGTTACGTGCATACCAGAACCAAAGATTTAGCATGAACTAGAGAATGGAAAATACTGGGCTGGTGAGATGGCTCAGAGGTTAAGAGCACTGCCTGTTCTTCCAGAGGGCCTGAGTTCAATTCCCAGCAAGCACATGGTGGCTAACAATCATCTATCTTCAGGCCTGCAGGGGATATATGCAGGAAGAACACAGCACAATAAATAAATAAATCTTAAAAAAAAGAATGGAAAATACTATGATAGTAATTTTTCTTAGTTATTATTTTAAATTCATATTTGAGATTTATTGGATTAAGTAAGACATTATAATTCCCTTTGTTTTTACTTTGTTATAGCATCATTTTAATGTACCACATTTCTGACTTACGTTATAATAACATAACGTAATGTTATGTTGTAATTCTGAAAGCACTGTTGTTGAGCTATCGTAGGAAGGCTGGCTTAATGATAAAGACTGAGGCATGATTGATGCTTTGAGTTTGTAGCCTGTACCAAGGCAGAGCCCAGCCATTGTTTGGCAGGGGGAGCCGGTGACAGTGCCCATGTTGAGGAGCTCATGGGGGGTGACTGAGGAAGAACAGGCCAGTGTGATTAAGGTGGTGGCCAGTTGAGAGTGATGAAGTCACTAGGGAAGGGGACACGGCTGGAATATGGTGGACTAGTGGGAGGAAGAGGAGAACCTGAGGAAGCTGTAAGTGTAGTTCTCAGGAATTAACATGGAAAGTACGAGTATGGGGAATTGGTGAGGGTTAAAAAGCTTGCCGCTAAGAAGGAAGGGCAAGAACACATGTCATCCGCCTGGTGCTGCCATTACAGTGGGAACAGGAGTCAGCACGAAGAGCAGTGGACATGAGTGTAGTCATTGCCCTAGTCCCCGGGTGTGTGCAAGGGAGACAGTGGGAACCGCCCCAGAGGGAGGCTGGAATGTGAGTTCATGAGGCACAACGGTGACCTGGCAGAGGCTGTGGTTCTTTTCTGTGACAACGCCATTATCAGTCCCTTAAAGAGCTCAGGCTTTCTTCCTGTGTAGAGAAGTGAGGAGGGGACAGTGATGGCGGAGGACTTGCAGGAGGGTCACAGGAGTTCCCTGTGCTGGCAAGGTGGCTCACTGAGGGGACACTTCCCTGGTACAGTTAAATAGGGCAATGAAAGTGAGCAGACAAGCTGCCTGCAGCTTCGGAGCACTCAGCTCTTACTTGGTAGTTCTGGTTCTGTATGTGAAGGAAGGAACCCGCAAAGGACCTCTGTGTGTGTGTGTGTGTGTGTGTGTGTGTGTGTGTGTGTGTGTGTTGTACTTATTTATTTCCTCTGTTGAGTCAGGGTTTTATGTAGACCAGGCTGTCTTTGAACTTCTGATCCTCCTGCCTCCGTTCTGAGTGGCATGCTCCACTGTCCTCAGCATTTGCAGTGCTGAGGGATCACACCCAGGTCTTTGTGTGTTTTAGGTAAGCACCCCACTGTCTTTAAGACATTAAAGTAGGTCTTAGATTGAAGAGTGGCCTTACGAAAGAGATGAAAGATTATACAAATTGACAACTTTGAAAAAAGTGCTTACCAAAGTCAAAAGTGAAAATATTTTTTGAAAATTTGTGTTTTAAAATGAAAATTTTAAACCTCAACTTTTCCCTCATTTCTCTTCCTCAGTCTGTGCCACAGAACCATCAGATCTTTTATTTGTTTAAAGCGTTTCCCCCTGTATTTTATGTATGTGGGTATTTTGCCTGCCTGAATGTCTGTGTACCACATAGATGTAGGGTCTGTGGGGCCAGAACAGGGCATTGGAGCCCCTGGAGCTGGTGTTACAGATGGCTGTGAGCTGCAGAGTAGGTGCTGGGAATGGAACCCAGGTCCTCTGGAAGAGCAGCCAGTGCTCTTGACCACTGAGCCATCTTATCAGCCCCTCCTCCAGATTTTTTGAACAATCCAGATCTAGATATTTTTAAGAAATTGTATTTATTTTGCAACATTTCTAATTCATTATGGATTTTTATTTTGTATTATTGAAAAAAACTCAAATATGTAGAGAAGTGAAAAGAAAGATAAAATGAATACACATATGTACCATCTAGTTTTGGGATAGTGTTTATCACAAATGCACACAGAGGGACAGTTTTACTGTCTAACCTAGGCTAGCTCTGAAGGCTTGACAATTCTCCTTTAGCCTCAAGTGCTGGCATTAAAGGTGTGGCCACCACACCACACCAGGCAGCCAGACACTTTACATTGTTGGTACCCTTGCTTGACACTTTGCCCTCCAGTAGTATTGCATCTCTCTAGAATGAGGACATCTTTTACAGAACTACAAGTTATCGTGCTAAAAATGTAGTTTGTGAAGATGCCCTTGAGTAGTTTATATGTGAGTGTTGCCTCTTGTTCCAGAGAATTGTATGAGCTCCTGACTCTATAGTTGTTTTAAATCTGGCTCTGGATACTGCAGTGACTGTGATTGTCTTGCAAAGATGTTCTTCTGTTCAGGTACTCCCACTGGCCAAAACCTGCCTTTTCTGACCTGAATGGTGGGGCCAGTTCTGATCATCTGGGAGCTGATACAGCTTAGAACTGAAGGTGTCAGGCAAGCCAGCTTTGATCCATGTACCTTTTAAAAATTGTCCTGTTTCACCTGGCCTGTTATAGGCCTGTAATTTAGCTCCTTGGGAGACTGAGTCAGGGGATCACAAGTTGAAAACCTGCCTGAACTGAAGTGAGTTAGGCCAGCTTGAACATCTTAGCAAGATCCTGTCTCAGAATTCAAAAAGTGGGAAGAAAGAGGGGGGATGTGACTACTGCTCAGTGATAGTGCGCTTGCCTGGCATGTGATGCCCTCGGTGTACTCCTCTGTACTGGAAAAACTTTCTTTTCCTGTCACTCTCCTACCTTCACTGATACCCACTGCATGTAGCACTATCTGCCTTCTAGGCTCTGGTTGTTTTCCATAAGCATGTTGTTGATTTATTCCATAGAGATTTTGATCCTAGGTGGGAAAAATGACTAGTGTTGAGTGGTATCGAGCATGTGTGTATATGTGTACAACTGGAATGTGTATGTCCATGTTTGCTCCAGTTTTTCTCAGTCTGAACCCTTAGCTGTCACTTGCCTGTTTAGACTTCCTAGAGTATTTTTATTAACTATGAGGTGGGGGGAGGAAATTGATTCTAGCCATTGATAGCCATTGAGAATAAGTAGTTCATAACTGCCATGTAAGTTATTGTATGGCAGATACTCACATGCCTTGAATATATGTTCTTTTCTATTTGGGTTTTAGGTTCAACAGACTCCCTCAATCCTAGACCACAGAACACGATTTCTCCAGCAGATCTTCACGGGATGTGGTATCCCACAGTGCGAAGAACGCTTGTCTGTCTCTCCAAATTATATAGATGCATAGATGTATGTGTGTGAATTCTTTTATCTGCTTATTCTAGAATTTTTTTGGAGTATTTTTAAGGTCTAATCTACTTTAAGAGCTTGATGCAGTATTTTGTTGATATTCTCAGAGTTGTGATTTTTTAGATGATGGTAACTTGAAGGTTGATCTAATTAAGGGCTCCTGGAAACTGGGTACGTTTTAATATGTATTTATATTTGTGTCTTTCTGAGGACCATGGCTGGAGTTTGCATCTGATGGAGTCCATAACCACAAATAAGTTAAAAACTACTGATTAATTTGTCTGTTTTAGATTGTATGTGAAGTAAAGAGATGGAGTAAGGATGCAGTAAAGACTGTGGGCTAATACACTGGATTGCCACATTGGCATAATATTTAGTATTAAATGGAGCCACTGTAACATATTTTTTGTTGTTGAGACAGGGTCTTGCTCATTAGCTAGCTCTAGTTGACCTTGAACCTGCAGATCCCTTTGCTGCAGTCTCCCTGTGCAGGCATTTCAGGTGGGTACTACCATGCCCAGTCCCTGTAAATCTGGCTTTGCACTTGTTTTCTGCCAGCATCCTTAATACATAGTGCAAGAGTGCATGTGTTCCCAGTCATGAATTAAGTTTAGTTACTTGCTGAAGCTGGCAGAATTTTTTAAAAGCACCTTTTTAGACCATGCACTATTTTGGGAAACAGTTGTTTTAAGCATGCTGAGTTAATGATATGGTTGTCCTTCCCTACAGTAGCAGATTTAGCTACATATTTGCTGTCAGTGGTTTACATTTAAAACAAAATAGTTTTATAAATTTGGTGGTTCCTATTTTTTTTTAAACCTCTGAATGCATTTATTTAGACTTTGATATCTGAACGTTTCCCTCTGAAAAGGATAAAGAACTGTGTCCTGTCCACCCCATGGCCCACCAGTCCAGCTTGCAGAGGGCAACCCCACTGTCTTGGATCTATTTTTATTTTATTTTTTTTAAGATAAAGTTTCTCTGTAGCTTTGGAGCCTGTCCTGGAACTTGCTCTGTAGACCAGGTTGGCCTCGAACTCACATAGATCCACCTGCCTCTGCCTCCAGAGTGCTGGGATTAAAGGTGTGCACTACTACCACCTGGCTCAATTCTATTTCCTAAGTGACTGTTGTAATCCTACTGCACATGAAGAGAAATGATTGCATCTAGTAGTCATGTAATGACCTGTCCAGACCCCACTATTTTTTAAGAGGAGTAGGTGTGTACTCTCTGTGTGTGTTCTATGCACACACGCATACATGCATGTTTTATGCTTCAGACTCTTAGGACCAAATAAGGCCTCATGCTTGTCTCCTGGCATCAGCCACCCGTACTACTCTGATGTAAAGTGTGGTTCACAGATCTCTTCCAGTGTGGGCTAGGAGGACATTTGGTTCCCAGTAGGGAATGATGCAGGAGACCGGGGTTCAGAGCCAAGATCCTGAGGGAAATGTGCAAGGGTCATGCCCTTTGTTACCCAGACCTCAGTGCATTCAGCCTTTGAGGATGCTGGCAGGAATGTCATCCAAGGCACAGGTGGGTGCTCGGATGACCCTTACCCATCTGCTTTGCCTTATGCCTCAGGGTTACCTCCTCTTTTCCCACTTACCCCATATCCAAATCTTCTGTTCTCGTGTTTTGGAGGCTGAGTCTCACTCTGTAGCCAATATTGCACTAGAACTGTGTAGCCCAGGTTGGCCTCGAACTCTTGGCAGTCCTGTCCCAGCCTTCTGAGTACTAGGATTGTAGGTATGGGCCATTGTGCCTAGCTCTGAAATAGAAATATTTTTATCTTTATTTCTTTCCTGTGCCCCAGACAGGGTCTCTTGTACTCCAGGCTGGCTTCCTCCTTGATAATGTCACCGAGATTGTCCTGCATTGGGATTATTGGCAGGTGCCACCAAGCCTGGCTCCAATGAATTGTACTTTATAATAAAAATACTTTATCTGTGTAGGTGTTTTGTCTCCATGTATTTCTGGGAATCATGTGTGCACTTGGTTCCAGAGGACAGAGGAAGGCATCACAGAGGAACCTGGAGTCATAGAGCCCCTGTGTGGGTGCTGGGAATCAAACCTGGGTCCTCTGGAAGAGCAGCCAGTGCTCTTAACCACTGAGCCATCTCCACCCCCCCCCTTTTTTTTTTTTTTTTTTTTTTTTTTTTTTTTTTTTATGAGTTTGAGCATAGTCCTCAGAAGGCTCTGGGCTTCCACACAGCCTTCTCCTGCTGACTGTTTCCATTGTTTTCCTATTTAAAAGAGCAGTGCAGCAAAGGGCCTTGTATGTTGATCTTAAAGCATCATTATAACCATCTGGGATACACTTTGAGAAGATTCACTGGTGGGTTTTTTGTAGTTAATTTGAAGCTTTGAAACAGCCTTCCAGTTGGCTGTGGTGGTACACATATTTGTGAGCCCAGTACCAGGAGGCTGAGCAAGGAGGGTCTGGAGTTTGAGGCCAGCCTGCACTATATAAAGTTCTAGCTCACTACATGAGATTGTTCTGGAGTGGATACTGTGGCTAACCCTACCTGCCTAATCGATCTCTCCTCCCAGTGAACCCCACAGTGAGTACAGGACACGTGAGTGTTTCAAGGCATGACAATACAGAGCCGTGTGACAGTTGAGAAAGGTGGACAGTTGAGTGGACATGAAATTTGAGGGAGAATGGTTTAAGTATTAATCTGTGATGAAGGGATGTAAGCATTGTTTTCTGCCTTCATGGCTTTATATTTTTCTTTTTTGGTTTCGTGAATGGCTGCAGGCTGATGTTTTTCTTTTCTTCCACCAGAGGGCAGTATTCCAAGGATTATCACAAGAAGCATTGTCTGCCTGCATACAGTCCTTGCTAGGAGCATCAGAGTCTATCAGCAAAAACAAGGTTTGATGAAGCATTAGGTGAAATTTTATTACCTGTAATAGTATTGTGCAATATGCCATTTATTTGGAACCACAGGAATTTAAAGCAACTTAGCAGTAAGATTTGTTTGTTTAGTGGGAGTGGATTTGGAGACCCTTTGAAGGAAGATTGCACTAAGAGAGTGTACTCTGCTGATGTACCAGGAATGGTACTGAGGGCCTAACCCTGTAGGATGAAGATGAGGAAATGGTACTGCTGTTTGTGTTCAAGGAAACAGCAATTCCTCATCCCTTCAACCCTAACCCCCCCCCCCCCCCCAGCCCAAACAGAGTTTCTCTGTATAGCTCTGGCTGTTCTGGAACTCACTTTGTAGACCATTCTGGTCTCCACTCACAGAGATCCTTCTGCCTCTGCCTCCCTAGTGCTGGGTTTAAAGGCGAATGCTACTACTGCCTGGCCATCCCTACAATATTCTAAATAGTTCTAACAGTCTTACCTGGAGGAGATCAGCCAGTCAGCTCTGAGAATAGGCTGTTATAGTCCTTGTGTTGCGTGATTTGAAGTAGTTGCCATGGTGTATCGTTTGTAGTCAGCACTGGCTCTGGGGCCAGAAACTTCTGGTCTATGCCTCTCCCCCTGCCTTTTCAGAAAGTCGAGTGTGGGCAGCAGTGTAGCCCTATTAGGCTCTCCCTAGAATGCCTGTTGCCTGCAGAGAGGGATTGCTTGTAGGCCACATTTCACCCTTGTTAGCATTGTTCAAGCCTGCAAACTCCAGATTTGCAAATTCAGTTTCCACTCTCAGAATTGCAGATAATGGAGAAAAGTCTCCTGATGGAAGAATCTGGTATCTTGTTACCAGAGAAGCACTGCCCCTGTTTCTCCATTTGTGCATGACACTGAGAGGATTTCCACATAGGCATTAAGAGAGCATGGGACAGACAAATTCTACACAGGCAGAGTTAAGTTTTAAATAATACCTGCAAGTCTCATCTCTCACATTTTCATGATGAGTGAAATGTAGGACTCATACCTAAAAGTCCCTGGGGGAGATGGTTAACTAAACTGGACATATTCTGTATGATGAAATATCACACAGCTGCAGAGTGCAAAGACGTGAAACAGTAAACGTGGTGAGCATGGTATCACCACAAGTAAATGTTACTTAACTGTATTAAGACAAGTAAAGGATAACGCTGAAAAAGACACACAGCCTGTGGCTTTATGTAGCAAAAATGGCACGAAGCAAGTGGGAGACTAGGTGATTGCTGCCCCTGCTCCCTACACATTTCCTTATTGTCTGTAGGTTTTGTACAGTGAGCATGTTTCTCAGCTCATTAGGAGGAAGGCTGACTTAATTGAAGAGGCGGTTACATACTATGGCCTCTTGTGCCACCATCTTCTTTAAGCCCCCAAGCCTTTTGTCCTCATTACCTGTAGGTCTCCATCCTTTATGTAATTCTGTATCCTGCATGTTATAAGGGTTTATGTGTGTCTGGGAGACCCTCTGCTTGGTAAGCATAATTAGCTTATTTGTTTCTGTGGCTTAATTGTGCTTAATTTTTACCTTTCAACTTAGTTTTTGTATTTTTTTTAAGGTAAATTATCATTATAGACATAAATTGAACACTTAATCTAGTAAATTTTTAAAAATAATATATTTTATTTTTATGTGCATTGTTGTTTTGCCTGAATATATGTCTGTGTGAGGGTGTCAGATCTTGGAATTACAGACAGTTGTGAGCCTCCATGAGCCTGGCTCCTCTGGAAGAACAGCCAGTGCTCTTAACTGCTGAGCCATCTCCAGCTCCTAGTCTTTAGTAAATTAACATGATACTATTTTCTTGAGTTACAACAGCTTTAATAAAGCAAGTGAAGTGTAAGTGATGTCGTTTTTGCTGTCAGAGTTGTCCTTCACAACTAGGAAGTCGTAAACAAGCGTTTACAGTGGGCAGCATTTCATATTTACCTGCTGCAGTGTTCCACAGAAGAGTGAGTTTGCCTTACACATGTTGCTCTGATAGTGATTTGTCTGTTAGAAGTTGGTGGAAAGAGGGATTGAGGGGATTGAGGGGCTGACAAATTGTCTATGAATCCTTTTAGACTGCTTATGAAGGATAACTTCATTAGAAATGTTTTCAAAATGAAGTTGTGCCTTGAGGAGCAACCCTGCTTTGTTAATCCACAAACTTGGGTCGTGAGGCTTGTAGCTGTTATTCTGGGCCTTGGTCAGAGCTTTGAGGGTTCCACTCCAGTCACTGGGCCATAGTAGACAGTCCTGAGAGAGCAGAAGCGTTTGTGTAGAGACAGCCAATACTTTGTGGGTGGTAGGTAATCCAGGTTAGGGATGCCAGTTTATTTCATGCTAATGTTCCAGGTATCAAAACCATGTGGACCAAATGGGGCAAATGTCCTCCCAAGAGAAACTAGAAGGCTGTGAGCGAGCGAGTGGGCTCACACTCATCTTTTGAGTGTTTCTGCTGCTAAGGTAGCCCTTAGGTAGCAGCATCCTTCTACCTCTGCATCACGCTAATAGGCTAACTTCTCTTCCTGGCTTTTGAGTGGTTGACTCTCTTGGATTCCTTAAGTAGAGAAAGTGACAATGCTCAGAGTTTGAAGTAAGAATTTTCCAGAGAACTTGGACATGGATGATCTAGAGAGAGTTTATTGTACAGCAGAGTATTGGTTCCTCAAGGCTGTGAATCTGAATAGATATAATGTTTAAGTTAAGGAAAGCTAGTGTATTTCATGCTGTATTCATCTGTGATAATATCCATTTCTTTTGTCTTATGATTTAGACTCAGATTGATGGACAACTGTTCTTAATTAAGCACCTTTTGATTCTTCGTGAACAAATTGCTCCATTTCACACTGAATTCACCATTAAGGAAATTTCCCTGGACCTCAAGAAAACTAGAGGTACTTTGTTGTCCTGGCTGGCACAGTTGGGTGTGTTTGACCTGTCCAAGTGTGTCAGCACAGGCCACAGGTTTATTTTATGTTCATCTGCAATTTCTTTTGCATGCTTTGCTTGCTAAATATGTTACTTATTCATACTAAACAGAGCTGTCAGTGTCCTAATTACTTCTAATTTGTTGTATTTTCCTTATGAAAGGAGTTATATATAAGCATTGCTATGTATAATACAGTTTAACTCTCCTGGGCCCTTCTACATATGCCATGAGCAACTTTAAGATGAAAATCACTAATACCAATAAGATAAATAGCATGTGTCAGTGTCAGCAAAATGGGGTTTATCTAAGTGTCTAAGAGTCAGGTTTTATTCCTGACTTTTATGTAAACTTGAACTGAGGGATGGTTAACTTCCAGAGCCCATCTTCCTCTTGTGTAAAAGGAGCACAATGACATTGTCATGGAACCTTCATTGGTTACCAAGATCATTAAGAATGAAAATGAATGCAAAGATACGTCACTGTGTTTAAGATAACATCAAGATGGAGATGCTTATTGTTAAATCAGGTGATATGAAATATGTAGAATTTTACTCATCTTGGGAAAGATGATTCATGTCTTCTAATTACTTGTTTCTGAATTAACAGATAAAAAAAAAAAATGTGTATTGGTGTTTTGCCACGAGTGTTGGGTCCCCTGGAACTGGAGTTACAGATAGTCGTGAGCTGCCATGTGGATGCTAGGAAATGAACCCGAGTCCTCTGGAAGAGCAGCCAGTGTTCTTAACCACTGAGCCCTCTCTCCAGCCCTGAATTAATAGATTTTTATAAGGACACACCATAAATATATTTGTTTCTTTTACACATTTTTGTAAGCTGTTTTTTTTCTTAATGAATTCCAGAGTTTAAGCTCTTATTCCTTAAGCATTCATTTGTGTAATGAATTAATTCCCCTCTTAATCTAGAGGCAGTTGAAGGGATAGTGACTCTATTTTTTATGTTCTGTAATTCAGAAATGCCTAATAAAGAATCCTGAAGATAGCAGGCTTTTAGCTCCCTTATCACTGGTTATCTGAGAGAGGACTTGATTTAACTTATTTGAATTCCGTGTTGGTCTCCTGATGAGTCATGTCAAAGCAGTTGGTCCTGTCTTTCTCCTATTGCCATCATATGGTCATTACAGTAATGCTTTTTGGCCTTGTAAAGCTGTGGGTATTATTTGTTGGATTTGTCACCTGCATTTTTAAATAGGATTCAGGTTTTCTGAACTTTGCCTGTAAAGAATGCCCAGTCGTTTAAAAGCATATTGGCACAAGGAGCATCTCTCCCCTTGCTCCTGGCTGACTGCCTTCTCTTGGTGTGAGCTATGAGAACAGGGCTTTTAACTGCGTGGAGCTCGTGGCTGCTGATGACCTCCGTTTGGGTGATGGGATGCAGTATGATTGTTCACTTTTACTTCTAATCTGTATGTTGCTGCCACTTGGTTCTGCTCTAAGTCTGCTGAGATGTGAGAAAATGAAATAGCTTAAGATTTTGGCAGGATTTCTCTTCCTACCATATCATGAAGGTCACACACACACACCTACCATGTGGTTGGTGACTTGGCTCTGTCCTCTGGGAACAGTCTCTCCTGAGTACTGACTCTGATAGAGGTTCCTTTTCATTAAGACCCAGGTCAAGGCAGGACTTAGGCCCTTGGCATGTGCTTGCAGAGCAGGGCTGGGAGCAGTGTGTACTTTGCTTTCTTCAGTCTGGAAAAGCAAAGCCATTACTGTCATGTAATAATACTTCCTGTCTTCACTTTTAAGCCTCTAACATCTCGTGACTAATGGCATATCTTATTGCATTTGAACATCAATGAGACCTCAGTTAGTACTCTCTGAGATTCTAGTTAGTCTGGAGGTTAAGGGGTAAATATGTCCTCTTGGTGTTTTCTTCTTGGCTGACACATTTGTTTATTCACTGTCATTCAAGTAAATAAACTTCTGTGCCAGCCAAGATCATAAAGAAGCTAGGTAAGTATGTGCACTTTAAAAATTCTGTGTATTATCCTATTTATCATTTTTTCCCCCCTGTAAGTAGATGATTGTGGTTAATGCAACTGACTTTTGGACCTGACTGTGTGGGCATAGGTTGTCACTGGTCTCATCTCAGCCCTTCCTGAGGGGACCCAGTGAAGATGAATACTTACTGCTTGGCAGCAGTTGGGAGCTGGTGTTGCCCAGGGCTTCTCTGTTGAACCTGTACATTTTCACTGGATGAGTAATTTTGTTTCACAGATGCAGCATTTAAAATCCTGAACCCTATGACTGTTCCGAGATTTTTTAGGCTGAATAGCAACAATGCCTTGATAGAGTTCTTGTTGGAGGTGAGAAGGAATCTGTTTCATTGGTGGTGGGAGCTAAATGATTTTCTTTCCATGTCTGGTAATCTCTAGGCACATGAAAACAGAAGGAAATTGCCCTTGTGTTTTTCAGGGGACTCCTGAGATCAGAGAGCATTACCTGGACTCTAAGAAGGATGTAGACCGGCACCTGAAGTCCGCCTGTGAACAGTTCATTCAGCAGCAGACCAAGCTGTTTGTAGAGCAGCTGGAGGAGTTTATGACAAAGGTGCCACTTTCCTAGTCCTCTTTTCTTTCCTAGCCTGCTTTTGAGTGGTGAAAACACAGTGGAAGGAGAGGACGTCTGACTCTTTCTTGCTGTGTCTTTCCAGGAGAGTTATCACAAAAGCTGCTTTGCATCTCTGTGAGCTTAGCAGCATGTAGTTGTGAAGAACAGACACTGTGCAGCTGGTTGTAGCTGAGCCCTGCTTGGTGTGTTCTGTTATCTCCATTGTAAGTCTTCTCTGTGCTGGCTGCCACTCTCAGTTTGCTGAAATCTCTCCCTCCACCTCCTGTTGGGGGCTTTTTGGCAGCAGTCAGGTTCTTTGTACTTCTTCTTTTTTGAGATAGGGTCTCAAGTTCAAGGCTGGCCTGAACTTCTGATGTAGCCAAGGATGACCTTGAATTTCTGTTCCTCCTGCCAGTATCTGCCAAGAGTTCAGCTCAGATGGCAAACATGAGCTATCACATCTATTATACAAGTCAAGGCCTTGTATATGCTAGGGCAAGCACTGTAGCAACTAACCAGTGTTTATAGTTCTGTTTGTTGATTTGATTTTGTGCCATTGAATGCGCACCTCATCAACCTTGGCTTGCTTCAGGCTCATTTGAAAAGAATGCAGAGATAGGTTGGCATAACAAAGCAAACCATGCTTGTGTATAGAGGGCATTTTTGGCATTCAGGAGACTTGTTTTGAGTCTGGCTTTGTAGATGTGAGTCCAGTCCCTTCATAAGCTGTAGACTGTCCCCTTCACAAGCGTCAGATCAGTTCTTTCACAGCACAAGGTCCCTGTCACAAGCTGCAGGTCAGCCTTTGCTTGTGCACTCCTTTCCTGAGTCCCTAACAAAATGCTTCATTTTCTTGAACTCTCTTTTCTCAAGACAGGATTTCTCTGTATTGCCTTGGCTGTCCTGGAACTCACTCTGTAGACCAGGTTATCCTTGAACTTGGAATTTTCTTGAACCTTTACCATATTGCTAGTACCCAGAGTTAGGGGAGTGGCTTTATTTTGTAGATTGAGAAGTGAAGCTTTGAATCACTGGTTGTATGTGGGATAAACCTTTTTCATTCTTGTTCAACTGGTTCCTACTTGATTTTTGATCTGATAGTAGTTTTTCCTGAGAAAAATAAAGCATTGGCTCATACACACACACACACACCACACCATACACATATATATATGTGTGTGTGAATGGTGTTATGTGTGTAATATAAATATATAAATCAGAAGGATATATATCACATATATTATGTATTCGCATATAAGAAGATGTAGAAACAATATATATTATATCATTATATTGTTTTGGTTCATTTTTCTGCCTGCCTTAACTATCTTCCCTGTTGATGTGAAAGAGTACTCTCAAAAAAAGAAAATTAAGGGAGGAAGTTCCAGGTTATTGTCCCTTATTACAGAGAAGTCAATGCACTAGGTGCTTGAGGTAGCTGGTCACAGTGTATCTGCAGTCAAGAAGCAGAGAGTGAGGATTGCTTGTGCTCAGCTCTTACTTTCCTTTTTGTACATAGTCTAGGATCCCAGGCTAGGGAATGGTACCATCCACAGTGAGCAGGTCTTTCCACATCAATTAACCTAGTCAAGATGACTCCTCACAGGCATACCTAGAGGCCAATCTTCCAAGTGAATCTCAATCCATCAAGTTGATAAGTAAAAATAACTACCACATTGTCCCTGCAAAAATAACCTTTACTCAAAAAATGTAGATGGCCTAAGAGAATAAATACTGTGGTAAATATTGAGGTAGATGTATATATGAAAACATTTGGTTCAGATTATTTTCTTTAAGGCTTAAAGAATTTCAATAAATTTTTCTTATTCTAGAATACCATGGTAAACATGTTGCTTAACACTATTAAATAGGACTTTTGAGTTATAGTAGGTGTAGAAAAAGTACATGGCTGTCTTAGGGTTTCTATTGCTATGAAGAGACACCATGGCCACAGCAACTCTTATAAAGGGAAACATTTAATTGGGATAGCTTACAGCTTCAGAAGTTTAGTCCATTATCATCATGGCAGGACATGGCGGCATGTAGGCAGACATGGTGACTGGAGAGGGGCTGTGAGTTCTGTAGATTGATCTGCAGAGAACAGGAAGTAAACTGTGCAAATGGGTGTAGATTGAGTGTAGGAGACCTCAAAGACCACCCCCACAGTGACATACTTCCTCCAACAAGGCCATATGTACTCCAACAAAGCCACACCTCCTAATAGTGCCACTCCTTTCAAACCACCACATTCTACTCCCTGGCTCCTATAGGCTTGTAGCCATAACATAATGCAAAAATGCATTCAGTCCAACTTCAAGTCCCTGTAGTCTCATATAACAGTCTTAAACCCACTTAAAAGTCTAAAGTTTAGTTGCTTCTGAGATTCAGGCAGTGTCTTAACTGTAATAATCCCCCTGTAAAATCAAAAAGCAGATCACATACTTCCAATGTATATTGGCACAGGATATACATTACCATTTCAAAACATAGGGAAGGGAGCATAGTGAGGGAATTTTACTGGACCAAAGTAAGATCAAAAACCAGCTGGACAAACGCCAGACTCTGCATCTCCATGTCAAAACAGTCTTCAGATTCCCAGCTCCTTTCAGCTTTGTTGACTGCAACATTTCTCTCTTGGGCTGATTCCACTCCCTGTTAGCAGCTCTCCTTGGCAGATGTCCCGTTACTCTGGCATCTCCAACATCTTGGAGTCTCCAAGGCAATCCAGGCTTCAACTTGACAACTTCAACCAATGGCCACTCTAGGCCTCTATTCAGGGACACCTCTGACACATGCCTGGCCTTGGTGGCTTTCCTTAGTTGTGTAGTAAGGTTCCATTGCCCCTTTCTTCCGTCCTTGACTCTAAAGCCAGAATCATGTGACTAAAGCTGCCAAGTCCTGCTGCTGCTGCTGAGGCTGGAATATGGCCTCTTGCTTAATTACATTGTCACAAGCTTTCTGTTTTCCATGGTTTCCTTCACTACTTGAGCTTGGCTGTTCTGAGTTTTCTAGCCTCAAACTCAGAGGTCCACCTGTCTCTGCCTCAGAAGTGCTGTGATTAAAGGTATGTACCATCACACCCAGCTCCAAGCTTTTCTTTAATTCCTTTTCACAATTTGGAAATATAGTTGGGTGGAATCTTGCCCTGAGGTCACTACTCTCTTTATTCTATTTCTTAATCTGTTTGTCTCCTTGAACACAAGACTTTGTTTCATTCTACTTCTTGATACTCCTTTTTCTCCTCAAATTGTACATTTTGTATTTTTCCTTGTTCAGCTTGTTCTTTTTAATTATATAATCTTCATTAAAGTCAACGCTAATAACTATGGGACAGAGTCTGTACTAGGCTGTTTTGAGATTTCTTCTGCCAAACAGAATTAATCCAAATCTCTTCACTGTAGCCTCAGGCTGACTTTTGAATAAGGGCCAAATAGCCACATTCCCTTCTTCTCTGAAACTTCTTGAGCCAGGGCCTCACAGTTCAAATCTTCTTCAGCATCACTGTTTTCTATGTTTCTACTAGGATGGCCCATTAATTAGCACTTAAAGCATTCCATCTAACCCACAGTCCCAAGATCCATATTCCTTCAAACAAAAGCATGGTCAGGCCTATCACAGTCCCTGGTACCAACTTCTGTATTAGGGTTTCTATTGCTGTGAAGAGACACCATGACCATGGCAACTCTTATAAAGGAAAGCATTTAATTGAGGTCTTGTTTACAGTTTCAAAGGGTTAGTTTATTATTATCATGATGGGGTATGGTGGCATACAGGCAGACATAAATGCTGAAGAAGGAGCTAAGAATTCTATATCTCAGGCAGTCCTCAGGCAGCAGGAAGTGAACTGTCTCATTGGGTGAGGCTTGAGCATCTGAAACCTCAAAGCCCACCCCCACAGTGACATTTCCTACAGCAAGGCCATACCTCCTAATAGTGCCACACCCTATGAAGGCCATTTTCTTAAAAACTACTGCAGTGTCTTAGAGTTGGTTGAGCTGGGTGGGCCTTGACCCTTTCTGCCACCTCCCAGCTGAAATCACCAGAAAGTCAGTGGCTTCCAGTTTTCCCCTCAAACCTATTTGTTGAAAACCACAACACCTATCTGCCATACCTGAGGCTGTAGTGAGGATTGCATAAGACAGTGTGTGAGAGCCAGGTGGTAGTGGCGCACACCTTTAATCTCAGCACTTGGGAGGCAGAGACAGATATCTCTGTGAGTTCAAGGCCAGCCTGGTCTATAGAGCAAGTACCAGGACAGGCTTCAGAGCTACAGAGAAACCCTGTCTTGAAAAAAATAAAACAAAGCAAAACAAAATGTGAGGATTTTGTGATTGTAAAACTCCTCAGAAAAGCTATACTAAAAGAAGTCAGAACTGAACTAAAGATTTTACTTCAGCAAAGTACAAATCAGGGCATTTTGAAGGAAGCATATTCAGGTTATGGTTGAGCTATAATATTTCTGGAGCCAGCCTTTGCTAAAAAAATCTCACTCATAGATAAAAAGTTTTCACATTTTTGTTTGATAAACTTTTGCATGTTTATTTTTATCATCCCCTTGGAAGTGTTAGTTTCCTTGACATGTATAAATTAATATTTTTATTAATGTAGTGCATATAGTAGAAATTGACCTTACAAATTTAATTCTGGTAGTCAATGAATTGTAATCTGGTATGGAAATCAAGATATAAACTGTGTCCACATTAAAGTATATCGAGCAGTGATGAGGGAGAGTGTAGGTCTTTTCTGGTCTCCAGGCTCTATAAGAGATGGGCCTTCCTTTCTGTCTCTGGCCTACTTTATTAGGAGGGCTTGCCCTGGCAGATCTAGGAGAACTTCTGAAGAAACAAGCCTTGTTTTGACTTAAAGAGAAGTAAATTATGCACATAGCAAAACAGGGTGAATATAGAAGTCTTTGCAGTTTTTAAGCAGCTGGCCAGGCATGGTGGCACATATAGAGGGAGGATATGGTGATTTGAATAACAATGGCCCCCATAGGCCCATAAATTTGGTTTTTAGTCACCAGGGAGAGGCACTATTTGACAGGATTAGAAGGATCAAGAGTTGTGGGCTTGTTGGGTAGGTGTGGCCTTGTTGAAGGAAATGTGTTGCTGGGGGTGGGCTTTGAGGTTTCAAAAGGCCACACCAGGATCGGTGTCTTGCTCTCTGCCTGCTGCCTGGGGGTCAGGATGTGGCTCACAGCTCCTCCAGCACCATGTCTGCCTGCATCACACCATGTTCCCTACTGTGATAATGCTGGACTAACCCTTTGAAACTGTAAGCCGGGCTTCAATTAAATGCTTTCCTTAAGAATTGCCTTGGTCGTGGTGTCTGTCCCTTTGCAGCCATAGAACAGTGACTGAAAATGGAGGACCACTGTGGATGCAATGCCAGCCTGGGCTACAGAGTGAGTTTCAGGCCCGTCTGGTTTATATAGTGTGATGCTGTTTTTCTTTTTTTTAAAAAAGCGTGAGTTATGTTACTAGAGAATTAGCGAGGTCCTAGAACAAACAGTGGAGAGTGATAGGTAGTAGTTATTATTAAAATAAAACTTTCAGGGCTAGAAAAAGGCTTAGCATGTAGCTACTAGAAAAAAGTTAATGAACTCTGTGTTCCGATTTTTATAAATAAATACAGGAGTATATCTTTACACTGGAAAAAGTTGGGGTAATGTATACTAAAGGTAAATTTACTTTTAGCATTGTCTAATTTATAATAATATATGTAATTTATTTTATTCTAATTAATTTATATGTACTTCTCTGCGACAAGATCTTACTGGGTAGTCTTGGCTATTCGAGGACTCACTATTTAGACCAGTACGGCCTGGAATTCTCAGAGATCTGTGAATTCCTCTGCCTACTGAGTGGTGGGATTAAAGGTGTCTTTTACCACATTCAGCCATTTATAATTTATTTTTAAAAGCTGCATCTCAACAATAAAAATAAAGTCATGAAAGAAACTAAGTGCATGGAGTTAGAGGTGAGGTCTATCTGCAGTGGGCAGTAAGAGCAAAGGTCTAGATTGGTTCTGGATCAGAGATAGACAGAAGTGAAAGACACCTCAGTTAGTGTTTGGATACAACTCTGCCGAGCCTTTGTCAAAATAGTCTGCCTTTATGGGAAAGCTGGAGTAATGCCTCAGTTTTTCTAATGGTTTGGACCTTTGCCCAAACCATGTCTATCCATTAAAAACTAATTCGTGCACTGGGTGATGGTGGTATACACTTTAGTCCCAGCACTTGGTAGTCAGAGGCAGGCAGATCTCTGAGTTCAGGACCAGCCTGATTTACAGAGTTAGTTCCAGCAAGGAACTCCTGTCTCGAGTCACTCCCCCCTCAAAAAAGTATTTTATTGCTTATTTTCATGAAGTTAAATAGCTAGCCTAACATAATTTGTATTTATTTCCTAAGCTGCTTCAGTAGAATGAAAAATACAGAAGTGGCTTCTAATTTCTTCAGCATATGTTGTTCAAATGTGCCTTGTAGTGGTACTTGAAAATCTTACTTGTTTTTTTTTTTTGTTGTTGTTGTTGTGTGTATGTTGAGATAGGGTCTCACTATGTAGCCCAGGCTGGCCTCAAACTCTTGTACTTTATTCCTCAGCTTCCCAGATGCTGACTCTGCAGGTGCTTCTGCCATGCCTGACTAGAATTTGTGTGTGTGTGTGTGTGTGTGTGTGTGTGTGTGTGTGAGAGAGAGAGAGAGAGAGAGAGAGAGAGAGAGAGAGAGGAGAGATGTGTGTGCCTGTGTCTGTGAATGTATGCTATTTGTATGTATTCCTGTGGAGTTCAGAAGAGAGCATCCTACCCTAGGAGCTGGAATTACAAGTTTCAGGATCTAAACTCCAGTCCTCTAGCCTGGTTACTTTTGCTTTAGGTACATTTTCTGTGCCTGTGATGAGGTTAAAGAAGGGGGAAAGTCCTGGTGAGGAGCCTCTTGTGCAGTTGTGAGTGAGCAATGATAGTGATGAGTATTAGCACAGCAGTCTTTCTGGGAGGGACCATTTTTTTTTTTTTTGGTGAAATTCCTTCAGAGATTCCTGTCCTGAAAAGTCTCACACAGAATGCCTGATAGGTTGTTGCTGTTTTGTTTTTGTTTTTCTCCCCAGAATAGCACATGCTTTAAAATCACAAAAGTCTTATTAAAAAAAAGGTCTGGCTGTGAAAGCTTGTGAGAGTCTATGGAGTTTTGCTAGAGTTTGCACAGGTTGTTTACCAGTGTGCCTTTTTGAATAGGCTTAAATGGCTGTTTATTTGCTGTTGGTGAGATGAAACCTCTGCTTTTGTTTCCTCTACTAGGTGTCAGCATTAAAAACCATGGCCAGTCAGGGAGGCCCCAAGTACACCCTCTCACAGCAGCCTTGGGCACAACCAGGTATTGGGATTTTACTTTCTTGGACTTCTCTTTCTAGGAAAGAGAAGGATCTATGTGGCCCTCGCTGGGGCATGGTTTCCTGCTTGCTTCAGGACACTGGATGTGGGTTAAAGCCAGCTTCAGCTTCGGCTTGGGGCTGACAGGTCTTACTTGGCCAGCACTGCTCACATCTGACAAACGTTCATTTAGAGGGAAGAAGGGTGGAAGTTTACTGGGTTAAAAATAAAGCATGGCTTTCTTGGGAGTGCTTTGCGCCCACAGACTTGTGTGCGCCTGCTGTTCCCTGGCCTGGGTTTAATGGGAACACAGTGCTGCACAGGATGAATGAGTGATGGAAGGAATGCACTTATTTTCAGCGCACGAAGAAATGTTGGGCCACTCTTTCTTTCCTTATTTTTCTCCAAGTTACATCCTCTGTTGACAGTTTAGAGTGTTTGGGGAAAAAAAAAAGTGTAAAAATGAAACAGTCAGTTGGATTTGGCAGGCAGTTAGTTCCACCATGTGGCCTGCAGATTCACTTGAATGTTTCCAGTCACTCTGTTCCATTAATGTAATTTTTTTTATGCTAAAGGCTTTTTTTTTTCTTTTTGGCACGTGGAGGGGGGTCTTTAGTGTTAGGTATGAGGCGTTTAGAATCACACCCCTTTGGGTTATTTTTAGCTATTTTTAAATGACATTTTCAGTTACCATTAACTAGAATAAAATTTGTTAAATTGCTATTTCTGGCCATCCCATGGCCCAAATTTTAAAATGAGGCGGTCATGAAAGAACAGTGTCTTAGTCATGGAGAAACTGTTTCTGAGTCTCTGGAGGGAGGCCTGCTGCTCGCACATAGCGAGAGATGCAAAGAGTGCTCTGGCTTGTCCATGGAGATTGGCAGCTGCAGGTGCCTAACCTAGAACCAGCTGAATAATACCATTGGTTTTCCATGGTGTAAGAAAGCCATGCCTGTTAGGCGTGTATCTCCTTTGAATAGGGGATGGTACAGTCTTATGCAGGTGACTTTTAAAGTTCGTGCAGCATGTTTATCAACAGTTGGGGAAGACGTTATAATGGTGGTTATCATTGAGAGAAGGGCCAGTTTGTAGGTGGAAAACAAGAAGTCCTTTCCACTTTATAGTTTTTCACAGGTCAAATTTTCATACCATATAAAATTTTGATTGAAGCTTTCAGTCATAATTTAAAGTTAAACTAAGAAGTACCTATTGCTGTCTCTTAGGAAGATGTGTACATTTAGATACCAGTTGTTGTTGGAAGGAGATGGTGTTATTTGAAACATCCTTCCTGTGTACATTGAGGATACACTTCTGCTTGTTTGGTGACCATGGTGGAGACAGTGTATCTTTTAGTCTCTCATTATTTCAGACTTTTGTCTTGTCCTGGAGATTGACATCTGTGACATCTTCTAAAAACAGCACAGCTGGGTGGTGGCATCGGCTGTGTATGCCTTTAATTCCAGCACTAAGGAGGCAGAGGCAGAGGCAGGCAGATGTCTGTGAGTTTGAGTCCAGCCTGGTCTACAGAGTGAGTTCCAGGACAGCCAAGGTTACACAGAGAAACCCTGTCTCAGAAAACAAAAACAAGCAAACAACAGCAAAAACTAGAGCACATTTGATGGATGAGCATATTGTCCAAAGGTAGCAAATCTTTCACTTCGGTGTTGAAATTCTCACCACAGGTTACCATTACCGCAGACCACTGGTCCTCACAGTGAGGACACTTGGCAGTCCCTAGACAGCATGGCTCTTGGGGTCATTCTCTTGATCTTGAATTAATTTGAACCTTTGGCTTAAGGTTTTAGTCTCTTACTCACTTAGAAGTAGGAACTGGCTTGTATTCTGAATGTTTATGTAAATGGAATTCTGAGGTGCAGTACATCTTTCTTAAAATAGATAACACTGACAAGCAGGCATAGCATGTTATGCCGCTAAGCCCAGGCACTCAATGCATAGATAACTGTAGCTCTTTCCTTTCTGGACAGATCCTATCTCTTGAAGTAGGGCCCGTGATTTTTCTTAAGAGGTATTACACTGTTCCATGTTGGGGGTATTGTGTATTTCATTTTTACTTAAATGCCATTAGTAAAGCATTAGGTAACAGGACAGACTGGAATGGGATCATTCACTGTCTTATAAATTCATCTTCTGCCTCTTTGGTCACCTTGGAAGTGTGGAGTTGGTTTTCATGGTCTGCAGTGAGTAACACCCTTCCTTCAATGTCAGAGAGAGATTCATGGGTCTCTTGAGGTGAATCAAGAAGAGCAGTCTAGAAACTGCTGGGCCTTCTGCCCTGAGCTCAGCTTCTGGGGGAGATTATGTTGTGAGTTGTAGATTAATGTCCATTTGTTGACTTAAGCTAGGAGATACATCTTTTAGGAGCTGGTGAGTATGGTGTTCACTGGCTGTGCACTCACTTTGTGGTTACTGAGAACTTTCAAGTCTGATTTAGTGACCCCTGAAGCATTTTAGTGATGATGGGACCAGAACCCAGGGAGAAAGGACCGTGAAGGAGACTTCAGTTATTTAGTAAAAATAGCAATTCCTGAAAGCATTGGCATTCCTACCATATTTTTGCCCAATCTTTCCTCAATTAAACTTTTTTTTACATGATATAAAATTTGACCTGTGAAAAGGTATATAATAAAATTATTGTTCTCTATCTGTAAACTAGTCCTTTGGAAAGACCATGATTGCAGCTTCTGTCTCCAAGTTGTTTGTATGTATACACTAGCACACACAGACTGCAGCTGTCCTGTGAGATCGTACCATCCCTCATTATCTTTCACGGCCTGCTCTGCAGCCCTTCCATATGTGGACACTGTTCATTCTGGTCAGTGGGTGCATAGAACACCTTACCACATCATGATTCCTTCAGTCATTTATTATGACTACATTTAATGTTTCAGCTGGATTTTCCATATACCCTTTAATAAAAAATTACATATATGTACATATGTATTTCATGAATGCTTACATGGCATAGTCTTTAGTACTAGTTAAGAGGGTTTATTTTCAGTTTTCGGGACGTTGTCTAGCACACCCCCAGGTTGAACCATCTTACTGCCATCAACAGCTGACGAAGATACACTGTCCCTTACTTAGTATCTGCTGGTTTCCATTTAGTCTGCTTGTTTTTGAGACAGGGCCTCTCTGTCACCCAGGCTAGTTTCAAACTCATTATCTTCCTTCCTCAGTCTCTGGAATGCTGGGATTGCAAGTGTGTACCATTGTGCTCAGTTTGTGGTGGTTTTAGTTGTTTTCCTTTGAATATTTTTTATGTTAACCAAAAAAAAAAAAAAAAAAAAAAAAAAAAATATGTAGAAGGCTCTTTACCTATTTCTCTACACTCTGTCAGGCATGGAAATCTGAATCCTTTTACCAGTATTTAATTTGTACTGCATTTTGAGTGAGGCTGAGCATTTTAGAAATTACAAATCACCTTTTCCTTTGTAGCTATGTGGTGATTTCCTCTTGACTATACTTATTTCCACATAGCCCTTTCGGATGCTACACTTGGGTAGCATAGATCTTAAAAACTGTGTGGTCCGGAGTACAAGAAGGAAATAAATGAGCACATAGCTCTGCTCCACCATGTGTAAATAAGCATCTTTTGAATGACCCAAGCAAAGCAGTCAGAGATGCCTGCCTGGGGTCAGCTCTGCACATGGAGAGACTTGTTTCTTATCAATCCACTGTATCTCTAAAAATAATTGAAAGTTTTAAACCTCATCTTTACCTCCACATTCCCAAGGCACAAATTACAGCGCCTATGAGCGTCCTGAATCATACTGGGGGACGTTCTGGCTCCATTAGTCCTTGGGTTTAGAGTTTGTACATAGCATATACTTAATGAATGTTTAGAGGGCTTGTATTTAAACTTGATAAATAACAAGACATACGGAAGAGATTCTTTGGGAAGTAGAGAGTCTTTGCTATTTTTTTTTTTTATTCCCCTCTGAATTAAAATGAAAAATTTTCCTTTTCTTTGTGACACTAACAAGGGTAATTTCTCCACAGCAAAGGTCAATGACCTCGTGGCCACGGCTTACAAGACAATAAAAACGAAGCTGCCACTGACGTTGAGGAGCATGTCACTGTACTTGTCCAATAAGGACACCGAGTTCATCTTGTTTAAGCCTGTTAGGGTGAGTCACGGTGTGGCAGCTTGTTGGCTGGTGACTACAGTGTGCTTTTCTTCCTGTCACTTTCTCTTCCTGCAGACATTTCAGATGTTAGTGATGTTAATGCTCTCTGTGACCTTCTGCTTAGATCTTACTCCTGGCTCACTTTGCCTTAAACCTTTTGTTTATTTTGAAAGTAAATAATTAAAAAAAAAAATCAGACCTGCATTTTGCACTGTGGCTCAGCACTTGGGAGAGCAGCATTTCAGGATTTACACCCCGTTTTACTAGTGCGTAGAGGAAATAAATGACTTGTAACAGCCACCGAGGGATTAAGTGTCAGAGTAGATTTAAGACTCATAACTTTCAGTTCATGTTGAGTTCACAGCTTTACCCAAGGCATTGGTCGATTTTTTTTTTTTAAGTGCATTTTATGTGTCTAGAAACTTTATTATCTTTTATGTGAGAAATTGCTGAAGACTTACTATGCTCTGGGGAGATAAGATATATGAGAATTTAATGTTTCTAGGAATCATCTGATAAGTCTTCATCAGGTTGTGCTAGCATGTAAAATATTAAAGTACAAATTATATGTCTTTGGTAATCTCATAAAAATATATTTCCTCTACTCATTTTGGCAAGAACCATGATGCTTTAATACTCTTAGCATTTCTTGTTTATGATGTGGGCATATATCCCCTGGGCTGTCTGATACGGTCTCTCCTTTTTCTTCTAAGAACAACATTCAGCAAGTCTACCAGAAGTTCCATGCTCTGTTAAAGGAAGAGTTTAGCCCTGAAGACATCCAGATCATTGCTTGTCCTTCAGTGGAACAGGTATGCACAGACTACAGGCCTCTGATCCTTTAGGCCCCTTGTTTATTTCACTTGAGTTGATAACATGTTTGAGTAAACATGTCTCTAATTTTAATTTGAAAACTTCTGCATCATTTTATTTTGATGAGTAAGAATTCAAACTTTGAATTGTGACTAACTCTGGGGAATGGCTTTAGAGTTTTAGTTTCTTGTTTAATCCATTTTGAGGATGGATATCCTGCTTGTGAAAGACTCAGTGCATCAGTCAACTCTCCCTGTTCAAAACAAGAGGCCAGCATTCAAGTGCTCGAAACGGAAGTTTTTCTAGGAATTAGAATTGATGCTGGACCTATCTGTGTGTTTGGGTTTTTTTTCTTTCTAAATTTAAAAACCTAAATTAGAGAGTCCAGTTTGTGTCAGCACTCATTTCATTATACAATTCAGCCAGGAAATTTTTATTAGGAGTAGGCTGGTGCTTTGTTCTTATTTCTTGTCTTCAGGACCAGAGAGTCTTGGAGCGGTGAGGATGTTGAGAGCTTAGTGAAGTGTGAGTAGAGACTGGGGAGCACGTGAGACAGCAGTGTGGGTATTTCTAGGGATATTACTGTACCAGGGAGAAGAACGCTGAGGGGAGAACTGTGCTTTTCTTTAGTGAGATGCAGTTTGTATACCACACAGTTCTCCTGCTAAGATGTAGAGCTTAGTAGTTTTTAGTATATTTACACAACAGTGCAGCCGTCACCATCATCTGATTCTGGAGGATTTTCATTACTCTCTTAAGAGCCCATCACAGCCAGTCACCAGCCTTCCCTCTCCCCTTCTCCCTTAGTCCTTTTGGGATTGTAGATTCTGTGGATTTCATCACAGGGAGTCATGCATTGTCTTTCCTAACTGGGGTCTATCACTCAGCACACTTTCAAGGCTCACACATGTCACAGCATGTGGTTTTTAATTTTTTATTTGGATTTATTTTTAAAAAAATTTAAATTATTTGTATATGTCTGGGTCTCTATGTGAGTTTGTGCAGATGTCTGTGCAGGCCAAGAGAGGGTGGTCAGATCCCTGGAGCTGAAGTGCTGGTTGGGGGCTGCAGGATGTGGGTGCTGGGAACTGAACTTGGGTCCCCTACAAGAGCAGCAGGTATCCTTAACCACTGAAGCATCTCTCCCCTCCCTTCTGTCCTCCCTCCTCCCCTTCTTCCCCCTGTTTATGTAGATAGTTGGGGTCATATTTGGAAAAGTTAGGGCTTCTAGTATCCTACAATCAACACTTTAATTTTGTTGTTGGTTTGACCCAGGGCTTCTGTGTAGCTCTGGCTGTCTTGGAAATTGCTCTGTAGACCAGGCTGGCCTCAAACTCAGATACCCGCCTGCCTCTGCCTCCCTAGTGCTGGGATTAAAGGCCATTTCCACCATCACCTGGCTAAGATTTTAAACCTTTAAAAATTTTGTGTGTGTGTGTGTGTGTGTGTGTGTGTGTGTGTGTGTGTGTGTGTGTGTACGTGTACATGAGTGCCCGTAGAAGCCATAGGTGTTGGACTCTCTGGAGTTATGAGTGGTTAAAGCATAGGAAACAGGATTCCAGGGCACAATATTGTCTGGTGGATGTTTATTCAGGGAGAAATCACTTATACCAGAAACAGATGACTGCTGCAGGTTCCCAGTCCAAGGAAGCCCCCGGATGCTCTCTGTCTCTGACCAGGAAGTAAGAATGTGAGCTGGGGTCCTGTACCCCAGACATAGTCCCCCCAGGTTTTGCCCTCACCTGTCCCAACACCCCAATGGGCGTGGTCAGTGTAACAGGTGCGGGCAGGGTGGCTATGTCACTACAAGTGGTTGTGAGCCACCTGTTGTAGGTGCCGGGAATAGAACTCAGGTCTTCTGGAGGAGCAATCTGTGCTATTAGCCACTGCATCTTCTCTCTAGCTTCTAAACTTAAGTCATTTGAAATGTCCATTTTCTGTGTGATTATACTGCTAAGTATTTAGTTAGGCTTATTTACAGAGTTTCTCCACTTTGATTTATTTTTGCTTATTTTTATAGTATTTTTATTTCATTTATTTTGTGTGTGTCACAGAATGTATGTGGAGGTCGGAGGACAATTTAGGCAACATGCTCCTTTTATTGTGTGGTCTCAGGGATCAAACCTAGGTTATTAGGTTTGGTGACAGGCACCTTTTACCCATTGAGCCATTTCGCTGGTCTTAATTTTGCTTTTGGATTATATAAAATGTCTTACTTACAAGTCAGAATTGTGAAACATGGTAAATTTGTAGGACTCTTGTTCTGTTTTCTAGTGCTGTTTAGGGGGCTGTTGTGAGGCTGTCAGAATGGTAGTATAGTATAGTATAGTATAGTGTAGTAGTAGTGTAGTGTATTAGTAGAATGATATAGTAGTAGGATGGTATACTATATTAGTAATACAGGCACTAGTATAGTACTAGTATAGTTGTAGTAGGAGTAGTATAGTATGGTGGTAGTATAGTGTAGTGGCAGTAGACGGAGAAGCTCAGTTGAGTTAAAGGAAGTCTGAGTGTGTGGCACAGATGTGGGGTGCTGGGATGGTGGGGCTCATGGAGGTCTCACTGTAGTGCTTTCTGATTCTGAAGATGAAGGCTCGGTTAAGTATAGTGGTTAGGAATCTGGATCTTAGCTGTCTAATTGTTTTTGTTTTGTAGTTGTTGTGGATTGCTTGGAAATAAGTGGAGTAGCTGGACCATCGGAGTCAGTTGTATTAGTCAGCCCTCCATCACTTTGACAGAGAAAGTCCTGTTTGGGGCATAGTTTGTGGGCTCCAGTCCATGCTTGCTTGGCCTCATTGCTTCAGGGCCATTTGGGGCAATTGGGAAGCATGGGGAAGCATGTGGTGCTGTTAAGCTACTCTCTGTGTGGCCAAGAAGCAAAAAGGAAGAGGAAGGAGCTGGTCTCCTTTCTTAGAGACCTGAGACCTTCTGGGCCCCATTCCTTGTCAGTTCCCCCATCTCTCAGTACCAAGTGTCTGAGGACCAAGCTTTGGACAAATGGGCCTTTGGGGAGTGTTCCAGCATGTAACAGAAGGATGCAGAACTGATGTAAGAAACTCCTTTGCATCCTTTACCCCATTGCTAACTGCTCTGTTGGTTTTAACCTCTTCTAGCTTCCTTCCATCCTTCCTTTGAGAGACAGTGGGGAGATGCTTGCTTGGTTCTCCTGAATACAGAAGGAAACCCTCCTAGTCTCCCCTGCCTGTCAGTTAGTAGAGGTCCTCTGAAGGTTGGATGATTGCATGGTTTTTTCACAGCTAGTTTCAGGTTTTGCATTCCTGGTGGGAACAGCCCAGATTTTGTCTCTTTTCTCCTGGAAGCACAGTCATAGAGACAATGAGGTGATGAGTGACAGCCAGAGCAGCCGTCCCCTGTAGAAGGGGAGTCAGCTGCTTACTACAGGTCTCCATGGCCCGCGTGGTCACTCCTCTTGGGTTGCCACAGGGACCTGGCTCTGGATTCTCAGGCCTCCATTGTCTACTGGCACATTGCCTGAATGACAAGGCTGTTACCTGCGAGGGTAAGAGTTGGTGTCTTAAGCCAGAACCCATCTAGCATGCCTGCTGAGGGCCGTTAAAACATCGTCTAAGGACTGCAGGTGAAGCCCAGTTGGCCGAGCGCTTTCCTTGAGTGCAGGAGGCCTTGGGTTCAATCTCTACCCCACAGGAACCCTGCAGCCCTGCATGGTGCATGCCCTAACCTAAGCACTTGGGATGGGGAGAATCAAAGTGAAGGCCACCCTCGGCTAAATAGTGAGTTTGAGGCTAGTCTAAACTGCATGAGTCTCTGTCCTTTTTTTTTTTTTTTTTTTTTTTTTTTTTTTTTCCTTTTAAAGTCATTTAATTTCCAGCACTAAGGAGGCTGAGATAGGGGGGTGTTGAATTTAGAGCTAGCCTGGGCTGTACTTAAATAAACAAAACAAAATCATCATTTAACTAATTAAGCTTACAACGGTGTTCTCCCAAGCACTGAGTAGGAAGAGGTGGTATGGGTTGTGTGTACATGCCTGCCATCTTCCACTTGTGTGTTGCTTTGCCATCACCATCATGGTACTGTAAGAGACTTGAGGCTTGGGTTTGGCAGTGGAGTACAACTCCCTGCAGTGCCTCCAGTGGCTGTAAACATCCAAGGCTTTTTCTTTCCTCATGCTTTTGGGACTGGAGACTTCTGTGTTAGAGGAACTAACACAGGCCTCTGTTGCTTTTCAGCTGAACCTCCTGCTGTCAGTTTCTAAATAGTACCATTGGACTGTGGGTGTCACCGTCTGTCCCGTGGGAGAGGCCTGAGGAGTCCTGCAGCCTGCAGGGTGCCCAAGACCCCTATGTGGGATGGCTCTGGGGAAACACGAGCATGCTGCTTGGTGTTGCCTGCAGAAGGAAACCTGAGCGAAGCAGAAGATCAAACGCCAAAGATCGACAGCCTCACTCAAATGGTCTCCAAAAATGGAGAGGTCTAAGAGGTGGCCATGGTTCACAGTGAAACGTTCCTTCACAGAGATTGTGCAATAAAAGTAGGTTACAGTAAATAGTGCAAAGTACTTCATAGGAACTCAGCTCACTGGAAAGCTGCTGGGTCACAGTTGCTCCTGTGGACACTGCAAGGCCTTTCTTTATCCACCGGGTATCCCATGGTGACTGTTACTTGGAGAAATCTTACTTCTATATCCTGATGGAGTGTTTCTCCCTGCCATCTTGAAGTTGAGTTGGGAGTAGATTGGATGCTTCCAAGAAGACTTCTTGCTTTTCCTGGACTCAAGCTATTGTCTTCCTATGGACTTGATGTGAGGCAGCTACAAGAAGCCAAGGCCTCACGTAAGGTCCTCTCCTGAACTGTATTTTCCTCACTAGACAGATGTGTCTTGATAATCAGATCTTCCCAGTATGGGCATCAGTGTGTGAGTAGGAGTTACCAGTGATGGGGTCTTAAGTCTGACACATCCCAGGCAGAGGGATGTCTGTGGAAGCGGGTCTCAGGAGTGGAGCTTAGTTGCTGGCCTTCTGCTGGCCTTGGTTGCAGTCCTTTATAAAGTGAATACTCTTTAGTTGCCCTTGCTGTACAAGACACCATCTTTCTGGGGTCCCCAGTCCTGCAACAGCCAAACACCTAATTGTGGCAAACACTGCCCATACGTTAAACACTACACCAGTCAAGGGTCAAAGGACTATACGCATCCCTGAATTTTCCTACAGATCCTCTCTGAATTTGGGATTGGATTGGTTTAGAGCCTGGTGTTACAGTAAATGTAGCCTGCTTCTTCAGTTACTCAAACTGTAGATGTGAAGGTAGGACTGTGCTGAGGGCTCTGAAATAGGGCAGGTGACCTCATGGTGCAGGTGGAGTGACAGGAGCAGCCTCTTGCACAGTGTGCACGTGGGTGACCCATCCTGATGCAACAGGCCACTTGTTTTTCAACCCAGTTTAAATCGGTGGTGGACGTTGCTTGGTAGAGCATATTACTCTATATTTTGGGAAACTCGAAGGTAAGAGGGTCCATATTTTTCTTTGCTATGAAATGAACGAGTTAAGGAAGATTGTACTTACTATTTTAATACATGTCTAATGTGATGAACTGTAATATCCAGTTCTGTGTATTATATGTACATTTGGTGTTCAAATAGCCTTTCCAAAGAAATGAGGGCGTAATTGTGCAGCACTGTGATCCAGTAGTCTGATCTCAGAGCAGGGTGCGTTCTCCAGGAGACACTTGTCCTTGGGTTTGATTTTTTTTTTTTTTTTTTCCTGAAAACACTCAACACCTTACCAAGTGCTGGGAAGGTGGTACTGATTCAGTTTGTTTGTTGAATGAATATTTGTTTAAATCTGTACAGTTTCAAGTGTTTACTTATACAGAGTGTACATACTTTGAAATAATTAATTTAAATGCTTTATATTATTTAGCTAGAAATTGCTGTTTTTAATAAATAAAAATTTTTTTAAAAAAATAAAGATCTTTGCTTCCTACTTTGTTGTCATCTGTTTGGTATGTGTGTAGATTCTTTAAAAATATTTTAATTGAAAATTTTATTGGGGCAAGTTGTAGACTCATTTATATGTATAAGAAATAGTCCCTGAGTTCCTTTTAGCTAACTAATTCTGTTCAGTGGTAACATCTTACAAGCTGTGGTGTTCACTATAACCAAGAGTTTTACATCAATAGACTTTGCTAATTACTTTGTAATAATTGTGAAAGGACATTTTTAATCTCTCTCTTTATTTCTCTCTTTAGTTTTTTGAGACCAGGTTTCTCTATACAGTTCTGGCAATCCTTAAACTTGCTTTGTAGACCAGGCTGGCCTCTATCTCAGGCTTGCTTGCTTCGGCATCCCAAGTGCTGGGAGGTGTGCATCAGAGCCAACTTTGAGATAGCATAGTGATTTATTAGCAAGAGGGGTGTTTAATTTTGTTACTGTAATATACCTGGGATAAGTCAAAGTTTGAACACAGAAAGCTCTTTTTGGCTCATGGTTTTGGCTCTCATCAAGATGTGTTAATTGGAGACTGGCCCTATTTTGTAGTCTGGAGAACAATCTCTAGCCATTCTTGGTTTTTAATTTCTGAGTTTATTAATTATATGCCAAACACAAGTAGCAAGTGGCAGATAGAAACCTCCCATAATACAAAGCATCGTCGAATCAAACACTCATGATACCTAGCACAAACTGGATCAGCTTGATTGGGCTTCCAACAGCCAGCAGAAATCAAGTAGGGTCAAGATCCAACCTGAGTTTTCTTCTCAAGGGTGAGCTTCTAGCTCCCCCTTCCCAGGCAGGTGTTTTTATACACAGGACACGCAATAGTAACCTCTGTCAGAAATGTTCACCATTTTGCTGTTTTCCTTGTCCCTGCCACAGAGCCAGAGGGATCAACCTGACTGGGCCAGCCTGACCTAGAACAGTGTGGGGGACTTGACATAAGATAAACTTGCTGAGATGAGGGAGGGCTTGCACAGCAAGTGACAATATAATCACCAGTGCAATGTATATTTCACCCCCATTGCTAGGGGCTTGTGGTGAGGCCACTTGCCATGGCAGGGGAGCATGGGACAGCAAGGCTGCCCTTGCAAGTCTGTGTGTGTGTGTGTGTGTGTGTGTGTGTGTGTGTGTGTGTGTGTGTGTGGGCACAAACTTATCCCAGGAGCCTTCCGTGATCACTCTCCACCTTAGGTGTTGAGGCAGGGTCTCCTTGAACTCAGAGCTCCCTGATTTGGCTAGTCTTTCTGGGGAATTCTCTCCCTGCCTCCTGTGTGCTGGGGTTATAGCTGGGCCAGGACATGTGCATAGTATTTATCTGAGTGCTGCAGAGCTGAACTCAGTTTCTCAAGCTTGCCTGGTAACCACTTGACCTACAGAACCCTTTCCCCAGCCCTTTTCAGTTCCTTTTGATTTGACCACCCTCAACTTTTGGTGACAGTTCCTTCCTTCCTTCCCTCCCTCCATCCCCCTCTCCCCATCTCCCCCTCTGTCCGTCCTTTTGTTTTACACAGGCTAGGTATCCTATATAATGAACCAAAGCCTGGATTTTCCCATTAGTAAATTATATTCTCTAAGGTTATAGTATATTCAGTCCTCCCAAATACATGAAATGTTAGTCCAAGCAGACATGCACTGGGCCATAACAAACTAACCAGTACCCCCATCTCCAACACAACAGGTTGCTAAGATCTACAGCAATAGTCTGAGCAGTTAAGGATGGGGTAAGGGGCACATTGAAGATCCAAAGCACAGCAGTCAGTGAAAAGAGCTCACAGACACGGGACATAGACGTTCTGCCCGGAAGTCACTAAAAGGTTGATGTCGGTGTGTAGGGGATGCCATATTTGTCACAACTTCACTGTGTTCTGTTTCTGCAGTGACACCGCTCACCAATATGAATATGGTGTGGCAGCCCTGCAGAAGTGACTGTGGGTCCTCTGAGAGTCTTCTTTAGCTCTGCTTCAGCTGCTCAGGTGGTGCTTTGGGGGTGGTGACATCTGGTGAAAGTGGGTGGCAGCCAGTGGGAAATCATCGGGGAACAGGACACAGAGATGGCATTTAGGCGTCACTGATCACACTAGACAAAGGCTGATTGCCAGGCAGGGCTGAGAGGTGTTTGGCTTTCTTGGTTGAGCCTGGGGTTAAGGTCATTCTGGGAAGAATAAGTACCCCATGTCCATACAAAAGGCACTTTGTTGGGGGGCCACCAAGATCAGCTCCTACTTTTCAACGAACTACTCTACCCCATGCTTAGGTATCATGGAGCTTTGTTTACACTACATAATTCTACCCTCCCTTGCCACACTGGATTAGACCAAAGGTGTCTAATGGAGACCAGTAGGGTCTTCAAGAGTACACAGAGGACAGAAGCCTGTGAACTAAGATGTGTAGGAAGCTTCTCTAGGACAAGGCAGGCATCCAAGGACAGAGCTGTCTGGGTTCTGATCTAGAGGTCACTGCTAGCTCGGCAGAGCATCTTAGCTAGGTGATGACATATTTTCTGATTGGTCTAGCTACCAAGTTAATGACTAACCAGTGACCCAAGAACTCTTAGCTATCTAGGGGGTGAACTTGCAGACTCTTGTGGGCCTCAGTTCAGCTTCTAGTTTAGGGAACTAAGTGCGGGCTGGTGTTGGGTTTCTGTCTGGGCTTTCTTTTGAGGGAATGGAGGTGGGTGGCCATCTGTGATGGGGTCAGTGTTAGTGACAGTCTTCAAGGTAGTGCAGAAACAGTGGTGTCCCAGAGGGAGGGTTTTCTGTGGCGTTCTCAGCTTGGCATGAGCAACAGTGGTCTGTACTGTCCCCCAAATGTACCAAAGCCAGGAGTGGGGTGTGACTTGTACAATGTCAGTGGCAACTTGATGGATGGGACAGTCTTCCAGATGGCCCCAGGATGGGCTGGGATGGGTGTAGATGAAGGGTAGAAGTGCCCTGGGGTAACCTTGAGGTTTGGGGATACATGAGGAATCATACAGATAATTGTGTTGTCACAGGGGGATGCCACTTAGTAGACAGGTAGCTTATAGGCTGTAAAGGGAGTCATTGTGGCTTTCTTGGCCTCCGTGCCTTCGGAGAAATATCACCTGTGTCACAGAGCCCTGTGGCCCAACTAGCTCAAGGCACAGGCTTGGTAAATGGTAGTCAGAATCATGACAAAAATGACCCATGGCAGAGGATGGGGGCTGAGCCTGTTAACCAAGGGAAATGCAGATACCCAGCCTTAACTAAGAGATGCACACTGGTGGGGTGGCCAAGCTACTAGTCATTGCAATGATGCTTGCTGTGGGTTCATTACCTCGGAGACTATCTGCATGAATGAATTCAACACTCTCGACTCTGTCATGCAGGAACTATTTCTAGGCCAATTTTACAGGAAACAGAAACTAAGGAATAAAGCTGCTTGCCCAAAGACACACAATGGTGGTCCATGTCTTCAGTGAAAGCAAGTACTGACAGGCCGAGAAGAATTTCTGTACTGCAGGGATGGTAGCAAGGGGATACATACGGTGGCCAAACTTACTGAGATTATGTGTCTCCAAGTGGCTAGGTCAAGGCTGGGCACTACACTTTCTCTGTGCCCAGCCACACTTTATGTTTACTACCCCCCTTTTCTTTTTGACCCCCAACGAAGGAGCTGGGACAGGTCCTGAACTGCAAGCTGCCTCTCAAAGACAAGAACAGGTCTCTGTGGGTGGCCTGAAGCCCTGAGCTCTCCCATTTCCAAAGACGTGCAGTGGAGGCCAGAGACGATTTGGTGGCTGCCCTAAAGCCAGGTTCGAGATTTCCTCATACTGAGCTTATTCAGTGCCACCTCGATGACCTGTGTGAAGTTTTCCAAGTCAGACAGGGTCAGGAAGTTGAGACTCCTACTTATTTTGCCCAGAAGGGCCTGGATCTTCCACAATGTTGGGCCAGGCTCTGTCTCCAGGATTGTCTTCTTCTTCATGGCTTGAAGCAGTTTCAGGTTTACAAACTGTGGGGTGTGTAGAAGGCTGGGTGAGGACCAGTGCTGCTCAGATGCTGTACCCCCACCCAGGGCTTAGCCCCACAGAGGCCCCATGAATGTCTCCGGAACCTTTGCCCCAGAGGGTAGATCTCGCTTCCTAGCTCTGCTACCGGTACCCTTCTTGGCCTTCTATGGTCACGTGACCTGCTGATGCCACTGTTCTCCAGTGGAACTAGGGGTGAGCCAGCTCTGTGTCTGCGCTGTTCTGTCCCGTTTGGGGGTGTATATGTGAGAACTGTGCTCTCAGGGAGGACCAAAGAGGATAAATCTCTTAATTTCCAATAGGGCAGCTGTGAACATTCGAAGCAGTGTGTATTGACGGCATGCGTTTTCCTTTATAAAAGTGGCCATCATCATGGTGTCTCTTCACAGCAATTGAAACCCTAAGACAATGGTTAACCTTGATTGTTGTGCTGGGTGGTTTTTTGTCGACTTGACACAGGTTAAAGTCATCTGGGAGGAGGGAACCTCAATTGAGAAAGTGTATCCATCTATAAACCTGGGCTTTAGGCAAGCCTGTAGGACATTTTCTTAATTAGTGATTGATGGGGGAGGGCCCAGTCCATTGTGGGCAGAGCCATCCCTGGGCTGGTGGTCCTGGGTTCTATCAGAAAGCAGGCTAAGCAAGCTGGGGGGGGGGGGGAAGGAGTAAGCCAGTAAGCAGCTCCCCTCTGTGGCTTCTGCATCAGCTCCTGCCTCCAGCCAGGCTCCTGCCCTGTGGGAGTTCCCATCCTGACTTTCCTGAATGATGAACAGTGCTGTGGAAGGTTAAGCCACATAACACCTTTCCTCCCCAACCTGCTTTGGTTATGGTGGTTCGTCACAGCAACAGAAGCACTAAGACAGGCCTGTTGTCTTGACTGGACTGAGATTACTAAAGCACACCTCTCTGTGTGCAGCAGCGGTTTTAGATATGGATTGATCCCTTGACGGATTCTGAATAGGATGGCATTATTACTGGGGTGGTGAAAAGCAGGGGGTACAGCCTAGCTGGAGGGGGTAGGTCGCCCAGAGTGCGCTCCTGGGGGCTGTACATTTTTCCTCACCCTGAACCCTTCTCACGCTTCCTTTCTCTGATTGCCAGTTGTGGGAGTGAAGGGTTTACCTTGAACTTGGTGCCCATGTTTAAACAAATCCTCTTCTGTTTGGGGGTGGAGAAGCAGAAGATGACCTTGTCCTGGCTCCTTATTTGGACATGGATGTACTTGTTGAGTTTCAAAGTGATGCACATGATGGGGGGTGCATGCACATGGAGGCTCAGATTCCACCAGTTCCAGGCCTTCTGATGCTTGTCTTTGGGGAAGTAGTAGCCCAGGAGTTTGCTGAGGCTCAACCTGCGGGATGGAGATGGGTCAGAAACCACATCTGGTGCCGGGGCCTGGGATACAGCCCTCTTGTGTCAGGGCCCCTCGTCCCCTCAGACCCTCCCTCTCCCCCTTTATTGCCTGGGCCCACAGGTTTGGAAGGGTGGGAGGGTGTGCTGGATGGTTTTATGTCAACGTGACACAAGCTAGAGTCATCTAAGAGGAGGGAGCCTCAGTTGAGGAAATGCCTCCTTAAGACCCAGTTGTGGGCCGGCCTGTAGGACATTTTCTTAATTAGTGATTGATGGGGGAGGGCCCAGTCCATCATGGGTGGAGCCATCCCTGGGCTGGTGGTCCTGGGTTCTATCAGAAAGCAGGCTAAGCAAGCCGTGGGGAGCAAGCCAGTAAGCAGCACTCCACCATGGCCTCTGCATCAGCTCGTGCCTCTAGGTTTCTGCCCTGTTTGAGTTTCTGTCCTGATTTCCTTTGACGAACAGTAATTTGTAGATGAAATAAACACTTCCCAACTTGCTTTTTCGGTCATGGTGTTACATTGCAGCAATAGTGACCCTAACTGAGACAGTGGATAGAGTTCCAACAAGGAATGTGCACCCAAGTTGAGGCTCTGTTTTTAGATTCAGTCATGGCTTCCCTTGGCCTCATGCAGCAAGCCTCCTCTTCTGCTTCCCCCCTCCCTGCTCCCTTGAGAGCTTTGTAGAGCTCTTCTCCACCCTAGAGATCACAGGCCCACAGAGCAGAACTTTGAGGATGGGGTCAGCTCTCACTCCCTCTCTGACCATCTCTCTGCCCTTTGGCTGTTGACAGAACTTGGGGTTATAGCTGCTCTTTGCTGATTTTTAAACTCACTTTTTATCAGGAAAAGTAAATGCTCCAAGATCTTGTGCATCAATTTTACATGCAACTCGGGGCAAGTAACTATATCCTTTGGGTCCAAATTTCTGTACCTACAGTGATCAGGTCCTGGGTTTCTTCAAGTTCCCTTCTGGCCTTAAAACTTCAAACAGAAGAGACCCAACTGCATGTCACCAGATAAGATTTGTGGTCATTAACTGTGTTTCTTGCCTCAAGGACCTGTGCTTCCTGTATCCAGGACCTGACTTTGCAGACAGCATGTTCTACACAGGTGAACATCCGAGGAGAGCAGATATTCCTCAAGAGTGCAGAAGCCAACCAGGAAATGGCATTTGAAAGCCAAGGCCCAGGGGACAAGAGTAGACTTTTAGAAATAGAAGTGCATTTGGTTTTGATGAAAATACGTTAACCCAAGATAATAGTTTTCCCCTACTCTGTAATCACTTCAGCTGGAAGAGGAGGTACTGAGAACCTAAGGATGCTCAGGGATAGTTTGAGGTGACCTAGTAACTTTGAACTAGAGAGAGAAACTTTCACCATTGCCAGAACTAGAGACTTAAGAAATACTTAAGACTATGTCTTTTTTCTCTGGATTCTGTATACGATGTGTGTGTCCCTAAGCCCCACTCCCAGGCTCCTAAAATAGAGACCCCCCAGCCTCTTCTGGGGGCAGTTCTCACAAGGTTGGACTCTTGGGAGGTGTTTAGAGGTGAGGTTGGTGTGGCCTGTGGTCATAGAGGCCATAATTACTCTTTTACTCTGGGGGATGCTATGGCAGCCATCTCTTGAGGGCAGGGCCTGTACTATTCCTCCGCTGTACCCCTTCTTATGTTTCCATCGTGCACACATTTGGAGACAGGGACCAGGCTTCTACCACACAGCTTTGACATGGCCCAAATGGTGGCGACTGAAGACTCAAACTTACCAGATCCCTCCATCCTTATCATAGAAGGTGGCATGGCCAGAGTTGGTGACAAAGCCTCGGATCATTTTTTCTGCACAGTCTTCCAGAACAAAGTATGTGATCCTTGCGACTCCTTTGCAGGTGATAAGCAGAGCCAGGTTCCCTGACGGATAGCTGCGAGTTGGTTAAGGCACAAGCAGTTTCTTGGGTCAGCCCCTCTCTCCCAGAGAAAAGTTAGGCACCGAAGAGAACACAGTTCTCAGTCAAAACAGGTGCCAGGCCAGAATCATGAACATTTAGGTGTCAGCGCGAGCAACCCTTCTTCCCCAGTGGATACTATATCTGGCCCGTGCCATTAGGAAACAGAATATGGAAACTCTTCCCGCTGTGGTAGGTAACTAATTTTCCATCACTTCGATGTGCCTGAGGAGAAGAGACAAGAAAAGCAGGCAGGTGATAGCTGTCTCTTAGAGAGGCGTGGGGTCAGTTGTGTGCTCAGGTCCTGCATCTACCAGCACCCATTCGCTACTTTGCTTGGAAAGGTGGCTCAGCCATTGAGAGCACTAGTTGCTCTTGCAGAGGGCCCAGGTTCATTCCCTGAACCCACATGGTGGCTCACAACTAATGGTAACTCAGGTTCCAGGAGATCCAACACCCTCTTTTAACCTCCACAGGCAGCAGACATGCACCTGGTACACATACATGCATGTAGGCAAATCACTCACACATGAAAATGAGTCTTAAAAAAAGAAATATACTCTCACCATTGCAGAGGCAACGTGTAAGAAATGCAGATGTGGGTTAGGTCTCAAACCTGTGAGGAAGGCTTGGTGATCCTGCTATCTCTGGCTCACATCACCCCAGTCTCTGCCTCTGTTTCCTTGTGGCAATGGGTTCTTACATGGTTGCTTGTAAGTGGGTAGAGACCTATTGATTCCAATATGCCTCCATCTTTGTTTGACTAATTACATCCCCAAGGATGCTCTTTCCAGCTGAGGCCATCCTCTATGGCCCTGGAGGTAGGACATTAACATGTCCTTTTAAGGGAACACAACTCAACCCATAACACTGGTACATTTAGGTTTTTAAAACCTCATTCTTGAATTAGTTTTAGTAAATGATACTTTCCTAGGAAGTTATCATTTTATGTAAAACTTTGCATTTATTGCCATACAAAGCTTGCATGTACTGTTAAAAAAAATCTTGACTTCCCCTGTCCTTATGTTCTCATTCTTTTTATACTTAAAACCCCCCTGCCCGGATCAATCTTGCCAGAAAGCCTACTTGCTTTACTAGTCTTTTTTCTTCTTTTTTCTACACACTGGTTTATGTTTTATTTGTTCTAGTTCTTTGTTCATGCCTTGTAAGTTTCTTTTCTAGATCTGAATGCTAACATTTGGAATTTTTACCCTTCTTCATGATCCACCCCCTTCTCCCTGCATTTTACGAGCAGTTAAAATAATAAGGTCCAAATATTGTTTTAGCTGCTTCCCAGAAGTGAAGCCACTTCATTTTCATATTTATTTCATCTTAATATTTTCAAGGACCAATTTGATTTCTTCTTTGATGTTGAAGTTATGTAAGTGTTTTTACATTTGGCAGTGGATATGGTACATTTAATGACATCAACATTGCTATTAATTAAAATGCAGTAGAGGACCTGGTTTATATGATGTTTGTTGGTATTTGTTTTGTGGGCTGTTGTGTGCCCAGACATTGCAGATATCCCACAGGTGTTTAGAAGGGCTGTGTGAGTTGATTAGGGTAATTGGAGAATGTTTTCTCTAATTATTGAAGTGAGGCCGGGGGTGGGGAGTGAGGGAGCCAGGACCTAGTGAGGCTTCTAAGCTCTTCGTGATCTGTCACCCAGAGAACCCTTTCCCCTGTGTGCAGAAGTTTGGTTTAGCTGGGTTGGGTTGCTATATCTCCCTTTACATGTAGGACGGAGAGATGGAGGGTGTGGAGCATGTATAGGAACTGGAAGATGCTCTGTGGCGGACTGCTGCTTTCTGCTTCTCTTCCACTAGGACCATATGAACGCTGCTAGTTGATTTTCCTCTGAGTGCAAACTGATGACGTTCTTCTCTGGACACCCAGCTTGAGTCTCCTGCCCTGCTCCCTTGCAGCTAAGTGGGGGGGGGGTCTCATGTGAGTTGTCCTCCTTGATGGCATTTAAATGTGGCTTCTAGCTTTGGGAATTCTGTCAAGGCAAGTAGACACCAGAACTCTGGGATATCAAAGACCACTTGATGTATAACCCAGATGACTTCTTATCCATGATCCTCCTGCCTCAGCCTTCTAGCTCCATTCTATGCATGTATTTATTCACTGTGTAACTAATTGTTAAAATGCGGATTCTAACTTATTACCAAGGAAACTACCTATTATATTAAGTTCATTATTAAAGATTGTTCATTTATTTTAAAGTTTTGTGTGTGTGTGTGTGTGTGTGTGTGTGTGTGTGTGTGTGTGTGTGTGTGTGAATGCCATGTGTGTGGCTGCCTGACAAGGCCAGAGATGTGATGTACCCAGACCTGAAGTTTTGGCCAGTTGAGTTGCCTGATCTGGATACTGGGACTTGAGCTCAGGTCCCCTGTACATTCTCCTAAGCCATCTCTGTAGTCCCACTATGTAGTTTCTTTATTCCGATCCTTACACCTAATTGATTAATACAGGTCCTACAGGGAGAATATATTCAACCAGGTCTACTAAACCCTAGTCCATGTTCCAACAGCCTACACAGGCAGCTGGGTCTTCACATATGGAGGACAGTTTTTTTTTTGTTTGTTTGTTTGTGTCCACAGATGATATGTGTGCCTCGCCAGACCCCAAAACAAAAACAAAAAAGCCTGTTCACAGTGAACACACCAACACACTGCCATTTTTACCTTCATCTTTGCCTGGATCCATTCTTTATCTAGCTTTAACTTCTTGAAAGTAGAACTCCGTCTTAGGGTTTGTTGTTCATCTGACTTCATGGGCTGTATCAGGGTTGATAGTGTGTATGTAATGGTAGTACTCTTCTCGGACATTTTCTGCCCTGCTGTTTAAAGAGTACATGACAACTGCTTTTAGTTGGGTGACTGCATCGGTTACAGTATTGGTGGGGGAAGAGGAATTGAGTTACACTCCATCTGTCAAGGTGCTACAGGGTCTGAGGGTTCAGCCACTCAGCAGGTCAGTGGGGCATGCTGGGGGGCTGGGGGAAGCAAGCCCCGTTTCTCTGTTTAGCCATTCAACAAATACCATCATGGGCCTAGAGTGTACCCGCCCCATGCTGCATGACAGGCAGAGGTGAAGGGTAGCCAGCACAGCCTGGGGGATGCATGGGTGCAGCCATATGCTCACTACAGAAGAGCAGTGCTGCACTTGGCCCAACTCATGCACTGACTCAAGGGTTAACTTCTCAAAAAAAGGAAATGTAAAATATAAATGTCTGTTAACATGTTATTTAAGATGTAGGAAGAAGCCTTTCTTTTGAGGTATGGTGACTGGGGCCCTGTGATCATTTTTATTTAAATTGCATTTAGTTTTAAATTATTTATTGAGATAGGATCTCATGTAGCTCAGGCTGGTATTGATCTCCTGACCTCGTGACTACCTCTGGAATGCTGGGATTATAGGCACATGCCTCAGCTCCCAGTTTATTCAGTGCTGTGCTGGGGTTTGAACGTAGGACCTACTGCATATAAGGGAAGCACTCTGCCAACTGAGCCACATCCCAAGTCCCATAGTTTATTTTTTGCTATCCAGTTTTTGCAGTCTCTGAAAGGTTAATAATCTTTAAAAGTATTCTATAGTCTCCAAACATTTTGCACATTTGGTTCACGTTGTACGAAAGGCAGGTTTTTGAAACATTATTTTCTTATTAAGCTTCTAAAAGAGCATTTTAACCTAGTTTTCATGGAAACACGTTTCTATTTTAATCTTTTTGTCTTTTTATAATAGTAGGAGCTAGAGGGGCAAGCTCCTTTCCCATGCTTCTTGGTGAGCTGAACATGGTACTAGGAGCCACAGTGAGGACTGCTGCCTGTAGCATCACTCTTGGTGGGGATAAGGACCCTGGCTTCCTTGGTACCTGGGTCAGGGGAGGTTGGTTAAACCAGCTTTGGTGTCCACCAACTGGGGCCAGTACAGGCTGCCATGAGAGCTCAAAGGGGAAGGCAATCCAGGTTTTGAATCCCAAGTGTCTTCAGGAAGGCATGTCTATAATGTGCAATGTTTGAGGGGTCCTAAAGTAAGAACTGGGTGGCTCAAGGTTAGAGTAGGAATGGGTTAACAGGGACAGGTGACTTGGTAGAGGCAGGTACTGCTGGACCATCAGTTTGCTTATGTTCTCAACAAACATCCTGAGTACAAAGAACTATCCTGAGCATCAGAGAGATGATGGGGGTAGGGGGCTGTGTTCCCTGATGTCCTGTGTGATATGCCAGATGGTTACAAGTGCTGTGAAGAGCCACTAGGCAGAGAAAGGAGGATGCTTAATGGCAGGTGCACACACTGCTTTATAACGGGAAGCCAAAGAATATATTTCTGAGAATGTAACATTTAAGCAGAGCCCTGGGTGAAGTGAGAGAGCCAGCCACAGGATGTTGGAGACAGGACTATCCCAGGCAGAAGTAACAAAGTACTGAGGTTTTCCAGCAGGGGGACATTGACTCTGATAATGACGGCAAAAAGCCAGTGTGGCTGGAGAGGCAACGTTGAGAACCGTATAAACTACATGAAGAATGTAGACATCTTCTTGGCAGTCATGGGAGTCCAGTGAAAAGTCATAACATCAATGTGTGGGAACAATGTGAAGAAAGGAGAAGTCGGGGAGAACTGAATCTCAAGGAAAAAATGAAAGTGTCCAAATCCCAGAATTCTGATAAGTAGAAAGACTTTGTCTCTGACCATAACAAGCATGCTGTTACTATGAAACAGTGTGTTCAGGGTACCACCCAGCAGCAGGTCAGCTTTGCACAGGGTTTTTCTGTGTGGCTCTGGCTGTCCTGGAACTCACTCTGTAGACTAGACTGGCCTTGAACTCAATGATCTACCTGCCCTTGCCTCCTGAGTGCTGGGATTAAAGGTGTGCATCACCACCACCCAGCTACTGTGTGCCTTTTCATTGGAATAGATGGTCTGGCTAGCAGATGCTACCTCATTTAATGATGCAAAATAAAAACACAAGGATTCTTGTTCTGAAATCACTAAGAATTTCAAGACAATGCCATCAGGGCTTTATAACAAGCACAGAGCTGTTTGCAGAGTGGCTGCCAGTATAATTTCTAACCTTAGCTAGAAGATTAGAGTGTTCAGAAATGTGGGGAGGTATATCAGTAATACAGGACAGTAGGCCAGACACAGGAAGCAAGTAGATAACCTCTCAAAGGTGCTTAGAGGTTTCCTTGGAACTGGCTATGTCAAGATCATGAAGGAGAAGCCACTTGTCAGTTAAAGCCATTGCTTTCCTGTATAGGCTGCTCAAACATTTTAGGCTTCAGGGTATCCAGGGGTGTAGGCAGGCATGATGGTGATGCATTATGGTGACCCCAAGCCTTCTTATTTCATTTTCAAATTAGAAATTGTGCTGGTTGGTTTTAACTATCAACTTGACATTACCCAGGATCACATGGGAAGAGTTTTAATCAGGAATTATCTAGATCAGGTTGACCTGTGGACTTGTCTGTGGGTCAATCTTGATTATAGGAATTGCCTTGATTGTTAATTGCTGTAGGAAGACACAGGTAATTGTAGGTGGTACCATTCCCTAGGCAGCAGGAGTGTGTGTGTGTGTGTGTGTGTGTGTGTGTGTGTGTGTGTGTGTGGTGTTCCTGAGTAGTATTAGAAAAGAGAAACCTAGCTGAGGGCAAGCAAGTAGGCAAACAAAGGCCAGGCATGGATAGAGACTGGTAGAATTGTACTTACCTTCACGTTTTTTCATAATCCACAGAATTGTTTCTCTGTATTTGTCAAAATTTTTCTTCAACCTGAAAGGAATGTAAATGATCTTCAAAAGTCAAGTTTAACCCATATTTGTGTATCACAATAAACAGTGTAGTGGGTTTAGAGGTTGTGGAGTCTTTTATCAGGGAAAGTTAGATGGAGGGTTCTGCTGTCTGACCCAGATTCCCCTCTGGTTGGTGTTCTCAAGAATTGAGGGATGCCACATGGCATCTACTCAGTTCTTTCCATGTAGCCTGTAACTGATCAGCATGGATACTGAATCCAGTGAGGCTCATGTTGGGGCCAGGAATAAGCATTGGAGGTCCCAGGTGCCAGGGTAGCTATATGAGTTAAGTTCCTGCAGCCTTCTTCTCTGTGGTTTATCTGAATCCCATGGGGCTTACATCTGGACATGGCTTGGAAAAATATCATTGTCCACGAACTGACCAGAACCATGCAAAAGCCCTTGAAACTCAAAACAATGTACAACCATTCAGATGGCTAGATCCAACCAAATAGAAAGGACACCGATATCTGTGGGAAACAGGCATTAAATCAGTTCTGGTGGAAAAATTTCAAGCAGGCTTAGCCAATGTGATTTATTTTTAAAAAAGACCAAGCACCACCTTCCACCGTGATCAAGGCCTTTTACCTGGGCTCATGTCAATGTACAAATCAAATACATTGCTTGCCTTCCCTGTGAACTTTGGGCCTGGCAACTGGATCTTGTGTGCATCTGACTCTGGGGTGTTAGCCATGTCCTTGTGTCCTGGCCTGGGCTCCAGCCTGACCCTAGTTCAGGTCTCTTTCCCAGGTTGCAGTGTTTATACTTGGCCTGTTACCACATCTGGTTTCCTGGAACCCACTGACCAGCTTACCCTCATCAGTTACTTACATGAGTCCCAGCTTCTTCCTGTTTTCAACCTCCATTAGCTTACTCAGGGGCATGTCCATGTCCTCTTCCAATTCATGGCGAGATGCCAGTTCGCTGATTATCTCCCTGAACACAGACTGATAGGAGCTGGAAATAGACTACAAAGGGATCACAAAATGACATAGCCCGGAAGTGGAGATTGATGCCCTGTCAGCTAACTGCTTTCCAGGTTCCAGTCGTGACAGGTGACATTCTAATCTATTGCTAAGAAGCACCAGCTGCACGTATGAGGCTGTCGGAAAGCTATGAGGATTCTCTTAAAGAAGTCTTCCAGGGCCAGGGCCATGGCCACCCAAGTCCGATGGCCCTAGTTTGTTTCCTGAAACCCATGTAAAAAAGTGTGGTCCCAGCATCTGTAATCCCAGAATTCATATGGTAGGAGAGGACAATTACCCAGAAGCTTGGGACAACTACCATGGAGTTTGCAGAGTGGCAGCAGAAAAAGAAAGACCCTGCTTCAACAAAGGAAAGGCAAGAACCAGCTCCCAAGCCTTGTCCTCTGACCTCTACACACATGTTGTGGTACACACACACACACACACACACACACACACACACACACACACACACCATAAAAAATACAAATGGATAACGAAATCTCCCACTACTATGAGACCCTCTTCGTGCCTGACCCCCACCCCCTGAAGAATCATGTTTAGTGTCTGTGTGCTAAGAAATCTTTTGGGCACAGAATCATGGGTTGACTGTGGAAGTGCCTATAGATAATAAACATGCTTCCATGTTTGAAGCATGAAGCAGCCTTTCTGCATTCTACACATGGCTGATCTCCCAGGAATGGCTGGCTTGCTCGAGATCTAGGCTTTGTAACCCCCAGTGTGTGGGTGGTTCCGCATTGGAAGGGCTTACACTGTGGTCTTACTCTGTCTATGAGCTCATAAGTGGGACCGTTCGGTCCCAGGGTTGTGCTGCTGACTATGACTGACCCTCAGGTGAGTCCTCACCTCGTTTCTTTTTCACAGTTTTGGTAGAGGTGAAAGTGGACTTCTTGGAGAGAGCTAGGGACGATCATACCTGTTCCCAGCACGTCTCCAAGTTGAGGGTGTTACCTTCAATATGTGATAATAGATGTGTACCCTTAACTTGTTAGCCTCCTGCAGTGAACAATTAAACTTGTATTACCTTTCTAAGTCACATCTGATGTGGGGCAGTTGCAGAACTATAGCTTGTGGTTCATGGTATTTCTAGGTTAAGGGGGCAGCTTAGGACTGACTTGCCTGGTTGTGATCTCTGAATACATTTCCTCCACACCCCACACCATTGCTTTAGGGACGTTTGAGGTGAAGGCCCTTCTTGATATTGGCATTCCTGCCTCCATGTTCCTGGTGGCAAACCCTTCCCTAGGGGTGGGATGACTGTTTGCCTTGCTATCAATTGATCTCTCACCACACTTTACATTCCATGTCCTATTTGCCAGAAAATACACTGTCCACCGTAATAGACACAAGTGAATGGGTTCATCCAAGGTTCTTGTCTTCTCTAGGCTGTGATGATCCACTCTATTTAGCCAGCATGTGACATCATGTGGGGTCGCCCCATTTGCTTGTTCAGCCTATTGGGTGAAGCTGTCTATTCTCTGCATCATGGTAAACTTATTTGGCACTCCAGAGGTGAGGTCTCCTGTGCCCAGAGACCCTCCTAGGTAAATCTCTGGTTGTTAGAATAAAAAAATGTTTGCACAGAAAAACTTGTGGTAAATGCATGTATCTTAGAAGTAAAAACAAACTAGAAATAACAAGTGAATTGAGGTGTCAGGATACCACCAGGAGGGCTCAAGTTCCCTCTGTCTAGTTGGATCCTAGCGCCTTCTGGGATCCCCTCTAAAGGTTCTTTTGAAGTGTTAGCAGCTGGTTGTCCCATGTGACATTCCTTCTTCTAGGCTGCCTAAACTTGCCGGAACATGTTTTCTACCAGGTTGCCTGGAGAAGTCCTATTTTGCCATGCTTACACCCTCGAGAGCCACTCTTTGGAAGTTGGATGTACCCAGAAAGGTCTACATGTTAAGGCTGTATGCTCCATGATGACAGTGTAACCAAGATGTGGGACCTAGTGAGAGGTCATTGGGCTGCTGGAGGCGTGTCACCTAAAAGGGTTGTATGACCTTCATCTCCTGCTTCCCGTTGCTTCTGGCTCAGGATATGACAGAGGCCTGAAATAGGTGGACCACCCCAGTCTCGGACACGAACCTCCAGAACAGTAAACCAAAATAAATCTCGCTTTGTGAGTAGCCCGTGTCCGGTGTTTTGTTGTGGTGATGCAGAGCTGCCAAAGACCCTGCCTGTCAGGAAGGGTTGGTGTGTGTGCCCTGGCTCTGTCTCTGGGTTGCAGGCATCCAGTCCTTGAGCAGCAGAGTGGCCGGCACCCTGCATTGCTGCCATCTCCTCCTCTCCTTTTATTTCCATCTAGGATCCCAACCCATGGAGTGTTGCCACTCACTGTTAGGAAGAAAAAAATCCCTCCCAGACAGGCCCAGAGGCTATAGTTAGTTCTCTGGTGATTCTCGATCCTGTCAAGCTGATGGTCAACATTAACTACCACAACCTTCATTCAACACCATTTAGACCCTTATATAGGTGGGTGGAGATACTAAAGGAAGGACCAGGAGAGAAGATGACATGAAGTGATCTGGGAAGAGATGCTGTCTACAAGCCTAGGAGAGAAACCTGGGGCACAGACTTCCCTCAGAGCTCACAGAAGAGTTGGGACTGCCAACACCTAGACTTTGGGCTTCTAGGCAACACACTTCTGTTGAAGACTATTATTTTAAGATGTGTTTCATTTGTGTATGCTGTGGAACATTTGTTCAATGATGCAAAGATACATTCTTTTATGTTGCTTTTGTCTAATTAACTCTGTGAAGCTGTGTTACTCTGTCTAAAACACCTGACTGATTTAATAAAGAGCTGAGTGACTAATAGCAAGGATAGTCGGGGCTGGCAGGCAGAGCGAATAAATGGAAGGAGAGATCTGGGAGAAAAGGAAATCAAGGAGAGAGAAAGAAGGGGCCAGCCACTAGGCAACACAGCCAGACATGGAATCAGAAGCAAAGAAAAGATACGCAGAAATAGAGAAAGGTAAATGCCCAGGTGTAGATGGGATAATTTAAGAAAAGCTGGCTAGAAATTAATGAAGCTAAGGCTGGGTATTTATAAGAAAGAATAAGCCTCCATTTGCATTTATTTGGGAGCTTTGTGGCAGGCCTCCAAAAGAGTAAAGAGAAACACACACACACACACACACACACACACACACACACACACACACACACACACACAAAACATGCATGCACAAATAAAACCCAAAAGACAACCACTACACACTTCTGCTGTTCAAGCCAATCAGAACCCTAGTAAATGAACAGATTCCATGCCAAACTCTCCAACCAAGATCCATCTCCTTGGCTTTTAGCTGAACTTTCTCTGGATATCCTACAGGAACTTAGCACTCTGTGTGGACCAAGTGGAAGTTTTTGCCTTAACCTGCAAGCTTGCTTTCTCCTCTTTACTCCAGTCTACTGCATCCTGTGTCATGCCCCTAAGCAACCACACATCATTGCTGTTCATCCGTACTGATAGTGTGAAGTTGGTTCTCCCCCAGTCCTCGGTTTCTTCATTGTAACCTACCATCTACAAAGCTGCCAGAATGACTTTTAAAACCGCAAAATCGACTCTCAGTATTTCAGGGCACTCTGGCTACAGCTCCTAAAAATATGCATATGCGCATACACATATGTATGCACATACATACATATATATGTGTATATATATGTATATGTGTGTAAATGATATATATTTCAAATACCTCCCAGTTAACTTTTTAAAAGATTCCTTGTAGAAGTAGGAAAAATCCCCAGGTGATTTATGAAATACTTTTTGAGCATGAAAAGACATTTTAATGAGCATAAAATGATAGCTGGTAGTCATAAGAGAAAATATTGATCAATGAGACCACAGAAAAATTGAAACTGATATGTTGTGGGGAAGGCTGTGAAGGATTTGGAATACAAAGACTGAATGAAAGCTTCACAACACATGTCAGAAAACTCATTAAAGAGTGCTTACAGGGCTGGAGGGATGGTTAAATGCTTAAGAGCACTGGCCATTATTCCAGAGGATATAGGTTTGGTTCCCAGCAATTACATGATGGCCCACAACTCTCTGTAACTGCAGGCCCAGGGGATCTGACTCCTCATCTCTGTGGGCACCAGGCATGCACATGGTACAAACCATACATGCAGACAAAGACCCATACACGTAAAATAAATTAAAACAAGTTCTATAAACCAGAAAAGAAGAGATGGAGGATAGTTAGGAGACACCAGGTGGGTGCTCAGAGGAGACACGAGGCCCACTAGCAGGGGAAGTGCCCCGTTACCACGAAGTCTGGGTGCAAACAGTAACATCACCATTGCCTCCCTGCCAGGTGGGCCTGCTGAGACCCTCATGGAGGGGCTCTCTCAGTCTCTTGGGAAAAGGAAGACAGCACAAATTATTTGGATGGAAATCTGCCAGTTTTGTTTGTTTGTTTTGTTTTTGTCACAGGGGCTTTACAGCATAGCCCAGGCTGACTCAAACTCATTCTCTTACTTCAGCTTCCCCAGTGCAGTTACAGGTGTGGGCTATCACAAACACCTATCATCATCCTTTAAGTCAAGGATGCAGATGCGCATGCTCTCCCTTCCTCCCTTCCTCTCTCCCCTCCCTCCCTCTCTCCCTCTCTCCCTCCCTCCCTGTCTCTCTCTCCTCCCCCTCTCCTGTGCATGTTTCATATACTGCACTTACCAGAAAAGTACCCAATGATGGATACCAGTTAAATAAAGGTTTAAGATATGTACTGAAGCTTGGTGGTGTTGGCACACACCTTTAATCCCAGCACTCCAGAGGCCGAGGCAGGTGGATCTCTGTTAATTCCAGGCAAGCCTCATCTACGGAGTGAGTTCCAGGACATCCAGGGCTATAGAGAGAAACCATGTCCACCCCCAAAGATATGTAACGAAATACAGATTTCCAAAATATATTGTCAAGGGAAAAGTTAGAAATAGACAGAATGTATATTCTGGTCTCATTGTAGCTAGTTGTGCTATTGCAATAAGTATATTTACTATGTATTAAAATTTCTAGACATGTCCATAAATTACACTATATAATAGCTATTTCTGGGAGGTAAGAAGGAGAATTGAAAATTTTGTTTTACAGCCTTTTTACCTTTTCAATCTTTAAAAATCATCTGCACAAGGTAGCTTTAATATTCAAAAATATAGGTTGAACGAGACTACCTAAGGCAATAAATAAGTAAGGCTATGTTTCATGTCCTCTGGTGGCAAAGCCCCAGGATGGTGAGGTGCTTGTGATGTGGTGGGTGCTCCCTGCTCAGCCCACTTGTCCCAAGGAATGCTCTGGAAGGCTACAAAGTGTGGTCTGCCATTCCTGAGTCTCCAGAAACCTGTGTCTCCCTCCAGGGAGGGGACTGTGGTTCTTCACTTACATCAAAGGATTCATCTTCCTGCTTGTCAAAAGGCCCATTTATTATAGTGTCCCAGAAGGATCCTTGAGGAAAGCTCTCCACTGCTTTCAGTTTGGGAAGGAACATTGGGAGGAGGATCATTTGAGAGAAAAGAGGAAAAAAAGAGAGAAGAGAAATAGATTTACTACCTCACCCTCATCATGTCAATAAAAAACCACAGGCATCACCAAGGATGCAAATTCATCAACTTACTTAAGGTTCAACATGGGAGTAATAATACAGTAGGCATGGGGTAAGTAATTTCAGTGGCTGACTTAGGGGAGCTGCTGTGGTCCTGGTGTCTGATGCATGGCAGCTTGACAAAGTGATGTTTGGATGTGGAAGGTGGAGAACAGGCAGATGGCTGGGGATTGGGTGGTACTACCCAGTTGTGAGGCTGGAGAGATGTGTATACACATATTGAAAAACTGCAAAAGCACTGGATACCTGGTGTGGAGCACAAGGAGGAGACTGGGGAGCCAGCAGAGGACATGGAGGGCAGGGGCTAGCTGTAGAGGTCCTTGTGGATGGTCAAGAGGGACTTTGTAATCTCCAGGGAGATTTAGTCTGAATATGGTTTTACATCAGAAGTTCCAAGACCTGTATCTATCTCCCACTAGTTCTCTCGAGTTTGCTGATCTCTAGACTTGCCCACGGCTTACCATTGCTAATTGAGATAGGAGAGAGTTCCCCAGTCCAAAAAGCTGAAGAGCATCTACCGGAAATAGTGCATGCATTTGTATTTCATAATCAGCCCTAGCCTGGAGGCTTAGGAAATGGAGGAGGGATTCAAACCTTCGGGGCGGTGGGGGTGCAAATTGAATTTTGGAATTGATAATTATAACTCTGGTCTTCCCTGTCCCCCTCTTGGGAAGGTATGGCTCCTGGGGTAGGGCCTGGAGGAAGTGGCTCTAGCTGGATAATTGAGTCTCCAGGGAAATGACATGGCTTGTTACCTCAGTTTCAGGACAATGCAGGTCCTTCAAACCGGGACATCCCTAGAGCCCAGAAAACCTTCAGTTTAGTCTCTAAATTGTTTTTTTTTTTTTTTTTTTTTTTTTTTGGGTGAGCATGGCTTTGGGTCATTGCTCCTGTTAAATGATGAAGGGATGGTGTGCAGGTTAGGATTTTCTTCTGTCTTAGTCTCCCATGGGAGTCAGCTCAGTCCTCATTAATAATAAACACTGAAAGCAGCAAAGAACTCCATATGTAGGCATGCCAAACCTTTTCTCTACCAAGATGACACTGGGCTAGTCTATGATGCGACACAACACATCTCAGAAAAGCTGTTTCTGTGACCTGAAAGCAGCAAAGAACTCCATATGTAGGTATGCCAAACCTTTTCTCTATCAAGATGGCACTGGGCTAGTCTATGATGCGACACAACACATCTCATAAAAGCTGTTTCTATGACCTCAGGAACGGAGCCATAGCATGGACCCCCCTGAAATGTGGGAGTTCCTCCCTGTACCAAGGCTTTTGGATATAGAGACAGACTTCTAGCCCTTTCCCACATGGCTTCCTCTGCAGCCTCTTATTTTCTGTTTTATTCTCCTTCCTCAGGAGGCTTGCTGGGTCTATGCCAGCATGTCCCCAGGTCCCCCTCCAGGATTTGATCTACGCCTCATTAGCAAGGGAGCAATCACCTGGGGGCACCTCCTAAGCACACAGTACTCTGCAGAAATCTCTAAATCATAGGTGAAGATGGACTTTTACTCTAATCTACCTTTCTCTGTTTTACTGGCTTCAAATGCTGAAAAGAATAGGAGAAATGATTACTGCCATGTGTATGTGTGTGGACCTCCTAATCCTTGAGGGAATTGATTTTAAAATCACCTCTTAGGTAGCTGAGGGAGGAAAGGTGATGGAGGTTGAGATCACACATACAGAGAGAAAATCGGTCCATAGCAGCCTGGGGCCTGCAGGGTTACTCAGTACACACCGTCCCTTTCCCTTTTTTTCTATTTCTTCTTTCTCACTAGAGTTTGGACATATCCTGCTAAGTGAACAAAAAGATGCCATTGGATGAGCTACGATGCTAATCATTATCTTTCCACTTGCCTCTAGTCATAGTCACTGTTTTTTATCCTTTCAAATCGTCCATGCCCCTGTCTCTACATTCCAGGGATGGTGCCTTGGCCATGGCCAGTGAGTGAGGATGCCTGGTTGAGGGAGTAGCTTAGCAGGGCTCAGCTACTTTTGCTCTTCTTACTTTCTTGTGGCTGGGTTAGTAACTTCTACAGTCATTCAAACTCATCACAATCATTACCTTCCAGCTCAGATTTCGTATGTGTTAGCATGGAGGAAGAGTCTTGATCTAGTACTGTTTTTGATCTTAAGGGTGTTCCTGTGAAAAGAGAAAGAGAGTGGCCGTTCTGATTTCAGGTTTGGGCTTAGCAATGGCTCCATGTTGTACATACGGGGCCTGTACACTGGGAGAGGGGAAGGGTGGAGGCTGCAGGGTATGGCTGCCTTGACTTTTTTGTGACTTACTGGAAGTCTGCAGTAAATCATTGGTCTCCCCTGGCCATCCCTGGGCTATCATGGCTGGAGGTCAGGGGTCCTCGAGGCCCCTGATCTCTGCTACACCATCAACACTGGGCCCTCACTGGGACTCTTCATGGACATCCCATTATTGCCCTGTGTAATGGAGACCTTGCAGCTCTGGGTCCACAGGACTGACCCTCCTAGTTCATGATCTGGCAGATCACAGATGGGGTGGATGTTGGGGTGGGCCAACCCAAGCCCCTGTTTATTTTATTTTATTTTATTACTATTGTTGTTATTTGACAGGAATGTCTCTCCTGGGATTGAGTTTTCCCAAGTATGTTTTTAAAGTTCAAAACCATTTATTTTTGTTCATTCATGTCTAGGACCATCACCATCACTTTTTTTTTTTTTAACCTCTGCACATGACTCTTTGGAATCCCAGACTAGGGACCAGGGATGTGACTTTGGCAGAGAATATCCTGTAGGCTCAAGTTTCAGTTCCAGCATTGAAAACAAAATCCAAGTCCATGGCCACCAAAGGACATACTGTGTGAACACAACTGTTTTCCAACCCTGGCCACATCTCTCTTGCCAGGGGGCTTAGAGGATCACAGTCCTGCTCATCTACATTTTCAAACACAGTGCCTTTGCACGTGCTTCTACCTGTGTCTTCGGAGTAGGAAGTGCTGACTAATCTTGAATCAGGACAGGGTTCAATCACATTTTCCAAGGCTTTAACAAGCACATAGCTGCCAGCTATATACAATGTTTCAGGGTATCCCAAAGCCTTAGATAGTACACAGTGACCTGGACAGTGTCCACTGTCTGTGCAGCACAGAGAAAGGGTGGCAAGTGATTCTGTTTGGAATGCTGAGTGGGACCAAAATGGAAGACGGGAGTGTGTAGACAAAGTCTGTTCAGGCATGTCAACAGGTTGTAGCCCCTTTTCCTGTAGTAACTGTAAATGCAGAGAGGTGATTACTTCCTTCTGCAGTGGATATGGACCTTTTCTAGTCTTTGTGGCCACCTAGGATCCTTTGATTTAATACCAGGGTGCCATAGGTGAGTCCACAGCCCACGGACTCATTCTTGACTATCCTCAAGTAACTGTAGGCGTTTGTGTGTCTTTATGAGCCTGGCTTGGAAGCTGCAAAATAGCCCACACTTGTAGCTGCTGATGTCATAGTGTTTGGTCAGTAGACATTTGCTATGGAATGCTGGACTCTTCATAAATGTCTACTCAGCATTTGATGGGAAGATGCATAGCTACACAAGATGTCCACACAGATCAGAGATGCACGACACAACTGAAACGTAGATGCAGGAGTGGTGTTCATTGAGCCTGGGTACTAAAACACACGGAGGTCTTAGACGGATTTTATGGTGTGTGTCCACAACGGTATGATTAGATCCTGGGCCTTCCCTTCCCACAGCCTCTTTATCCTCCTCTCTCCCACATTCATTTAAGCTTCTATCGACACTTGCTAGGCAGTTAGAGTCTTGCTTATGCATAACTAGATAAGAGCCCAGTGTTCTCCCATATTTGTCACTAACTGCATGGTTCTAGTTCTTGGGGGGGGGCATGAAACTCCAGTGTGGGCCAAATGAGCCTCTTAAGCCTTGGAAAACACACTCATCACACACTGGCTCATGTGGGCCTGTCTCCACTGTTTCTGGAGTGGCTTCTAAGCACAAAATTTAGCAGGCAGGGGTTGGGGCAGGGAGGTAAGGTGATGGAGAATCCAATTTACCTGCTGTCATGGTTACAGATGGGGACTAAATCTGTGAATCAGCCATGGGTCGATTCTACCAAGGCTGGACTTCAACGATTAATAATGCTAAGAAATGTAGTTCGGTTTGCTACTCCTAAGACCCAGAGGGAAGGGCCCTTGATCTTAATTGGGTAGAGAATTAAGACCATTGATGCCATCTCCCTGAAATATTTTCTGTGTATTTCATTGTATGATGGTTTGGCCTGGATTTGAGGTGGAGCTCTGTGGTGATATATTATTTATGATTTATTAAAGCTTGCCTGAGGGATTCAGAAAGCAAAGCCAGCCACAAGCCATAGAGAGGTCAGGAATGGTGGCACACACCTTTAACCCCAGGACTCAGATTAAGAGGTAGATGGATGGGGATGGGAGGGGAGGGTGGTCGGGGTGCATGTGAGGGTAGGAGAGAGGGGAAGAGGGAGGGAGAGAGGGAGGGAGAGGGAACTGGGATTGATATTTAAAATAAAAATAAAAAATAAATTAATAAAAAAGAAAGAGGTAGACGGTTATCTGTTAGTTCAAGGCCACACTGAGTACACAAAATTGATCCAGTCCTAAAAGAAACAGCTCACACAAAGGTGATCCCAGAGCATCTGGGATCACACACTTTTAATCTCAGCAGAAGGGATATGGCTGGACAGATAGAGGAATAAAAGGAGGAGACAGGAACTGAAAGCTTTTGCCTTTGAGGATTTGTGGAGACAGGATTTCAGCCTGATAGAGGTAAGAGCTACTGGCTTGGCTACTTTGTTTTTCTGATCTTCAGCTTGAAGCTTGAACTCCAATATCTATCTCTGGGTCTTTTATTTTTCATGCTACAGAACAAGCTTAAACTACATGCCAAGACACTGCCTTGGCCTCTGTCCTGACGACTAGTCTCCATATAATTATCTGGATATGGTCTATTGCCTGAAAGTGAAGTGAATGCTTTTGCCCCTGAGGGAAGAGCTGCTTATGCTCACACAGCAAAGGGCAGGAAGACTAACAGGAAGTCAATAACTTGTATCACTCTTTGCAGATCCTTCCAAGAGGGTTTGGGATGTGTTGTGGTGGGTGACAGGGATGCCAAGGAAGTTCACTTCTTACCCAAATATGTCTGGCTTGGCATCCTATCCCCCAGAACTGTGTCATATTCTAAGTACAGGAGACAGTACTCATGCCTCAGTAACACACACACACACACACTGCAAAGCCATTTCTCCCATCTCAGGCATAGGAACATGGCCATGGGGTCCTGGTAGGGTGGAGCCTCCCTTACCCAACTTGCTCCCAAAGTAGGGCCATTCCGTCTGACTGCTCTGGTCTCTTAGGGTGATGGGGATTCCTGCCAAACTGTAGTAAGAGGATGTGGCAAACTTCAGGTCATGGTTGGAGCTGGGAGGAGTGGCAGTCATGAGATTGATCACTTGAACAGGGCTGTGAACTGGGCCCCTGTCAAAGGGGAGAGAAAGGGTTGGTTAATTTCCATATAGAAGTCAGGGTTGGATCCCAGCTGTATGGCACTTATGGGGTTGGGAAGGCAGTGGCTACTCATCTCCTATAGATGTCCAGTGCCAGGTGTCTGAGGCACCAGCTTATGGATCATGCAGAATAGACATGTGTGGCCCTTCCATGTAGCCAGCTGCTGTCTCATTAAAATGTGAAAGGATCTATGGATGCCTTCATTGACAGCAGAATATTCTAGAACACTCCCCCAATCCTGGTCTAGAACCACAGAAGTACATGCCATAAATGACAAAAGACAAGGGTTGCATGCCATGATTTTAGAGCATTTAAAATCGAGCATGGAGGTATGTCCCTGTAGGTGGCTCACTGTTGCCTAAAGGGTTGTCCACGTGGATGACAGAGTGCTGGGATGAGGTGTGGGCTCCCTACAATTGAGAGTCAAGAAGGACAATTCCAACATACTGTGTCTGTTCTCAGGAAAATCTGGATTTTCACTGGGTTCAGATTTAAATTCGAAGGACTGAAAGGGAGTGTCCACTGTGAAATTATTTAATATCAATTGGTTTACCCGGCAGATACAGGCTGAAGGAGACGGTCCAACAGATATGGGGGTGGTAACAATGTCTGGTAAGAAACTGTAGGGTACTTCTCCAAAGGACATGTGAACACATAACCCCCCCCCAGTCCTTAGAGTTCAATGTAGGCCCCAGGGAATTGAATATGATCTTAGTGAAGTGTGGATGAAGATGGGATGTGTGTGTACTCTTGGATTTTAGATGACCTGTGGTCATGATGCATGCTCTAGGCCTGCTAAGAGTCTTCCTAGTGGTCCATGAGGAGCAGAATGAAGAAGAACCTTCAAAATTGCCAAGCCTGTTCTGTGTGTGTGTAGTACTTCCCCTGGGCTAATGCTCCTCTCTCTCATTTTCTCTCTACACCTGGGAGGTGGAAATGCTTCCTCCCAAGTAAAGACACGGTTGCCAGGAGACAAGGCAGCTGCTCTGTAGTGCCTGGCTAGCTGGCTGGAGCTGTGAGACAGACTTGACAGGCTGTCTGTCTGTCTGCTTTGCAGCCAATCCCCAAACAAGTTAACTGAACAGAAGGTGCCTCTGACAAGCTACTCCCTTGTGTGTGTGTTTGTATATGGCCTGTGAGTGTTATGTGCACATAAATGTGCTTGTGTGTGTGCATTTGCATGTGTGTGTGCATGTGTGTATGCATGTACCTCTGTGTGTGCACCTGTGTGTGTGTGTGTATACGCGCGCGCGCATGTGTGTGTGCCTATGTGTTTATGTGTGCCTGTATGTGTGCATGTGTGTGTGTGTGCATGTGTGTGCCTGTGTGTGTGTGTGTGTGTATGTGTGGTGTTTCCCATCTGGTCCATCTTACCTGGCCCCTGAAAATGAAATATAGACCAGAAGAGCCAGTACAGAGCAGAACTGGGAGGGGGGCTGCCTTGCCAGGATCAACCCACTGCTCTGAGCTCCAACTTGTGGTAAAGCAGGGATTTCACCCCAACTTCTCACCACCCCCAAGTGGCCTGTGAGTTTTCATGATCTCATGTCCATTCACCTCATCCATGGAGAAAGATGACGGCCCATCCGGGCCTCTGCAGGTGCACTTGTGGGGGGATTGTAGGGCACAGGACAAAAGATGAGGATAGCATGACAGGACACTTGGGCGAGTCTCTACCGGCTTCTTTAAAGCTGGGTACATAGGAGAGTGTGCTTATTCCATAGAAATTTTTAGTTTTTAGTTTTATCACCTAGGGCACGCTAGCCCTGGTTGCAGTATTCCAGTCACTATTCACTGAAGCCTTTGGGATATGCTCAAGCTGACTCTTTCCCTGTATGGCTTGCAAGTTCTTGGCCACTCACTCTTCTGTCCATCAGGAACATTGCTTACCAGTCCTTTGCAGACTGCCTCTAGTTACTGCCTGTCCCTGGGGAGTGCCTGTTCCTGATCTAGATTTTGACCCAAACTCAGAAGGCCCTGCCTTTCATTGCTGGGCACCTGGGCACTCAGACACTTGACCTTGGAACCCTCCCCTGTGAGTGACAGCATGACACAAGGTGGCACTGTGGTGACTTCCAGGAGCTCCTTACTCAATGCCCTCTTCCTCAGGGACCTGCTCCTTAGGACCTTCTCCACCCCTCCCTATCTTTGAAAATGTGATTTTCACCTGACCTGTCCCACAAGAGTATTACCTTGCATTAAGATTGGACTGGCCTGCTGTCTTGAGTTCTGTGCCAGGTGTCTTGAGTTCTATTGGGGGAGAAAAAGGACAGAAAGGCATTATTGACCCACACAGTGCACTTTTCTTTACATTTAACATATCTTGTTACATCCCTGATGGTGAGGATGAGAGGGCCGGGCTTATAGAAATTTTCTACTTCTGCCTCTCCTCAGTGTTCTCTGTCTTAATGGTTCTCTGGGTTTGCCCTGCTAACCTTAGGTGCTCACAGGCTCAAAGGATGGCTCTGCAGCAGAGGCACCAGGTGGAGCGGGGGCATGGGTGTTTAAGATTAGAAAGATTTTGTTTTTCCTTTTGGATCTCTTTATGTAGCCCCAGCTGACCTAGAACTCACCATGTAGACCAGGTTCAGACTCAGAGATCTATCCACCTGACGCTGCCTCCAGATGCTGGGATTCGAGACATGCACCAGGATTTTAACCACTGGGTCACTTAACACTCTGATTGTCTTTAATGATAAGACAGCAAGAGCCTCAAGTACAGTTGTCATCAACTCAAGCGATGAAGAGTTGCTAAGGCCAGCGTGGTATTCAGGGGCATGGCTGGCATCGACTGTTCCTGAGTAAATATCTCCCATCCCCTTCTTCACTGCCCCATAATATCTTGTCCATTTCACAAAGCAGGAAAATGTGGCCTGGGAAGACTTGTCACGCATAAGACAGTAGCAAGGGAATAAGATATAATATGATTATGGCTAACCTTCACATTGTCTCAAAATTCTGTGTGTCTGATGCATCCTGTAAGGTAGTCTATTGCTATTCCTCAATCAAGAGAAGATACCAAGACAAGAGACTTGTCCAAGTTCATGTAACTCACAAGTGGGACAGAGCTTCCATTTAAGAAGTCAGGTCACTAAGAAAGAAAAACCTTCTTTATGGTAGATTCCTGTCTGCTATTAATAAACAAATGGAGGTCATCTTCATTGTCACTTCCTGATTCTGTGGTGGACATTACTAGCTGATAATAGTACTCTTTACTGTTGTGCTTAGGTAGGGCCCCTTAATCTTCCTGAAGTTAGTGACCTGCCTCTAATGGCTAGTAATGTACCCATTGGAATGGGAGTTGATAGTTCATATGTCCTTTCTAACGTTCCTTTTATAATGCCAATTAATTTGTTAAAACTAAGTATGTATGTCTGTTTGTATGTGTGCGTGTGTGTATGTGTTTGTGTGTGCACACATGTGTATGTGTGTGTCCGGCAGAAATAAATCTGATTGATAGATTCAATTTGCTGCATGTCTGCCATGGGTCAGGATGGCATTCTTGTTCAATACTGTGTCCCATAATAGTTATATCTTAAAGATATTTAGAGAATATTCTACATTAAAAACCTTGATACAAATTCTTTCGAAAAACTAAGAATTCTCTTTTTAACCCCCTCATAACCTGTTTTGCATAATCTAGTGTGGGATTGGGGTTTGCATAGCTCAAGGAGGCTCCTCCCTGTGCCTTTGAGTCATTCTGACATTCCCCTGCAGGGCTTTCAGGGCTTTTCCAATTCTTGCTAGCAGGTCGTTTATTTTCAAAGCCTGTGCTTTATACACAGTTCCATTCGCTCGACAGCACTGTATTTGTCCTGCTCTAGTGGCTAATACATTTACAAAGATCCAGCACACATAGGGGACACGTTAAGAATGCCTGATCCAGACTGTGCAGAAGAAAATCACGGGTTGCTATTTTTCAGTATTAACATTACACTTGGTATTTGGACAGCAGGGATATTCGATCCCTAGAGGAAGCTTGGTGGTAGAGGTGCCCAGAGAAGGATTTCCCAGCCATAGAGTTATTTCTGCAATTCAGCCACTCAACTTCCACAAAGGGTAGTCGGAATCAATGGTATGTCTGATGAGATGCTGGAGGATGTAAAGATAAAAGCTGAGGGTAACAAAACTGGGCCCAGAAAAATAGGAGAGTTCTTAATTTAGGCCCACATCAAGATGATGCAGATACCCTGGGGTTTTAAATTTCTGTACTTGACTAAATAGTATCATGTAGTCATGACATCATGGAAAGATGCCACGTGGATCTCTGTGCCAGAACACATTAGCCAGAGCTAGCAAATAGCACAGTGGCTGCTGCTGCCAGAATAAAACCCAACTCAAGGCGATGCTGCCAATCTCAGGAACAGTGATGTAGAAAATGTCAGTCCTTGGCCAAGAGCCATCTATTCCTTCTAGGGGGCTGAGCAGGTATCCCGGGAAGTGGAGTCTGGTGGCAGAGTGTCAGATTGTAGGTCTGTGTCTAGGGAATACTCATTATGCAGCCAAGGATGACCTCGGATTTCTGTTTATCCTGCTCTACTTCCTGAGTGAGTGTTGTGAGTACAGGCATGCACACCACATCCAGTTTATGTGATGTAGGGGATCAACCCTAAGGCTCATGGGTGCTAGACAAACACTCTATCAAATGAGCTACTTCCCAGGCTCAATGGGATGTTTATAAAAGTAACAATAAACAAGGAGTGGTGGGCCTGTAACCCCAGTACTCAAAGGCCTAGGCAGCAGGATGCCCTCAAATCGAGGTCAGCCTCAGATATGTAGTGAATGCCACACTCACTATGGTTACATAGGCAGACCCTGTTAACAAAACAAAATGAGACAAAAGGTAACACTAAAGTCAGAAACAATGAATGATCGGTAACAGGGATTGAATAGCAATATTGTGGTTTAGCCTGGGATAAGTGTGTATGGATGAGTAGGGGCAATGGGAAGAGGATGGCTAATGGGCACAGTAGACGAGTGGAATGACTTTAAATGTTCTGTAGAAAAGAAGGATTTTCATGGCTGATAACAGCTGAATGTTTCAAAATAGTTAATAGAGAGGATTTTGAATGTTTCCACCATAAGGAAGAGATACATGTATGAAAGGCACATTTCCCAGCTTCCTTATCTGATTGTAATGCCACACTCACTAATGTGTGCAATTGTTATGTCAGTTAAAAATAAAAATATTAAAAAGAAAAATTAATACATTCAATTTATAAAATATAAAATTATATTCATGAAGTGTAGTATTTGTAACCACAAGGCAAAAATACCTAAATAAGTGCACCTTACAAGCAAGCACGACAAAAAGCATGATCCTTCTCCAAATGGTAAAGTTTATCAACCTGTTAACCAATATAGTACTAAGATCTTACCAGTAAATTATGTATATGCAATAAGTCTGTATATTATATGTGCACATATATGTGCATATAAGTCTAAGGAGAATAGAGCAAAGTATGAAAAATGCTTGTCATGTTTGGTGGTAAGTTTTTCTTTTTTTATTGTGCATGTGCACATGCATGTATACATATGTTCACATGTGGGTGGACTATGAAGGACAGCCTTGAGTGTCATCCTTATGAACTTTCTTTTCTCCTATATTGTATATGGTTTCTAAAACACCCGTGACAAAGCTTCATTCCCCATTCATAAAGGACAATGTCGCTGTTGTTATTGAACAGATTGAAAGGAATGTTGCTCGGCTAGTAGAGTGCCTTCAGGACATGTACATAAACTGAGAATGATGGTGCAGGCTGTAACCCCAGCACTCGGGAGGTAGAGGCAGGAGGATTAGATAGATGTTCAAGGTCATCCTGGGCTATAGGATGAATTTGAGACCATTTGGGAATAGATAAAACCCTATCTCAACAAACAAATGGGAAAAGAATGGATGGAAAAACAAACCAAACACACTTCACACCGGTATAGTCTCCCCTGATGCTCTCTAGGCAGGGTGCCCTGTTGTAGATATTATGAGCAGTTTGGTCCTTGAGGCATCTTCTCTGTCAGCACCATGGACAGAGCAGCGAGTGTTGCACCCAGTCTCTCAGCCAGCCAGACCTATCCTCTTCCATCTCACCCACTGCCAGATGCTTCTCTAGAACCCTCTCCTGCAGATACTCACTTCTCCAGATGCTCCGCCAGACATCCTCCCTTGTAGATACTCACCCCCCAGCTGCTCCTCCAGCACCCTCCCCTGAAGATACTCACCTCCAGATGCTCCTCCAGCACCCTCCCCTGCAGATACTCACCCACCTCCAATGCTCCTCCAGACACCCTCCCCTGCAGATACTCACCCAACTCCAGATGCTCTTCCAGACACCTTACCCTGCAGATACTCACCCACCTCCAGATGCTCTTCCAGATACCGTCCCCTGCAGATACTCACCCACCTTCAGATGCTTCTTAAACTCCCTTTCTTTTAGATACTTTTTATCCTCCACAAATGCTTTTTTAAACAGATATGTTTCATTCTGCAAAAATGCTTTCTCATCCAGATAATCCTCCTTCTCCAGGTATTCCTCCTCCAGGTACTCCTCCTCCAGAGATTCATCGTCCTCTATAGACTCCCCATACAGTAGAAGCGCATCATCATCATCATCATCATCATAACCCCCAGACTCATCCTCCTGACTAGACAGAGATTCCTCCAGTGAACTCTCATCTTCCTGTTCTTCACTATCCTCTCTGTCCAAGGTAGCTGCCAGTGTGGAGTGTTTGGAAGCCACTGGAGGGCCAGGACCTGAGGGTTCTGGTGATAAATTATCTTTAGACATGATGGAGAAGCCTGAGCAGACGGGTCCTTTCAGTAGCAGGTAATGTTACAATGTTACTTTACCGTCCTGGTAGCCAAGAAAGGAATAAATCCCCATTAGTAAGCACAGGCCACCAAGTAGGATGAAGATCCATTTTGTTCACTCCGTTCCTTCAGCAGTCCCTTTGTGTGTACAGATAAGGCATGAAGACCTGCCTCTGCCCCCAAATAGAAGGGCCAGTGGCTTCACCCTCAGTAGCTGGTGGAGGGGAATACATACAGCACAGCAACAGCATGCATTAAACAGGCTGAAAAGTGAAGGCGAGGCCAGGGATCGGCGATGTGACCACTAGAGAACTTCAGTACTTATTAGCTGGGAAACGCTGCCACAATACACAGAGGTGGACCTTCCAGGTCCCTGCCCAAAGACGAACTGTCCTCAGCTATGCATCAGCTCCCTCTTGCCAGGGCCTTCAGTATCTGCCTGCCGCGGTGTCTTCTGCCTGTAGCTGGGCTCCTCTAGGGACAGCTAGCCTATGACTAAGGAAGCCCAGACAGCTCTAGATGGGATGCCATGAGATGAATGTCATCCTATAGTTCCCCTGTAGTCTGGTTCAAGTTCCCAAGCTTGTCTTACAAGTACTATCTAGGCCTCCTTTTTTCATGGAGGTTGAACCCAAGAAACATTTTGCATTTCACCAGTTTGTATCTTACAGTCTGTTTCCAGGCAACTGCCCTGTGGTAGGCAGCTTCATGCCATCCTGGAAGAGAACTGAATTTAGGAATTAATAAAGAGAAGGGAAGGTGTAGAGGTTAATAGTGATTGTCAGCTTGACAGGATGTAGCATCACCTAGCAGACAAACTTACAGACTTTCCTGGGAGGGATTATCTAGATTAGATGGATTGAGCTGGGAAGATCCATCCTCAAAGTAGGCAGCTCCATTCCCTAGGCTTGTGTTCCATTCCAACTGCATGAAAGGGAGAAGGAATAAGCATTTCTTTCCCCTGCTTCCTGGTTATGGATGCAATGTGACCCTCAGCCCCAAGTTCCTGTAGCCATGGCTCCCCCTGCCATGGTGGAAAACATCCTAATGAAAACAACTTATGGAATGAAGGATGGACTTAAGGAAGGAAGGATGGATTCTGGCTCACAGTTTCTGTAAATTACCTTTGTTAGGCTATTTTCTCACAGCAACAGGAAAAGAAACTAATAGCAACAGGGGTGATGGTAGGAGTAACTAAAGTGTGGCAGGGAGTCTTGTACTACAGCGAGTAATAGCAGCTGTGACAGTAAAGGAAGGCTTTTTCATCATTAAGAATTTTGTGGTCAGGCATTGGTGGTGTATGCCTTTAATCCCAGCACTGGGGGGTGGTGGGCAACACAGAGGCAGGCAGATCTCTGTGAGTTCGAGGCCAGCCTGGTCTACAGAGCTAGTTCCAGGACATTCTCCAAAGCAATACAGAGAAAACCCTGTCTTGAAAAACAAGCAAACAACAACAAAGAATTTTGTGGCTGATCATGGTGGCACACACCTTTAATCCCAGTATTCGGGAGGCAAAGGCAGGCAGATCTCTGTGGGTTAGAGGCCAGCCTGGTTTACCGAATGAGTTTTAGGACAGCCAGGCCTATGTAGAGAGAACCTGTCTCAAAAAACAAAACAATGGGGGGAAGGGATGGGAGGAGAGGAGGGAGGGGAAACTGAGGTTGGGATGTAAAATAAATAAATGAAACAAATATAAAAAGCAACAACAAAAATATCAAACTAACAAATTTTGTGTGAGCCAGTTATTAACCCAATCCCAAATTTTCAGCCCTGAAAACATACATACAAAGAACATTAAACAGACTAAGAGGCTGCATTTATGTGCTTAGGAGTATGTGTCTACACATACACATATATGTATGTAGTAATGAAAAGAGGCTATGAGTTTGGAAGAGGACAGAGAGGAGTGCATGGCAGAGTTTGGAGGAGGAAAGTGAAAGGAAAATGATGTAATTATATTATAATCTAAAAAATCAAGCCAGGTGTGATGACACACACCTTTAATCCTAGCTCTAGAGGCAGAGGCAGGTGGATCTGTGTTTGAAGCCAGCCTGGTCTACAGAGCCAGTTCCAGGACAACCAGGGCTACACAGAGAAACACTGTCTCAGAAAAAAATAAATAAATAAAAACATGCAAAGTAAAATATAAAAGTACAAACACCTTCCAAATAGGAAAAAAAGGAAAAAAGAAAGAAAAAAAGATTTTGCTGTAAGGTGTGCTGTGTGACTTTTCCCAGGGAAAATGCATTTATCCTAGATAGGCACAGACGACAGAAACAGAGAAATTGTTCTACTCTGGTCTAGCTTGGTAAACCAACGTGTTTATGGAGATTATTGCAGCATCACAGGTCAGGGTAAATTACAGGAGAGTGAGTATCTCAAAGGAACTGCATCACTGAAAAAGCCCATTGCAGGCTGGGTAATGACACAAACACTGCATCCGGGACTCTGGGCATGCTCACAGGCTGAGCTCAGTTGTGGAGTCTCCCTTTCCTGAGCAATGTGTAACTGCTCAGGAAACCTTGAGGAGGGCCCTTAAATTTCCTTTGCTTCTTGAGTCTTTGAAACTTTCTCTTTAAGAGGGAAGGTGTTAAAAATCCAAGGAAATAGTTGCACAATAGGTGGTCTCGGAAGACAGAATTACCAGGAATTATTTCAGTCCATAAAGAGCTGGAGGACCTGAATTCGACCCTCAGAGCACACCAAGAAGGTGAGTGTGGTAGTGTGTGCACTTGTAACCTCAGAGCAGGCGGTCCCTGCCCAGAAGTCATACAGAAGAACAAGCAAACACAATGTAGGGAGCCCTTTGGGTTCCTCTTCTTTTGTAAGAGCAAAGCAAGGCTTTCTTATTAAACTGACCCCATCCATTAGAATTTTCTGTTTGCAGGAAAGAGCAGCCATGTTAGGAATCTGCTTCCCTGGAATGTAACTTATAGCTAGGCCCTAGTGGGGCAGGCCTGTAATCTCAGCTACTTGGGGCTGAGGTTGGGCACTAGGACAATGGTAAAGTGCTTGGCTAGCATGAAGCATATAGGGCTCTAGGTTTAATCCCTGGTACTGGGGGCAAAATTCTGTTCAAGTATGAAGCATTTAGCATGAAAACTTGATCATGGTTGGTCTGGTCTGTTGCTTAGTGTACACGGTTGTCTTATTCTTATTTATCATAGGGCGACTGGGGAAGTGTTTCAATTAAACCAACCAAGAGGGTTCTTGTGGCCTTGTGCTGGCCAGAGATGAATGAACACTCTGGGAGTTCTGCCTGCAGCTGACTTGCCCTGAACTGTTGTTTTCTGCTGGTGCAAGGTGAATGTCTTTTCCTGTGGGTTGCCTGCATTGTGTTTTTGGGGAAGGCAAGGTATAAATTACATATATGACGCTGTGATAGAGTCAGCTATCATGGATAAGGGGTGGGTGTCAGCAAATGCTAGACCTAAACCCATGTCTACAGAAAACTCTTCCCTTCACATGAAACTATACTGGACTTGAAACCTAAGCATAACCCCTGGAATTACTGTCGGCTTCCATTCACTATCTCCACATGCCTCCAGCCAGAGCTTCGGATGGTGAGAACAATTAGAAGTAAAAAAACAAAACAAAACAAAAACCCATTATTTGACCAAACTTAAGCTGGGCTCTGGGACTTTCTTTTAGGTTCATCCGTGTATGTCGTTGTAACACTTAACTGTAGCAAGAGCTCTGCTAAGAGGTTAGCAATGGTCCCCATTCTTGAGACCTCATCATCACCAATATCTGATCAGGGTCCTCACACTCCACCATTCCCCGGTCAAATCTGATTCTCAGCAAGAATCCTGCCACATCAATTTCACTATAATCCCCCCCACACCCGCTATTTAACTTTCTGTGCATCCTTCTATCATCCCTCACTGGTCCCTCCCCTGGAGTTACATTTACTGGTCCTACCCTGGTCCACAGCAGTGGATTTCCCTTGCCCTTTGTTGTACTCAGAACTGAGCCCAGGTCTACCAAGGCCCCTTACTCTTACTGCAATTTTTCTATATAGAATCTATTTTTGCAGTTTCAGTGTCTGTTCATTTTGGGGTCTGGTTTCTGACAGCGGGGCTGTCCAGACTGATGGGTGAAGAGCACATATACATAGGCTCATCAAATGCTCATCTTTGAGATTTCTTCTTAGCTGCTTAAGGAATCGAAATCAGCCGGGCTCCTGGACCGACCAGATTGCGTTTATCAACAGCATGCTGTCACTCAGGGCTACAAGTCTTTTCTTTTCATTCCCCAACCCCCAAGCCTTGGAAAAAGCAGTGGGGTGGGGGGTTGGGAGAGGGATCTAGCCAGCTGCATTCTCATTTCAAAGACCAGAAAGGAAATTATTCTCAACACCTCACTTTAATTATCTTAGAAATGTGCACTAAAAGCCCAGGGCAGAAGAACTAAATCATAACGGCAGCCTGATGCTTGCTGTATGAGGCAACTTGTGACTCTGACTTGCCTGATAGACTGCAGGCTAATTTCTATGGCTACAACAGGACCAGCGATTTTATAATGGGTGGTTGTGATTTATCGATTGCTAGACCAGTTGCCCAACATGTCGACATTCATTCAGTCCAGCTTGCAGTTTCCATTCAGTTTAAATAATGGATTTCTAAAAGTTGGAGCAAATATTTTCAGTTTTGGAACCGACAAGGAGCTGATAGTTCTGTTTTCTCTTGGACAAAGGAGTCCACCTTTCCTATTGTGAGACAGAAGCTGAATGGAGGGAAGTTCTCTGAGGAGAATGCTTGTCCCTCTGTCTTCACTACCCTTCACTACTGCTCAAGCAGGGAGGCTGAGCATCACCCGAGTCCTGCTGTGTGCCTAGCAACAGCCCCTGTTTTCACACCCTCACCAACACAGAGAGAACAAAAGATGCCTGAGGAGGTGTGATTCCTAATGGTTTGCTTATATACTACCTTTAGGGTTCAGGTCCCTGCAGAGAGTGGAGCTTACACCCAACATCCT